TTTATTTGTATTGTAGTCCTGTCATGTGGTGTTGTCATTTTAATGTTATATTTAACGTTGCCATGGGGCGGGAGGTTTGGCTAGCCACGGAGCCAGGTTCAATCCCCCATTTTTTTCTTGGAATGTCCTGTACCAAGTCAGGAAAATGGCCATTGTGATATTATAGTTCGTTTCTGTGTGTGTTACATTTTAATGTTGTGTTTCTGTTGTGTCGTAGTTCTCCTCTTATATTTGATATGTTTCCCTCAGTTTTAGTTTGTAACCCGGATTTGTTTTTTTTTTCTCAATCGATTGATGAATTTCGAACAGCGGTATACTACTGTTGCCTTTATTTAAATATCTTCCTCTTTCAATGGCAAGATTATGAGCACTTACTCTTAATATTTTACATAATGAGGATCGATTTCTTAAAGCATCAACATAAGCTGCACCTTCACTCATTTTGTAAACACTGTGGAAAAATGTTAATTTTGGAGATGCTGAAATATTTGCATGTTGTTTTTGAAAACCCTGGTCAATCATTCTTTGTTGAGTCAGTTTCTTAAGTCAATATTAACTAATGTAATTCAATTTATACATTCATAAAGATAAGTATTAATTTAAATCGAATGAGCCCAGGGATTGCCCAGGATCGGTGATTATTATAGAAAAGTCCAAACAAAGCACACAATTCATATAAAATAATTTCATAAAATTGTCACATGCACAAAGTTTTCTAAAAATAAATGCAAACAATAAACACTGTAAATGTACATGTTCTACAGTTGAACTCGACAAGCCAGGACACTCGGTTGTTGACCTCGGTTGATTTGAGAATGCAGATCAGTAGCTAACCAATAAGGGCAAGTGAGGTGCATCGATATGATATACTAAAATTGTTATCATAAATATATGATATACGAGAAAAAATGCACAAAAATCAGCAATAATAAAGTTTGTACTTCCCCCTTCTGGACACTCGCATGACCGACATACAGTAAACAAACACAGTTAAATTTCAAATAAACATGTATACACATATATGACAATAACCAAGTATGTTTCAAAATACTCGATAAGTATTTAATTTACAACAGTTTACATATACATGTATAAGATATAAAGGTAATGTTGAACATACCATAGTTGAAAATCGTTCTCCTGTTTTTTAAAAAGTCACTCATTACTGAGGATGCAAATGTTATCGTTAACATATTAAAGCTATAAGTCGCTATAATCTGTTTCACGCGTAAAACTGATAAAATGAAAACTATGTCAAATGTTAAACAAAGTACTGAAGTACTGAACATCGGATGACCGCAAGTTCTGGTGGATGGTCACAAGCACTTGTCTCAGAAAAAAAATCACATGTCTATACCTGAAAGTTAGCGGGTTAAGGTACATAGATATATATTTTTCTGAGACAAGTTCTTGTGTGGATGATGAATAAATGACAGGGAATTCAACCTCACCGTAATTATTATTATATTGTAGTGATATAATCATTTGTTATCAGTATACTCTGGTTTGTTGTAATATATTATATTTATATTTGTATACCAGTTACAGTTTTGCATATATATATAGCAGATCATCGTAATATAACATACAGGCAAATATTTATATATCATTCTATTCTACTATTCTAATGATAGTGCAGTGCAAGTGAATGGTGGACACTCTTCTGCAATAATTCGTTTTTCTAATAGATTGGGTTTGAGAAGGCATTCATATTTTCCTGCTTTTGTTGCAGAACGTTCTCGAGATATTCTTCCGCATGCGTTAACACAAATTTTCGGTATCCATGATTTGTTATTGATATGTATAAATATATATTTCTCAAGACGAAACATTTTATACATTTATTTATGTTCTTAAAAATTATTTTCATGAATATTTATTGATGAAATTAATATATAACAAGCGATAAGGAATGTTATTTTGCACTCGATAATATCCGCGTAATTATACGAAATTTTATACGTTCGGATATCAGTCAAATGGCAAGGAAATTTCTGCGGCAACATGACACCGGTATGACCTCTCAAGGTCACATCCGATGTAAACATTACCAGAACAGCTCCTGATGTATTAGTATGACAAACGTATTTGAGATTGTTTGAAAATTAATAATGTTTTCAAATTGTAAAAATAATAAAAATTTAAGAAAATGTGATTCCCTTCATTTATGTGCTTTCTCATAATTCACGAATTCTACAAGATCTCCAATCACAAACGCTTAGAAGATTAGGCCCATGTTTTCAATTTCATTTTTGAAAATTAATTTAAAATTGGAATAAAGGCGCATCGGTCATACAATATTCTTATTGTTAAATCAAACGATAATAGTAAGAATACGTTAAAAAGGGGGAAATAAGTAAAAGTACTGAAAAAAAAAAGAAATTTTACTTGAATTGATTTGAAAATAAAAAAATAAAAAAGGGGCGAATGAGACTCAAATATGATAGGCTTGGGTCGCTAATAGCCTTTGTATCCTACTTTTTATGATTTTTTTTCTATTAGCGAAGGAGACAGGGGCAAAAAGGGGGGAAACTATGTCCCCCTCGAATTTTAAGCCACAAACTAACAACTAAATCCTGAAAATGAATGAAGACAATGACTAACTTTTAGACTATTACACTACTTTGTTTGTCACATTCAGAAGTTTGCTCCCCCTTTCCACATACACCAACTTTTCAGTCTACTCCATTTTTATAATTTGACTATTCCTATACGAAGGTATACACAGACGTGCCGCCGGAATAATCTCAGCTGCGGCAAAGGGGGGCATTATTTTTTTGACCCTTGTCAGTCTGTACGTCCGTACGTGCGTCCCAAAATTAGTTTCCGTTCTCTAGCTTTAGTTTACTTCAACCAAATGTTATACATAATGCTTATTACCACCAAAATCAGATCAAGATTGGATTTGCCTGGCGTAACTTTAACCGTTCTTGAGTTATGTCCGTTTATAAATGGAAAAATTTCTAAATTTGACGGGTTTTTTTTTGCCCCTAATTACTTAACAGCGACGACATAACCCCCAAAATAAATTCCAACCTTCCTATTGTGGTATGGAAGCTTTTGCTAAAATTTCATACAGACCCATACACTTATACTCAAGTTATTGTCCGCAAACCAATTTATTTTCTGTGAACCAGTAAAAGCTTGTTTTTGGACCATTTTCGGACCCTAATTACCAAACGTCTACGACAATACCCCCAAAAATCAATCACAACATTCCTATTGTGGTATGGAACCTTGTGCTAAAATTCCATAGAGATCCATAAACTTATACTCAAGTTAATGTTTACGAACCTAAATGTCTTCGGACGCCGACGCAGACATCGCCATAACATTAATACGAACGCAAAATATTTAGGTTGCGGTCGTATATAAAAAGTATCGATGTCAATATATGAAAAAGAAGACTGACTGCTTCAAATGCCATCAGTGCCGCTGAACCAATATGTACATATGATACATATGCGGATTGTTGACATGTGCCAGATGGTATACATCCAGTAGAAAGATGAATTAAAGCTGGTACTCCAGAAATTTATTCGCATATGAGTATTTTAACCCAATTTTACACAAAGCTTATATAGCCTGTTGTACTTGTCGTTTGCTATTTTAGGAGGAAAATGATTACCTTATATGGAAATTTTATTTTTATTTCAAATCTTTTTTTATTGTTTCTATTTACCAGAACGTGTTCTTGTGAATTAATAACTAATAGTTGCCTTGCTAAAACAGAACCAACATTGAAAAGATCAAGTTTTAAGTGTTTACAGGGGAAGTTATATGTTAACACTAGAATTCCCACTGACAGTTTTAACATGCAATGAAAAAATCCGGAAGCCCTAGGTAAAATTGGTATCCTGGAACATTGCAAAACATTTTCGCTCTTTACAAAGGCGATTTCCAGTTAAATAACTAGCAGAAACAAATCAGTAAATAATTATTTTAAAAAAATAGTTGCATTTTTATAAAACAATCAAATATATTATGTCAAAATTGTGTAAGCACGTCGTCCTGTACAATATAAAAAAAAACAATATCTGTTTGTGTTGTATAAATAAAGATGGTGCAACATTTGCCACAAAAAAGTTCACCTGCAATCTAAATCAATGCAAACAATTTTGATATACGGAATTTGGAATAGATATCAGATTTAGGCTTCGCTAAATCTAAAAACATTCTGTTTTTAAGTGAAATATGTAGTAAGCCCTGTTAGTTTACCAGCGAGCGGATGCGGATCCAAGTGCACCCCCCCCCCCCCCCTTTTAAAAAGGAAAGAGTCTATTTTGCGTTAAAATAAAGTCCTCTAAATTCTTATTCTTAGGAGTGACACTCGATATCCCACGCTCCCCGAGTATAAGTGATAACAAGAAATGTTTCACTTGTCTGACATAATGTCGGCACATATCCTTTCAAAAGTTTCATTGCTTGTCTGTGCACAATTACATTATTATTCTGCGGTTTGTATAAGATCACGTATCAAGATTAAGATGATATTTGTTAATTTCAATTGCAATAAAACAGGATAATCTGTCTTGATTTGCGAGTTCTGAATTTTGAATTTTGAATTTTGAATTCTGAATTCTGAATGATCCTTCTCGGCTTTCGTACAAACAAGCATGTAACACATTTCAGCGAGTGCACCTTTTGTTAGAAAATCAAAAATATGTTAAAAAGTATCTGTCTGTGCTAGGACTGTTACTTAACTTGTTTTAAATGTGTAATAAGCTATTAGAAAATAATGTCGGTGGTAAATTTGCAGTTATCAGTTAGATTTTGCCGAAAAAAACTATAAACTTTGCGTAGGATTCCAAAAAAATGTAATATGCTAATCCAAATTTTCTCTGTGTTAAAAAGTTATCCGTCAGCCACAGTTTTTATAAATGCCTGTCAAAACATATATGAAAAATATTGCTTTGGTTGCATAAGTCTTTATACATTCTAGTTGACTAAAAGTATTATATCTTATTACAACTGGATTAATGATTCTGAATTTATTTTAGGAGCACAAACCAACGAGGAAAGTACACTAACACATCCGCCTTAACACGGATGATGACAGCATTGGATGGAAATCAGAAAGATTTAATGTGATGCAAAACATGAACAATTGTACTGAAAACAATAACACTAATATTACTATATCTTAGTTACAACACAAAATCTTATTTCGTTAATTATATATTTATCATAATATATTTTCAAATTACTCATACCCCGGTTTAATGAAAAACGGCAGCTATTCAAAAAAAACATTTTGTGGTCGTCTGTCACACTTTACATCTGTTCTCCTCCAAGACCAGACACAGTTTCATATGTCGCTATTAATGTTAAGTCCCTTTTGGTCATATAGCTCCTCATGTGATTTATAGATTAACTTGTCCTTTTCCATATCGGCCGATGTATCATTCCAAGACTCCCATATTAGCCCATGGCGCTAGTCGAGGGCTCATATGGGTCGAGGGATGATACCAGGGTCCATATGGAAAAGAAAATTTTATCATCTATTTATCACATATTATACAAATGGTTTTAAAACCTGGCAGTAATATGACTAGGGCAAATATGTGCTTATTTTATATGCAAAACCCAATATCTTTGTTATAAGTATGGGATAATATCGGATTATTACATGGCATTTTTCATATCAGATGTATTAATATCAGCCCAAGGTTAAATATCAGCCCAAGAGCCGAAATCTCGAGGGCTGATATTGACCGAGGGCTGATAATATATCTGATATGAAAAATGACATGTTATGATCTTTTTATTATATGCTTCAACCATGGAGGAAAAATAGTAGTTTAATATATTGATCATTTTAAGTGGTTCCCAAGTAGAAGTTCAAAAAGAGAAAGTTTACGGACCTCGGACACGAAATGTAGAACATCCGCTATGAAATCTGTCTGTCATATGCCTCAACAGAGGAGAAAAACAACAGTATGATATATTTTTATATTGACGATAAAAAAATCAACAAAACATAATGAACACTGTTTGGAAAAGTCAACATTTGTAAAGTAACTTTCTAAATAATGCTGGAAACTTTGAAAAAAATATTTATTGTATCATTTGTTTTTTTGTTTTTTTGTTTGGTTTTTTTTTTGCATTTTACATAATGTTTTTTCCTGTTTCCTAATAATTGTTTTGTACCCTACTTTGTATTTTTTTTTTTTTTTTTCACTGAAAACGTACCATAGAGGTGTATTTTCCGGAATTTGCCGAGTAACGCCGGAATGCTATGCGATAACGTTACGGAAATGCATGTGATAATAGTCGGAAGCATGTGATACATTTTTCATATCAGCCCGCTAAACACCATTTCGGAAAACACGGAATTCACGTAAATTTAATGCCATTATCATACTGTAAACTGTATAAGTTTTCTACTCTAAGTATATCATAAATATAGATTATAACATGACATTTTTAATTTCAGACCCCTTATCAGCCCTAGGTTAATGATATCAGCCCGAGCGCCGACAGGCTCGAGGGATGATTTTGACCATGGGCTGATAAGGGGTCCGATATGAAAAATGACATGTTATGTTCTTTTTATCATATACTTAAGCAGAAGACATACAGACAAGAACTTTTTTTTAAACTTTGAAAAATGCATTTACTGTATTATTTGTTTTGCATTTTTTAATAATAAACTTTCCTGTTTCTTAATACTTGTTTTTTATCCTACTTAGTTATGTTTTTTCTGTGTTAACGTTCATCAAGAACGCTGAAACCAATTGAAAGCTAAGGTGTAACGTTACAGAAAGGCATGCATTATTAACCGGAAGCTGTTGATATAAGTCGGAAGCAGTTGATATAAACCAAAAGCAGTTGATAACGAAAGTCATATCACACGGCTAAGACAATTCTTCAAATTTAATGAATAAATATATGTACAAATTAGTTTTATCAAGGGGTACAATAAGTATATGATAATGGTTTTGATACACCTTAGCTTTCAATTGGTTTCAGCGTTCTTGATGAAAGTTAACACAGAAAAAACACTTTAACTGATATAGAATGTAAATTATGTTTATCAACACTGGGTCAATATCGCTGCAGGCTGATGGACTGATAGTGTCCAATGGTATCATCAGTACAAAGGTCAGTTCATCGGTATTATGTTGATTTGTAGCATCATTTACAAGTCTTGTTTCTGGATGATAAATAAAGCACGGCATAACCAGACTTTCTGAACTCAATACCATGGATCATGAAGTTAAATTTTGTTGGGTATTCAGGGGCGGATCCAGCCATTTATAAAGGGGGGGGGGGGTCCTAACCCAGGATAAATTGGGAAGGGGGGGGGGGGGGGGGGTTCCAACTATATGTTCCCATTCAAATGCATTGATCGTCAAAAAAGGGGGGTTCCAACCCCCGGAACCACCACACCCCCCCCCCCTGGATCCGCCACTTGTACTACAAAGACGGTTCAAGAGTTATTTACTAAATTACCTTATAAGTTTGTTTTTTTGTCGGTTTTTAGATGATAATAAAAAAACTGCTTTATCAAATCTTTTGAAACTTAAACACAATACCATGAATATTAAAATAGAATTCTAGCTCAACTTTGATAGTTTTGACATTAAACATTCAAGAGTTATTCGCCTGAGTTACCCTTTAATAAAAAAGAAAGCCGTTCTCGTCAAAACTATGTTTAAATCATTTTTCGAAAAATTTACACACTGAGAATTAAAAAAAAAACACTGAGATTAAAAAACCCTAAAAACACACACTGAGAATTAAAAATAACACACAGAGATTACAAAAATTGAAAAACACACTGAGAATCATATTACACAATAAGATTTCAAAAAGACACACTGAGAAGAAATGAACTGAAAAACACACACTGCGGAGAATTTGAAATTACACACGGAGAATTTAAAATTTCACACTGAGATTTGTGCGCACTTTTTATGCGCATACGTATAATTAGCATACTTAATCTGAATCTATTACAAGTTTAAAACAACTAGGGGACAGAACTCGTTAGTCCTTCAATTTGGTGCTAAATGTTTTATAAAAAATATTAAAAATACAACGTAAAGAAAAACTGCGTTATTAAAGACTATAGAACAAGACTGAAAAATACCCACTTACTCTCGTTACAAAATATAACCAAATGATACAAAAACTTTATTAAAATTATAAGAAAACATTGGAACAATCTTTTTTTCCCCAAGTATCTATCATAGCATATAAACGTAACAAAAATATAAAAGATTACCTTGCGAAATCAGGGTAACAGTTGATAGACCTTTGAAAAGGGACCATGCTTAAACAGTTTTCAGCAAAAAATCCCGATATACTGTAAGTAATAATCGGAATTATAGGCAACAAACTTATGAATATGAGTTAGCAAAAAATGTTGTTAAGTCTTGAAATTTATTACGAATGTGGGTTGTAGGAACCGCATTTCATTATAATGACAAGAGTTCGGGAGACCAAGATATTAATCTGTTGAATTATTCATCTCATGAATATTCATTAGTAATTTGCATATTAATCTCAGTGTGTATTTTTGAAATCTCAGTGTGTTATTTTAGGTTCTTAAATGTCAGTGTGATTTTTTTAATTCTCAGTGTGTAATTTTTTCGAAAAAATGGTTTAAACATACTTCCCTTACAGAACTGAAATGTTTGCAGCAGGTCTGCAGCAGACTTGCTGCAGGTTTGCTTCAAACAAAAAGCTTGCAGGAACCCTTTGAATAATGTTTGCAGAAGTTTGCAGCTAGCTGCGAACCTCCTGCAAAACATTGCAGCTTTTTGCTGCAAGCTTGCGGCAAGTTTGCAGAAACAAATATGTTTGCAGTAGGATTGCAGGAAAAACTAGAAAATAAGGGATGTTCGCAGCTAGATTGCAGAAATCTTTGACAATTCTATATGTTTGCAAGAGCATTGCAAGAATTACATAAAATGACTGAGCATGCCTATTGGTAACTTCCTGGAAGAAAAAGATTTGAAATTTGAAAATGTTGAAGGTGTTTGAGTCATGTTATCATACAATATATAAGTATTCAGGGAGCATTTTAGGATGGAAATTAAAAGTTTAGTTTTCAAAGACACTATTTGTAAGTATAAGTTCTTCGTAGAAGTGTAAACATGTAATTCGTCCCCTCCCCAGATATACCTGCATGAAGGTTTGAAAAACATTTTCAAACATGTAACAAATATGCAGTACTCTATAGTACGTATGTTTCGAGATTATAACTGATTAAATAATATGTTTTAGTTGAATTCTATGACAATATTAATTAAATAGCAGTATATATACGCACAAAATAAATTTCAAATAAATCTTTTTAATACTTGATGCATGAAATTCATTTGAGCACAAAAAAACTTTAAATCAATTTTTAAACGTATAAACCTTTGCTATGATAATTTTGCAATGATAAAGTATTTGAATTATTGTATGTATGAATGTAACCCAACTTTTTCAGATTTTGCTAAGTAATATAGATAATGTGATGTGTACACAACATGACATTGGCTAATTGTATAATGTATGTAGTTCCTGCAAGTTTGCAGCAAACACGCAGGAGAAAGATTAATTTGAATATAAATGTTTGCCGCAGGTGTGCAGCAAACACGCAGCAGGTCTGCTGCAAACACGCAAGTGAAACATTAATTTGCATAAAAATGTTTGCTGCAGGTCTGCAGCAAACACTCATTTGCATGGTAAATTGTTTGCAGCAGACCTGCAGCGTATTTGCAGCAAACATGCCGCAAATACAGACTCTGTGTTCGCTGCAAGTCTGCAGCAAGTTCGCTGCAGACCTGCAGCAACTATTTGCAGGAGGCTGATTTTTCAGTAAGGGTTTGACGAGAACGGCTTGTCATAGAGTGTGTCTGCATCTCATGCACTTACATTACACTATTATTCATGGCGCAACAAATCAACATACACCATTTCGTCTGAACCGGACACGATTTATTTGGAGTTTACACCATTCCATTGCTTGATCTGTGATCACAAAACCACCACCTTAATCTAGTTTTTTTTTATCATCTAAAGAAATTATTACAAAAGGAGTAGACATTGCGCATCTTTCTATTTTTGGTGGAGTGAAGAATTCTTTTAAGATTTTTGTTTATCCGGATGAGAATTTTCGATTTTGATATACTATTTTAGCGCAGTCCCTTTTCGAATGTTTAGTATAAATGACAGTGTTAAGTTCCTGTTGAACCTTTTTACTTCGTATCAACGTGAGGCTTTTTGTAAATTAGAATAATTAGTTGCTCGCTTTGGTTTTTTTTTCCTCATAAGTATGCAAACTCTAACTGACAGTCTTGGACAAAACTATCAAACTATCGACAATGCAGTCACTGCCATTCAGGCCTAACTGTTGATAAAACTTATCGTCCGTAGAATCAATAAATTAGATATGCAGTGATTAGTTAAATGAAGACTTCCACTGATTGTTAAATTGTGATTTACGTACAGTCGCAAATAGTTTGTGCATATAAAGGACGTGGCTGCGAATCTATATACATCCAAGCGTTGTTTTCTTTCATAAATATGCATTAGTCTTTGGAATGAACAAATCTGTCAAATACCCGACGGGTACCAGACAACTACACCCCGCACATCAACATGGACGCTGTCTTCAGAAGGAAGTTTATAAAATTTTAATCCTGGTATATATGGTGAGTTTATTATCGGTCATGAAAAGTCCAGGTTGATCATACTTCTATACCCAAGTGACCCCTTGAGTATGTACTTTTTAAATCATAACTCTGTTGATCGTCCCGTGAGTATTATAATGATGTGTAACTCCTTTTTTTCCTAAATGTTGAGGAATTGGATATAAAATCGGAAGCACAATATCATAAATAATTGACTAAGGTATAGATATTTGGCTATGAAATCTTTGCTTGGCAACCTTCCTTTTACCGGAACATAACAGAAATCAAGTTTCTATAAAAAGGCTATCAATGATAAGAATTAAAACTTATTTTGGGAGGTGGTCAAAAACGCCTCTCAACATTTCTTGTCCTTTATTGATTTGAGAGCAACTCTTCCTGTCTGTATTTTGAATAAAAAAGCACCAAAAATAAATAAAGCTTCCCCTTTTCTGGAGATATAACACCATAATACAAAAAAAATAGTAATTATTTACTATGTTTCTATTGGAGATAAGTAATCCCTGAATTTTGAAATTCGGTAATATCCCCCAGTTTGCAATGCATGATCTGCTGAGAAATACTCATAGTTAGAATTCAAATCATGCAATAAAGTAATAAATCAAAAGGGAGATGCATTTCATCAATCCGCACAATAATGTAAAGTTTACAGGAAATCAGTCCAGGAATATTGAAGTAAGTGCGCGATTGAGAAAAAATTGCCTTAAATGTAACAGTTTAATTTCCTTAACTCCGGAACGACAAACATGAAAATTAAAAAAATCACAAGGAAGCTTCCTTTCATCAATCCCCACAATAATTTAAAGTTTGCAGGAATCAATTCAGGAATACTTGAGTTAGTGCACGATTTGTGAAAAATTGCATTCAATCTGAGGGTCAAATTTCCGCAACACTGGAATGACAAAGCCAAAAATTAAAAAAAATCGAAAGGCAGTTTTCTCTGTCAATTCTAATGTTGTGTTAAGGTTTAGATATCGTACGAAGTGTTGAAGGAAGGACGGACGGACAGACATTGATTAGTATACCATAATACATCCCATCTTCAACAGGCAGGTTTTTTTACATAGTTATGCTTTGAATGTTTGAAGATGTAGATATGAAAATATTCTCTGAAAGAAAACGCGCACTAGTATACATGTATATGTTAAGATTATTTCCCATTCCATGGTTTGTCGTCTACTATCAGTTGAAGACCGGGGACATGTGAGATATTAAAGGTATCAAATGACACCATTTTTGATTTCCGGAAGTCTTCTTGCTTACCTAAGGTTATGTAATAGTTTTGAAGACGTATAAGTACCATGAGGTTCTGGATGGGGGTCCTTCATTTCTGTATTTTTTAATTTTTTGTTTTCCCCAATTTTGCTCTATTCTATTTTTGAGGTCCATGTTTCGGTAGATTTAGACCACTATTCGCTATTCTGTAAACCTCACCCAAACCCTCTATCATTATGTAATCTGTTTTGTAATTGGCAATTATTTTTGTTGTTTTCAATTGTTTTCATAAGACAGTTTTAGTCAAGTGACCTTCTGATAATCACTTTAATTTGATGACAACCTCCTTTTTTCTAAGTAAAACAAAGCTACAGTTTTTATCATGAAATTTCATTAAATAGTATAGTTTTCTGTAAAATATTCATGATCACATATCAGGATTAAAATTGTTATATCGAGAACTGCTTTTTTTTTATTTTCTTGTCACAATTTTGGCAATTATCCGTAAACTTTCTAGTCACTTCACAGTCCTTAAATGCATGAAAATGAATATAATATTGAATTCAATAACACTACTTAAGTATTAACTATAACATTTCAATCCTTTGTTGTTATTTTTCCCCCAAGTTATCTATTAAAATTCGTTTCTGTTCATGCCTTTATACTCCGGTAATAAACAAAAGTTATCAACAGCAACACCAAGAACACAGCGGAGAAACTGATACCAACCACAATGCCCATCATCAGATCATAAAGTCTTTCTGCCTTTATATCTGGATTACCATGATAACTCACTGAAATACAAATAAATACAGTATTTCATGTTTAATTTATTGAATATTTGTCAAGTCTCATATATTCACGCAATAGATTAAAGGGGAAACACTTCTATTATAAAAGATTATTTATACCTTCAAAAAGTGTATTTGATGAAATTGTATTAACAGACAGTTACCGACTCAAATAACGGACTTAAATCTTATATTGAGGAAAATAAGACATCGATAGATATTAATTTCGTCATGTATAAAAAAAAAAGTGTAATAAGTCGTCTAATAATTAACTTCTTCTGACGTCACTGCATCGTAAGTGGCATCTGGAATAATCGGAACGTCCTAAGCAATGACGTCCCCATAATACAATATCAGTTTCAATTACTAGTAATCAGTTGTATGGTCAAGATAACTGCTGACTTTAAAACTTGGATATGTATTTCCAATTTGATATACAATTTTTGAGTACTTAAAGTGGAAGAGTTCGATGTTTTTCTTTCATTTCGGAACAAGACTCTAGATAAAAACTATTAAAACATTGACACCATGAAAAAACAATTACCTAATGTATCGTTTGCACATGCTATATATTCTATCAATACAGAGAACACCAATACAATTTCTCCTAGCCGCGTGGAAAACTCCATGTTTGCTTCTCCGTCAGTCTGAAATATCAAATTCAAATATGTTTTTGTCAGTAAAATATATAGTTAGTGACATTTAGATAAAATAGTAATTGTAGTTCTATAATGATGTAAGCATGTGTTAAATATATATAAACGTCAATTAAAATACTGAATTCCTACTTTATCACACTTCACTCTAGTTCAGTCTGATCAATTTCATATTATATTGTATTTTTGCTTCTTTGGTTATATTTTTTCTTCTTTTTATATTACATTCGTTTTCGTCATTATCAAATGTATTTTGTGTTTATATTTGTGTAGGGAGAGGACGTCACTAATGTTGTTATAACTTTTGTCCAATCCCTTTTGCTACTCTAATACAATTTTTTTTTATTCTGAAATCCAAGAAAGATACTAGTTTGATTCAGAGGTGGAGAAGTAAAATCAACTGTGAAGAATGTTGAAAGTTTAGCGCCGTAAAACGTCAAGGAAACAACCATTTAACTTCAAGTAGGGTTATTATTTTTTTTCTTCATTGCATTGGTTTTAAGATTTTAATAGAAGGAACTTTTTTTTTCAATAGATGAAACTTTTTTTTCAACTACAATCAAACCATTTTTTTCTTTTCTAGTCGAAACAGAAATTTTTATTCAATGCTCAGAAAGTAAAAGGTATTCAATTAAGGTTTCAACTAAAAACAGATTTTTTTTTTTTTGCCAATGGCAATGCTGCGATCGATTATTTTTGTTCTCTTTATAATCGTAATATTTAATTATTTTCACCTCAAATAACCATTATCCTGTCCCCCTTTCCTTTAAGTAAAATGTTTGCTCCCATAATGCTTGTGTTTAAGATTTTCTACAAACGTGTCAAAACCAAGTATAGAATAAGACAGTATGTTCCCAGTTTCTATGACCAGTAATTTCTGTGGTTGTCTAAAACATTATATAATATTGATACAATAACTATACCTTACCAGTATAAGAATAATGAAAGTCAATAAGACAACTATCCATCAGTCCAAATTAAGTAAATATTATATATATATAAACAACTCGTCTAAACATCAGCCCAACAATGTTAGATCTGTAAATTTGCTTTCGCAAATTTTTAGTTCTTCCCTCGCCGGGATTCGAACTCAAATTTACAGATCTAACATTGTTGGTCTGATGTTTAGACGAGTTGTATATACAGAAAGTACACAGCCATGTATCACCATCACTGCTGGTGATCCGATGGATAAACCTGTTGTAGAGTTGTCACTGGTTCAGACGTACTTATATACGAGAGAGAGAGAGAGAGTAACCATAGGTCACCGTACGACCTGTGTCTGTTTTAGAGAAAAAAAAAAATGTTTTTATCCCTAGCGTGTGTCTAACTACCTGAAACGTTAAAACTGCATGTGTTTTTTTTTAATTTTGGGATGTTTTAGACTGTTGCTGTTTGATTTATCGCTTCTTGTATATCAAGTAAATGGAACAATTAACTCTGGGTATTGCATAAGATCAGTGTTCATGTAACGTTATATAAAGCTATAAAAAGGTCCCGAAATGACAAATGTAAAACTATTCAAACGAGAAACTAAAGGCCTGATTTATGTACAAAATAATGAATGAAAAACAAATATGATATACAGCAACAAACGACAACTACTGAATTACAGGCTCGCGACTTGGGACAGGCACATACATGATACAGAATGTGGCGGGATTAGTTTGAGTTTGCTGTCGTTAACATTCTCTCTAACGGTATCAGTTTGCACTGCTTTACTAATAAGTCCTTGTCCGGTATTATAGAGTTGACGTATATTTTTGAACTAAGTTTTATTGAACACTCTTTTGAATCTGTGTTACCTTTCGGTAATTTTAAAGAAGGTCACAGTATACAATTGCCCAAGAAATAAGTTTACTAACCCAGCCACACATGTTCCTTTACTTTAGGAGACTCGTAAGTGATCGTAAGTGGTCTAAACGGTTTTGTTTTTTTTCAGAATTTGGCGTTAATGTCGGATCTTTGGTAGTCTCTGTTGAATTTATTCATTTCTTTTTAAACTCAGGGCAATTTAGAACTTGGCATATGGTAATCGGTAATCACTTGATGAACACCGTGTGTTACTGTAACCTCGACGGATCTCGATCGTGATAGCGTGCTTGCTTCGAGTGCGTAAGCCTGATCGTGGATTCGATCAAAGTGGTATCTGATGCTTCTACGTTTATGTAAATTATGAGTAAGAGCAAAGACTGGTCGGCTTGGAGTTTGAATAATTGGTCCAGTTAGGGTGACATGTATTCCTGTGGACTGTTTCCTTGTGATTTAGCACGATAAAATGAGACTCAGCGTGTCGATCTACACAAATTATTGTTCATATTCATATCGCATTTTCGTCCATATTATTGCCATATATGCATGTTATATTTGCTACTGGACGTTAATTAAACCACCAATATTCCTCATAGTGTAAATTATGTGACCACAAATACCCAGGTTGGTAGAATCTAATTCAACAGTACGACTACGAGACAGTACAACTACAACACACGAGTGAATAAAATAACTGATACAAAAATTTGCCTTTCTAATACATACAGAATAGAAAGAGTTGTCCGTGTATTTATATATCATTATTGATAGATTGGAGCCAGGAGGGAGAAAACAGTGGGAGAAAAGCCAAAAAGTAAGCGAAAACAAGAGAGAACGGTGAAGGCCATGGAGACTGTACCACAGGCACTTGTTTAATCTTGTTTCTATCCATGGGAAGGTCGACTATCCATTGGCATTGATGCAGTACGGTGTATCGTCGTCTCGATACCGTATGTTCCAAGAGCTTTTGAAATAGAAATATTAAAAAGTTATTACATTTACAGTTTTGCAAAAGGGTTCCCTGATACATACACTTCCCTGATTTATCTGATACTAGATCTATGGTAGTCGTTTTAGCCTGTTCAGTAAAAATCTACAGCTCGCCTGTTGACGTAAATATGACGTCACAGTAATGTAAAGGTCTATGTTGATTGTTCACCGATGAAACGAAAGAAAATATTACTAATACACCCAAAAAATAAAGATACGTACGATGCAAGAACGCACTTAATTTTGATAATAACACAAAATATAAATCTGCCTCATCTGAAATTAGTACGCTTTATGAAATGTTCTTTAAACTCAATACATATTAGAGGTCAGTGATTTCTCATCTCGTAATAACTTGAATCAATCTGGATGCGTTTTGTGTTGTTTCACCAGTTGCCAGGACAGCCAGAGGCGGATCTAGGAAGGGGGCAGAGGACCCCTTATGGAGCCAACGTCGCAGTACCCAAATTGCCTCTATTCAGCACTAATCGTACCATAAGAAACCATTTCGAACACTATGAAAAAAAAATAATTAACCGTTTCGTACTATATGGAAAAAAATGCTTTACCATTTCGTACCAATTCGGAAAAAATGCTATATCATTTCGTACCATATGAAAATTGACCTTTGATCATACTTGGCACATGAATAAATATTCAGTTCTAAATATTAGAAATTACATGGGAATATTAGTATGGAATTTATTTTATGAATTTTGAATACATTGTGGTGAGACTCTAATAAAATATTGAATCTGAATCTATATCTATATCATTCATCTATCAAACAAAACCCACTCAGTATTTAAGATGATTGCATAAAAAAATAAACATCAGTAAGTGTTCATGTTATAATGAATAAGATTGCTACAATTAAGAATTAGATGGAGACTTCAATTGGCGCAATCAATGTATGTTCGTTATCTGTTATCTAGTTCGTTACAGCATATATTAATGAACAATTTTAGTTGTGTATTTAGTTATATTTTACACTGGTTTTTGTGTGGAACAATTTCGTTATAACCTTAATAAGTTGCACTTTCGTTTACACTGGAAATGACGACTTTCACTTTTGACAAAAAAATAAACATGAAATGTCTGAAAGGATAAATGTGATGTTTATCGGCGATACAGCAGTTGGAAAAACTTCACTAATAGACTATTTAAATTCGGGCAAACAAGATCCTTTGATTTATTCAACTACTGATGTATTGACCTATACCATAAATTCGGGCAATTCATTGTTGAACATACGTGTTTTTGATACACCTGGACAGAAAATATTTGAGTTAGTATGCCTGAATATATCATATAATGACTAACTTAAGCCTTCACTGAGCATAAGAAGAATTGTATATCTGTGACAATGTCCCTTGCATGATTACTACTGGCTAGACACAGAATCTATATAATCTTAAAATGATTTTTTTTTAAAATTTTTATTAATTATTTAGGAGTTTGACTCTCTGCATTTAGTGCAAGTAGGGATTTCCCTTTAAGCATCGACTCTTGGTGCTTACTGCAAATAGGCTATTTCTCGAATCATGTCTTTCACCGGAAAAGATCGTCAATTACGCACGCCCTTATGACATCATTTACCAGATAGAAGGCGCGTGTATCCCTGCACTATTAAAGTCTGAAGCATTTTCAGGATCATCAATCTGCAGGGTAGTCTAGAAATAATCTATGTTCCGTAAGTACGTAATCTCAATTCCTGTACGACTAAAGGGAGGTTGACCATCGTTAGATTTTAATTTCCCGAATATTTTGTGCAGTATAGTATCAAACTTTTTCACCCGTTTGCTCAACATGTGTTGGAAGTGACGATGCCTACATGTTTGTCAAGTGGTGATGGAAGTCAAATGGCAGATTCAACTTACTACCGTATCTCGGAACTGGCGTATTAGTCATAATATCCTTTATTCAATGTTATTTGCACTAGCTATACCTCATTGTTAGATATTTGGATGTTTTCTGTGTTTTTTTTTTAACATTAAAGTCATTTAAATAGATTTCTCCACAAGGCCCATACTGTTTATTTAATAGTCAACATACACTTATACCTGGTGCACTTGAGTCAATTTCAACATAATATTAATTGAATTGTAATATGTTGTTGTTATTTTGGTGTGTGTGTGTGTTTCTTTTTGTTTGTTTTTTTTATTACATATCTAAAGATTTAGATTGCATTGCATATGTTATCAGAAGTCCATTACTTAAGTCTAGTAATGGACTTCTGATGTTATTGTATATAATGATATTGTTTATATACTATATGCCCCCTGGGGCCCTAATTTGGTGAATACAAACATTCTATTCTATTCTATTCTATTCTATTCTATAATACAGGCGCATTGCTGCAGGTTTTTCCATTGTTTACACTGAATATTTTATTTTCTATTTTTATACCACATACATTCTCGTTTTGTAAGATAAAAATAGAAATACAGCTGCTATAGCTATTTTATTGAATAATCATTGCTTTTTTGACATTACCTGATGAGGTTCCTGACTTGGTACATTTTTGTACATGCACATGAGTATGTGGCTAAGATCACCTAGATTATCTGAAGATCTCTGACAATGTCTGAAGTATAAAATGTTTTCATAATATTACCAGACTAAATATATTTATAGAATAACATATCATGAAACAGTTTGGGGAAAATTCTCATAAATGGATGTTGTTCCCATTTATGGGTATTATAACAAAATTGGGTATCAATTTATTGTGGTAAAAATTAGATTTTGTATTTCATCATAACAGCTGTCATGGCACAAATATTCATATAAATGGAAACATTTTCCCTTTAAGACCATACATGCCATACATGTAGAATAGAATAGAATAGAATAGAATATTTTTATTTTACCAAATTAGGGCCCCAGGAGGGAGGGCATATATAGCATAAACAATATTATTATAAACAATAACATATGCAATACACAGACAATAGATATGTAACCTGTGTTATAAAAACAACAAAATAGAATAATATACTACAGAAAATACACTCAACAAAATAGTAGCAATGTATTATTATTCAATGAATACTATGTTGACATTGACTCAAGTGCACCCGGTAAGTGTATTTTTACTTTGAAAGACAAACAAGAGGCATTAGTCGTTTGTGCGGAGAAATCTCAATATAAAAAAAACAAAAAAAAAAACAATTTAAGCACTTGCACATTTGACTATGAGGTATACTGCAAATAACAAGTTAGTATATTTAATAAAGGATATTTAATATGACTTATCTGCAAAAAGCACCAAGAGTCGGTGCTTAAAGGGAAGTCCCTACTTGTACTTAATGCAGATGAGTCAAACTCCTAAATTATTTAAAATATATTTTAAAAACATATTTTTAAGATTATAGATTCTGTGTCCAGCCAGCAAAGATCATCAAGGGACGGTGCCATAGAATTTGAAATTCTTCTTATGATCTGTGCAGGCTTAACAGGGTATCCAAATTCATATTAAAGAGTTATATTGAAATTAGTTATTGCAGATTATGTTGTCCTTCAATTCTTAGTATCTTCTATATATTTATAAAATGCAAATAGTACATTGGGATCCTCATTATTCATTATCCAAATTAATTTGTTATTAATATTTAAATTTTGAAAGTTTGGACATGATTTAAATATACTTTGCATCAATTCCTCTCTTTTTAATAAATGAGTGTCACATTTAAATAAAAAATGAACTTCATCCTCAACCTCACCAGAGGTGCACCTGAGACAAATTCTGTTTTGTCGAAGAGTACCCTGGTATCTACCAGATTCAATTTGCAATTTGTGAGCAGATATTCTTAATCTAGTTATACATTTCCTTTGCTCAAAATGTCGCATTATTGACAAATTATTTTCAAAACCGAAGTTGCACTTGAATGTTACATAAGTTCGTAGTTTACCATCTTTATGTATATCTAGCTGTTTTTTCCACAATGTAGTATAGTATCCCTTAACAATCTGACCACAGTGTAATTTAAATGTTGAATATTTTTCAGGAATATGCTTTTCTATGCCTGACATTTTTTCCCTTAAAATATGAATCCATGTAGTTTAAATGAGAACTGAATACAAACATAATGGCCTCCAAAAATCCTACTTTTTGAAGGCTGTTAACTTTTATCCTGATAATAATTCACTCATGGTGTCTGTAGGCAAAATGTTGTCCTTTAACCGAATGTTTGCACCATGACAGAAAATATCTGTAAATCCAAAGTTTATATTTTTATCACTGATAATTGATACCCATTTTGGGGTATAATATCCATGAATGAGGATAATACCCATTTATGAGGATCCTCTCCAGCCTGTGAAAAGCATACTGACTTGAATACATGTCAGATATATAGCCTGTTAATGGTCTTCACCCATTTTGATAGTAGCAGGGGCAGGGGGGGGGGGGGGGGGGGTTGTTCCAACCATATGTCCCCATTCAAAAGCATTGATCGTCAAAAAAAATTGGGGGAGTTCTAACCCCCGGACTCCCCCCCCCCCCTGGATCCACCATTGAATAGTGGTATGCATTTTTTTACATGCACTTAGACGATTAATGGGCTATATATCTTACCTATAGTCAAGTCCCTATGGTGAAAAGGAGACATTGGGCATGTCAAGCATGATATGTACATCAGCCAATTAAAAAATTATTAAGGATGTTCGCTCCTCTTGTTTTTCGAATTTTTGCCAGAGGTATTCTGAATCCTCTGGTTTTATCCATGTAGTGCCATTAAAAAAATTCCCCACTAACCCCTACTTTTCCTTTCATAATTTTATTACATATAGTTTTAAAAGCCATATTTGAAAATGCTATAAAATCCTTGTTATTTTTTCATAATTTTTGAAAGAAAAAGGGTGCCAATGTTAAATGTATGAAAAGTCTAGAGAGAATTATTTCCCGCCAAATTTTTAATAGCTTATATCTCGAAAACAAGCACACGAACCCTTAATTTTTTCCTGCTTTTTTAGTTCCATTATTTATATACTATTAGTTTATAACAGTCTTTTAAAAAGCTTGTTATTTTGAAACAGAGTAGTGAACATCCTTAAACCTGAAAAGTTATTTGAATGTCGGCATTATTTCTTTAACAATTAATTGACAAGTGTTTATACCATATATACATATGTCAAGATCTGAATCCCCAAGACTTTTAGCTAAATTGTGAATAAATTTTAAAAACACTTGCCCGCAGAAAAAAAAGAATGCGTAGAAATAGAAGAAAATAAATGAAAAATCCATACCGGGTAAATCCTTCTCTCCCAGAATATCAAATGGGTTTACCCTAAGTTGAATTGTAGAAAAAAACAGATGGGGCTGCTGACTTGGAATGAGTTACAATGTATTTCTATTTTAGCTGATAATTCCTTTTATATACATTGTCTCTTTTTTCAGGCCAAAAGTTATTCCATTTTATCCTACATGTACAGTTTTTGTTTTTGTTTATGACAAAACTTACAGACCAAGCTTGGACAAAATTGGCTATTTGTATAATATCATCAATGACCATGTACATTCTGAGGCGTGTGAATTCTTCCTTGTTGGAAATAAAATTGATGAAAGAGAGAAAGAAGTAGTGAGCAGACAGGAAGGTTTGAATAAAAAGAAACAGTTAAATATGAAATTTTTCATTGAAACTTCAGCAGTAAGTGGAGAAAACATAGAGACTTTATTTAAAGTAATAACTGAGACTGTGAGGAAAAAACAGGAGGAAAAGGGTGGCACAGTGTTTTTGCAAGATCATCAACCTGAAAAGTCAATGTGTCCTTGTTAATCTGTCTCATAGAGCTTTCATTTCATTTAAAGATGTGCAATACATGTAACTTAAAATAATAACAATGTTGTGTTTTTTTATTATTTCCAACAACTTATGTGCTACATCAAAAAGGAAAAAGGAAGTCTTAAAACCTCAGTAATTATAATTTTTTTTACCACTTTTTTTAATATGTTGTCTGAATAGATCTGGATCAAAACTGGTCACAATCATATTCTGTGTTTTACGATGACTGCCATTGTTTTTAAATGTTTTAATGTTGCATATTTATAGTGTCAGTTTAGCCATTCATACTCATTGGAGTCTTTAGTTTTGTCTCAATCTCATAATTTGTATTTAAAAAAGATGAAAATCTAAAACCTATAATTTGTTGTATTAAAATATGTAATAAAACTAAAAATTCATTTTAATATATATGAAACTTTGACCTTAATGAGCAGTTGAGATGTTAGGTTACAGATGAGGGTCTGGGTGGGTTTTACAGAATAAAGAATAATTGTTAATGTCCAAAAAAATATTGAATAGAGAAAAATGAGCAAAAATTCAATAATAGAGAATAGTGGGGTGCAAAAGTATAAAGAAAAACTGTAGAAAATAATAAAATTAAGTAATACAATACTGATAACAGAAATGAACGCTATACAGAATAAAAAAATCATGTAATTACAAAAACAATTAATAGCAAAATTATTTTGATGAACATTTTAATTTTTAAGATAAAAAAAAATGCATGACAAAATTTATAGAATTCAGATACATGTATTAAGGACCCCCATCCAGACCCTTGATAAAACAAAGGGCATTGAAGACTTAAGAACATACAATGTATTTTTTTCTGAATGTATTGGTTACAATTACAGTCCTGTGGATTTATTTTATTCGTTGGATACCAATTTTATGGATTCTGTGAGTACATGTGAACCAAAAATTTAAATGTTGAACGAATGACACATTTTCTATATTGTCGTATGCAGACTTTGGCAAAACCATGACATTAAAACCGCTGAATTAAATATCCACAAAAATGCAATTTTTCCCAAACCATGAAAATAAATGAATCCCCAGTAATGTACTTGTTATTAGTATGTTGTGTATGTGGGCTTATCTGCTTTAAATAGATTCCATTTGCGACTGAAGAGGGTGATATAGGCAAAGGGAACTTAGGACAATAACTAATATATATATATATATATAAATGTTTTATTTATATTTACAGTTGCTCAAAGTAATTTGTCGTCAAAATGATAAGTAATTAAAACAGTAGGAATGCTAGTATGAAATTTGTATTTAAGCATAAAATCTTAGTATCGACTGTTGGGTAAAAAGGGGCCACATCTTATAATATTTGTCGTTTATACCTGATTTATTTCAAATGGTTTTTTAAACTTTTTTTTTATTTTGTATTTATTGATGTGTTTACAAATATATATATGGCTGTTTTATATATAAATTTTTATAGTTGTCTTTTTTAAGGTGCAACCTTTGTCAGATTTCTTTGGTGCTAAAATTAATGATCTGATATTCATTTGAAACATTGGTTTGACAATTGTTTTTATAAAACATATTCAATTGTGCCAACATTTTTTTGATATTATGAAATGACATTTGTTTTTAATTAGATAATTTTTATGAAAGAATTTACCATTTAACAGAGAACAGCTCTTTATTTTATAATACATGTAATGTGTTTAACTTAATATATAGGGATTCCAATAGAAGATTGTATCTTACTTTTTTGCCGATACACATGTGTTTGGTTTAAGTGTTGAGAGTTTCGAATTTCCATTTAATGTTCCCAATTCCTTCAGGATATATATGTATCATATTCTATCAGTCTCTTAAGTTTTTTAAAGATATATCGAGGCACTGATTGATAGGAAAAAAAATTAAAACTGGTGTTGGTTTTAGTTGTTTAAAGTAATATTCGTCGGACATTAAGTAGCATAAATGAGATCTATATTGGTAAAACTGTATGGGTTTTCTCTACTAGGGTTGCTGTTGTCTGTGAAAATATACCAAATTAAAAAAAAATGAAACCCAAATAAAAAACTAGAGACCTTTATGATATATTCAAAATTTGTGTAAAGGAACAAAATGGTAAATTGTCCCCGGGGGAGTTACTTCTAAATTGTCACTATGTTTCTTTGATGCAGAATGGTATTTATTGTCTCACCTGCGACGAAAGTTGCAGTATGCGAGATAACAGTATTACTATCCGGGGGCGGCAACTTTTGTCGCAGAAAGCTCGACATAGGGATAGTGATCAGGCGGCGGCAGCGTTAGCTAACTTCTTAAAAGCTTTATATTTTAGAAGGTGGAAAGTCTGGATGCTTCATACTTTGTAAATGGATGCCTCATGTTACGAGGTTTCCGTCAGTCACATGTCCAATGTCCTTGACCTCATTTTCATGGTTCAGTGACTACTTGAAAAAAAAGTTAAGCTTTTTTGTAATGTTAAATTCTCTCTTATTATAAGTTATAGGATAACTATATGTGGTATGTGCGTACCTTGCAATGTCCTCATGCCCGTCAGACAGTTTTCACTTGACCTCGACCTCATTTTTTTGGATCAGTGAATAAGGTTAAGTTTTGGTGGTCAAGTCCATATCTCAGATACTATAAGCAATAGGTCTAGTATATTCGGTGTATGGAAGGACTGTAAGGTGTACATGTCCAACTGGCAGGTGTCAACTGACCTTGACCTCATTTTCATGGTTCAGTGGTTATAGTTAAGATTTTGTGTTTTGGTCTGTTTTTCTTATACTGTATGCAATATGTCTTCTATATTTGGTGTATGGAATGATTGTAAGGTGTACATGTCTAGCTGGCAGGTGTCATCTGACCTTGACCTCATTTTCATGGTTCAATGGTCAAAGTTAAGTTTTTGAGTTTTGGTCTTTTTTTCTAATACTATATGCAATAGTTCAACTATATTTGGTGTATGGAAATATTTTATGATCTATTTGTCAGTCATACAGGTTTTTTTTTTTACCTTGACCTTATTTTCAAGGTTCATTGCTCAGTGTTAAGTTTTTGTGTTTTGGTCTGTTTTTCTTAAACTATAAGCAATTGGTCAACTATATTTGTTGTATGGAAGAATTGTTAGCTGTAAATGCCTGCCTAGCATGGTTCATCTGACCTTGACCTCATTTTCATGGTTCATTGGTCAATGTTTAGTTTACTTGTTTAATGTTAAGTTTATGTGACAGTTGTAATAAATCTTTATATTTAGGACTATCAACATAATATCAATGATTAGTAAAGAAGGCGAGACATTTCAGCGTGTGCACTCTTGTATTTCAGAAGGTAGAAGACCTGGATGCTTCATACCTTGTGTGCAGATACCTTATGTTACGAAGTTTCTGCCTGCCATATGCCCTTTGTCCTTGACCTCGTTTTCATGGTTCAGTGACTGCTTGAAAAAAAAATATATTTTTGTCATGTGAATTTCTCACTTATTGTGAGTAATAGGATAACTATATTTGGTATATGGGTTCCTTGCAACGTCTACATGTCCTTCAGACAGGGTTAACCTGACCTCGACCTCAATTCATGGATCATTGATCAAGGTTAAAGTTATGTGATTAGGTCCGTTTCTCAGATATTACAAGCAGCAGGTCAACTGTATGTGGTGTATGGAATGATTGTAAGGGGTACATGTCAGACTGGCAGGATTCATCTGACCTTGACCTCATTTTCATGGTTCATTGGTCATTGTTAAATTTTTGTGTTTTGGTCTGTTTTTCAAGTACTGTAAGCAATAGGTCAACTATATTTGGTGTATGGAATGATTGTAAGGTGTACATGTCTGTCTAGCTGGTGTCATCTGACTTTGACCTCATTTTAATGGTTCATTGGTCAATGTTAAGTTTTTGTGTTTTGATCTGTTTTTCAAAACTAATAGCAATAGGTCAACTATAATTGATGTATGGAATGATTGAAAGGTGTACATATCTGTCTAGCCAGAATCATCTGACCTTGACCTCATTTCCATGGTTCATTGGTTAACATTAAGTTTATGATTTTTGATCTGTTTTTCAATTACCATAAGCAATGGGTCAGCTTTATTTGGTGTATGGAATAATTGTTAGGTGTACATGTCTGTGTGACAGTTTTTATCTGACCTTGACCTCATTGTCGATCTTTAAAAATGTTAAGTTTATTTGATATTTGTAGTAAAACCTTTATCTTTGAGACTTTCAACATGAAATCAATGGTCAGTAAAACAGGAGAGCCATTTCAGCGTGTGCACTCTTGTTAACACCTGTCCAGTTTTTTATACCTTTTGCAACCTTTGAAATTTTAGTTGGAATATCTACTTAATATTCTTTATCTTAACACATTTTTTGCATAGTTTTCTAAAATTCTATCTTACCTTTTGTATATTATATGAAGATGATATTATAGATTGTATCATTATAACTATAGTATTAGTGTTTTGAAGCGTTCTTCTGGAAAATATTATTCAAATATTGCATATTTATCATAGTTGTTATTTATAATAAAATACTATTACATTTTGTTGTCATTTAAAATTGGTGTTTTCTCTAGGAAATATTTATGTTGAAATGTGAGTTGCAGAAGTTAACATTTAAACTAGTCAAAAAATGTGCATGGATGCAAATTGGAAATGAACAGATTCGATCAAACATTTTTATTCAAACAACTAAATTGACTATATTTTTAAACATTTGAAAAATTGACAGTTTAAAACACATGTGACAATCCTAGCGCACTTGCCATGTGCAGGTCTAGATCTCATAAACTCAGTGTTGACAGGCTAGTGCTACAGTAGTTAGACTACTTAGTCCACTCGGTCCCCGAGTTCCCTATTAGAATGACTTAATTTTTTCATCAATCTTAGGATCATTTGACCATGACCTTATTTTCATGGTTCAGTGATTAACTAGGTTAGGTTCCTTTCTCGAATACTACAAGTAAAAAGTCAACTACACTTAACAACAAAAGAAACGCACCACATCCATTAATTTCTTTGGAGTTGAAATTTCTGTTGCATGTAACTTTTTAAACTAGAGGCTCTAAAGAGCCTGTGTCGCTCACCTTGGTCTAAGTGCATATTCGACAAAGGACACTCTCCGACATTGTAGACAAGAATAAAATTCACGACAAAAATCTCCTGTTTTGTTGATCTTGTATTGCTGATCATTTAGTCAGTTTTGTTTCTCTCTATCTTCTTTAGTTTTTGCTCAAAACACAAAAGAGGGTAAAAAAATCCTCATTTAAGGGCAACCACTCCTATAAAGAGTGACAGTCTACTAACTATATCGGCAAAATTTGACTTGTTAGTAGATCTTGCCTTGCTAATCATTTTTGTGATTTCAAGTGTCTATTTATCTATTACAATTTTTTTGTCATCAAAGGGCAATAATTCTAATAAGGAGTCGACTGGCGATTTTGACCATGTTTGACTTATTTGTAGAAATTGTCTTGCTGATCATTTTTGCAGTATAAAGTTTCTCTCCATCTATTTATTGCTTTCAAGATAAAAGGCAAAAATGAAAAACAATGGTAAAATTTGTCATTTAAGGGCAATAACTCATATAAGAAGTCGTCTGACAGTTTTGATGTGAATGAACAATTGGTAGAGCTCAACATTTTGAACATTTTGGCTTTGTCAGATTTCCTCTATTTATAACGGCTTTCAAAATAAGTCAAAACTTGCATTTTACCCCTATGTTCTATTTTTAGCCATGTCGGCCATCTTGGTTGCCAGGTGGGATCACCAGACACATTTTTTTTAACTAAGATACTCCAGTGATGATTGTGGCCAAGTTTTGTTAAATTTGGCACAGTATAGTTTCATCAGAGAAGATTTTTGTTAAAGTTAACAATGACGGACGACGGACACCAAGTGATGAGAAAAGCTCACTTGACCCTTGGGGTTAGGTGAGCCGAAAAATGATTGAAATGACTCAAAATTTTTAAATGTTTCTGAAGTCATTAAGGCCAAATTCTGTGAAAATAAAATTTTTCTTAATTTTAATTCTTTACATCTCAAAAAAACACATTTTTAACCAAAAAAACAAAAAATGTTGTCTAATTTTTTAAAACTAAAGTTGTGAGTATCTTGTTTTTGAATGGATCAAATCCCTGAATACAATCTATAAACTAGATACCCTAAGGAACATTCAATTAAAGTTTTTAAGTATTTGGCCAAGTAGTTTCAGAAAAGAAGATTTTTGAAAAAGTAATTAGACTTTCACAAAAAATGTTAAAAAAAACATTTTAAGGGCAATAACTCCTTAAGGGGTCAATTGACTATTTTGATCATGTTGACTTAGTTGTAGATCTTACTTAGCTGAACATTTATTGCCATTTATACTTTCTATCTATTATAATATTAAAGCAAATAATCAAAAACAGTAAAATTTAATAAAAATAAACTATTTCAAACAGTAACCCAACAATAGGTTGTCGAACTTGTCTGAAAATTTCATAACAGATAGAACATGACCCATTTATCACTTTAACTCCCGTTCACTTTTAATCTAACTCCTGTAGTTTTTGAGATATAAGCCAAAAACTGCTTTTGTCCCCTATGCTCTATTTTTAGCCATGGTGGCCATGTTTGTATAATATTCAAGATAATAACCAAAAACTGCAAAATTTCCTTAAAATTACCCATTTAATGGCAGCAACCCAACAATGTCTTTGATCTTGACCTATTGAACATTTTTACCCCATGTCAGATTTGCTATAAATGCTTTAGTTTTTGAGATATAAGCCAAAAACTGCATTTGACCCCTTATGTTCTTTTTTAGCCATGGCGGCCATGTTTGTTGATGGATCAAAACTTTGAATGCAATTTATAAACTAAGATACCCTCAGGAACATTCAGATAAAGTTTGAAGATATTTGGCCCAGTAGTTTCAGAGAAGATTCTTGAAATAGTTTACGACGATGACAGACGACGGACGACGACAGACGCCAAGTGATGGCATAAGCTCACATGGGGACTTTCGGGGCCCTGGTGAGCTAAAAATTACGGACTATCAGTTTCTTGATAGAATTCTTATATCTGTTGACCAATTTGAGATGGACTTGTCTTAGACTTTTGTTTTTGAAATCTCCATTGTCGCCACATAATGAAAATTTCTCTATAAACTCTGCATTAATTTAAATGTTATAATAAAAATATAATGGATTTCTACAAATTTGTTGAAAAAACAAAAAATTGTGGAACTACTTTATATGCTAAGATGTGGTGCATTATTTGTGCTGTTACGTATATATTTGGTTTATAGAATGATTGTGAGCTGTTCATCCATTATATTTTTATTATAACATTTAAATTAATGCAGAGTTTATAGAGAAATTTTCATTATGTGGCGACAATGGAGATTTCAAAAACAAAAGTCTGAGACAAGTCCATCTCAAATTGGTCAACAGATATAAGAATTCTATCAAGAAACTGATAGTCCGTAATTTTTAGCTCACCAGGGCCCCGAAAGTCCCCATGTGAGCTTATGCCATCACTTGGCGTCTGTCGTCGTCCGTCATCATCGTAAACTATTTCAAGAATCTTCTTTGAAACTACTGGGCCAAATATCTTCAAACTTTATCTGAATGTTCCTGAGGGTATCTTAGTTTATAAATTGCATTCAAAGTTTTGATCCATCAACAAACATGGCCGCCATGGCTAAAAAAGAACATAAGGGGTCAAATGCAGTTTTTGGCTTATATCTCAAAAACTAAAGCATTTATACAAATCTTGACATGGAGTAAAAATGTTCAATAGGTCAAGATCAAAGACATTGTTGGGTTGCTGCCATTAAATGGGTAATTTTAAGGAAATTTTGCAGTTTTTGGTTATTATCTTGAATATTATAGATAGAGATAAACTGTAAACAGCAATAATGTCCAGCAAAGTAAGACTACAAAAAAGCTAATATGACCAAAATTGTCAATTGACCCCTTAAGGAGTTATTACCTTTTAAAGACAATTTTACACAATTTGTTCATCATGTTTGCTAACATTTAAAAAAGTTCTCCTCTGAAACTACTGGGCCTAATACTCCTAAACTTGAACTGAATGTTCCTTAGGGTAACTGGTTTGTAAATTATATCCGAAGTTTTGATCCCTTAACAAACATGGCCGCCGTGGCTAAAAATAGAACATAGGAGTCAAATGCAGTTTTTGGTATTTATCTCAAAACCTATAGCAGTAAGTTAAAGTGATGAATAGGTCAAAATCTATCTGCTATGAAATTTTCAGACCAATTGGACCAACCATTGTAGGGTTACTGTCGGAAATAGTTTATTTTAATTTACTGTTTTTGGTTATCATCTTTAATATTATAATAGATAGAGAGAAAGTGTAAATGGCAAAAATGTTCAGCTTAGTAGGATCTTCAAATAAGTCAAATTATCAAAATAGTCAATTGACTCCTTAAGGAGTTATTGTCCTTGAAATGTTTATTTTTTACTAAATATTACGGACTTTCAGTTTCTTGATAGAATTCTTATCTGTTGACCAATTTGAGATGGACTTGTCTCAGACTTTTGTTTTTGAAATCTCCATTGTCGCCACATAATGAAAATTTCTCTATAAACTCTGCATTAATTTAAATGTTATAATAAAAATATAATGGATTTCTACAAATTTGTTGAAAAAACAAAAAATTGTGGAACTACTTTATATGCTAAGATGTGGTGCATTATTTGTGCTGTTACGTATATATTTGGTTTATAGAATGATTGTGAGCTGTTCATCTGACCTCAACTTCATTTTCATGGTTCATTGTCAGCATTTTTTAATAATTAGGTCTGTTTTTTCAGGACAATGAGTTTTACTAAACTATGTTGGGCTTCTAGAATGATTATAAGATATAATTGTCTGTCCACAGGTGTCACCAGACCTTGAGTTCATTTTCATAATTCACTGGTCAATGTTAAGTTTTCATGATGTTTCTTTTTAATAATACTATAAGTAATAGGTCAACCCACAGAACTGTAATTCAAAAATTAGTGTGTGCATTTATCATACCCCTGCTTTAAAAAAAAGTTTTCAGATTCATCACTCAACAATTTCCTGTTGACCGAACAATTGTATCATTTTACACATGATAGTCAAGTTGAAAATTTTCGTCACATTTATCTCAGGAACTACAATACAAGGATTTCTGAAATTTGGTTTTAGGGTTTATATAAGTCAGCTATAATACCGTGTGATGCGTCTTCAGATTCATCACTCAACAGCTTCCTGTTTACTGAAAAATTTGGGCGGGGGTATCATCAGTGAGCAGTAGCTCGCAGTTTCACTTGTTATTACATTTTTTTTTAGATGGACAATATTGCAAAATTCATAATGGCTATTTCTTAGAAAATCTGCATACAAATACATGTATCGAATTCAAAATAGTTCCCATTAATGCGATCCTTATTAATAAAATAAATAATAGCCAATAATTAAAAAGATTTCAGAAAATTTTAAATTAAAAATATTACAATATTGTTATTATTAGATGAACAATTGGATCATTTTAAAATAATAACTTCAACTTTTTCATTTAAACTAATTAATTTAAACTAACACTTTATAACCATATATAATTACAAAAGGTACGAAACGTCTCAGTTACAAAACAACAACGTAGTTACGAATCGACCAGGTACGAAACGACCAGGTTACGAAACGACCAGGTTACGTAACGACGTGCATTCCCTCATCTAGTTGCATTATTCCCATTAATAAAAACCTCATAATAATTTCTAACTTTACAGTAGTAAAAGATGTGTACATTGATTGTAAGGGTACAAGTCAATCTGTCAACATATATTTGTTTCACCTAACAGAAGTTCCCCTGGAACCTTTGTTATAAACAATGCCATAATATGTGTTTCAGTTGGAACAGATATTCTGTACCCTTTATTCTGTTAGGAACAAATACTGTAATATTTCTTCCACTTGGAACTTGTATTATGAAGGAATTTCTATTGCATGACACATTTGACATTAACTTTTGATCATCGGTAAATATAAATTTTCATATTAGAACTGTTTCTAAAATATCAATAGTTAACTATATTAGGTGGATATAATCATTGTTAATTGTAGATGTCTGTCTGACGGTTAGTTCTCTTACTTCTATCAACATTACTAATTAAAGAACCTTTGTGAGCAAGTTCACATACCCCACAGCCCATTGTCACTGGGTAAACAAAATCTCAGACTCATAACTCCTACAAAAGTAAACTGATAACAATTCTTGTTGATATGTACATCTACATATTATGTTCTTATTGTCTATAGTTTCATGAAACTCTGTTGTGGGGTTTCAGAGTAGTTGCCATGACAAATCTGTTGCAGTAGTATATTTAAGCCAAAACTCTTAATTTCAAAGGGGCATAACTCCTAGTAAAAATAAAATGCTCCGCAGGGCGCAGCTTGATACGACTGCAGAGGTCGAACCCTGAACAGTTGGGGCAAGTATGGACACAACATTCAAGCTTGATACAGCTCTGAATTTGGATTGTGATTAAATATTTGACACAGCATAGGTTTCTGACACAGAATGAATGTGGTCTAAGAACTTAAAAATTTTAAATTGGACATTCACCTATTATGGTCCAATATCCAAAATCTAAATACATGGTTAGATTCAGCATATCAAAGAACCCCAAGAATTCAATTTTTGATGAAATCAAACAAAGTTTAATTTTGGACCCTTTTGACCTAAATGTGGACAAAGTTGATAACGGGGCCCAAAAATCAAAAATCTAAATGCATGGTTAGATTCAGCATATCAAAGAACCCCATATATTCAATTTTTGTTGAAATCAAACAAAGTTTAATTTTGGACCCCGATTAGGACCAACTTGAAAACTGGGCCCATAATCAAAAATCTAAATACATGTTTAGATTCAACATATCAAAGAACCCTAAGAATTCAATTTTTGTTAAAATCAAACTAAGTTTAATTTTGGACCCTTTGGACCTTAATGTAGACCAATTTGAAAACGGAACCAAAAATTAAGAATCTAAATACACGGTTAGATTCGGCATATCAAAGAACCCCAATAATTCAATTTTTAATGAAATCAAACAAAGTTTAATTTTGGACCCTTTGGACCTCAATGTGGACCAATTTAAAAACGGGGCCCAAAATCCAAAAACTTAATACACGGTTAGATTCAGCGCATTAAAGAACCCCAAGAATTCAAGAATAAAACCCCATTGAAATTGGTCAAGAAATAAGCAATTTATACAAAGTATCTTCTTTTGCACAATACTGTGCAATTGAATATTTCTTGCTATTGCGCAATACTGTACAATTGACAATTTCTTGCTATAGCGCAATATTGTGCTATTGGATATTTCTTGCTATTGCGCAATACTGTGCAATTGAAGATTTCTTGCTATTGCACAATACTGTGCAATTGAAGATTTCTTGCTATTGTGCAATACTGTGCAATTGAAAATTTCTTGCTATTGCACAATACTTATTATATAATAATTTACACATCCTGTTTGGTGTGTATCTCCTACCATATCATTATTATTTGCTTTTAAATATAAATCAGAAATAACCAACTTAAAATGGAAAATTTTAAAAGAAAAAAAAAAAGGAAAAAAAGAAAAAAAAGGAAAACCCCCCCCCCCCCCCCAAATTTTTTGAACCCCCTTATGATTCATCACCCCCAAACTCAATCCCAGCCTTCCCTTTGTGGTATGGTACCTTGCAGTACAATTTCAGAGAGATCCATACACTTGAACACAAGTTATTGTCTGGAAACTAGAAAAATGTGTTTTTTGGCCCCTTTTTGGCCCCAAATTCCTAAACTTTTAGGGCAATTACCCCCAAACTCAAACCCAGCTTTCCCTTTGACATATGGAACCTTGTAGTACAATTTCAGAAAGATCCATACACTTACACACAAGTTATTGTCCTGAAACTAGAAAAATGCTTGTTTTTTGCACCTTTTTGGCCCCTAATTCCTATAATATTGAGGCAATTACCCCCATCATCAATCCCAGCCTTCCCTTTGTGGTATGGTACCTTGCAGTACAATTTCAGAGAGATCCATACACTTGAACACAAGTTATTGTCTGGAAACTAGAAAAAATGCTTATTTTTGGCCCCCAATTCCTAAACGTTTTGGGCAATTACCCCCAAACTCAATTCCAGCTTTCCCTTTGTGATATGGAACCTTGTAGTACAATTTCAGAAATATCCATACACTTACACACAAGTTATTGTCATGAAACTAGAAAAATGCTTGTTTTTTGCCCCTTTTTTGGCCCCTAATTCCTAAAATATTGAGGCAATTACCCCAAAATCAATTCCAGCCTTCCCTTTGTGATATGGAACCTTGTGGTTTAATGTCAGAGAGATCCATACACTTACACACAAGTTATTGTCTGGAAGTTACAAAAATGCTTATTTTTGGCCCCTAATTCCTTAACTGTTGGTACCATAACCCCCAAAATCAATCCCAACCTTCCTTTTGTGGTATTGAACCTTATGGTAAAGTTTCATAGAGATCCATTCACTTAAACTAAAGTTATAGTGCGAAAACTAATGTGTCTTCGGACGACGACGACAACAACGTCATACCATAATACGACCGCAAAATTTTTGCGGTCGTATAAAAATGAATCATATGCACATCTACATAGTATGTCCTTATTATCTACAAAGTTTCATGAAATTCTGTTGTGGTTTCTGAGGAGTTGCGATGACAAGAACAGGACTGAAGGACAGACAGATGGGCCAAAAACATTATACCCTACGGAACTTTGTTATGTCAGGTATAATAACTATATGTACTGTGCTAGTTAACAGTGTGAAGTTGATCAAATTCACATGCCAATGATTTTGTGGGTGTATTCTAGATTATGTGTTATTAAAAAGTATTCCTTCCTGGTTTTTTAATGTATAGTGTATTTCAAGTAAAACAAGCATGACAAAAAAAAGTGTTGAAAACTGATTATTTAAGTGAATTTTCTAAGTCCAAGGACCATAACTCTGCACAAAATCATCAGACCGGAACAAAATTCGAACTTGATCTGTAACTTGTCATGATAAAACAATACACAAAATATCAAATCAATATCTTCAAGCGTGAAGAAAAAAAGTGTGGAAAACTGATTTGCCAGACTGACGGATGTGGACAGACAGACAGACAGACAGACGGATGGAGAGCAAACCTAAAGTCCCCTTCGATTTCGACGGTAGGGGACTAATAAATGGGGAATGTGTCCATTGGACACAGATGATGCCCCCGCTTACATATAAGGTTATAAAGGGACATAACTCAAGAACGATAAAAGTGATGCTACCTAAATTCATACTTGATCCGAGTTCTGTGGTAATAAGCATTGTTCATAAGTTTCATAACATTTGGTTGAGGCAAAGTTAAGTAAGAGAACAGAAACAAAAAATTCAGCAATTACTCTTTTGTAAACGGGCATAACTCTAGAACGGTAAAAGTGAAGCCACCAAAATTCAAACTTGATCTCTGTTTTGTGGTAATAAGCATTGTGTATAAGTTTCATAACATTTGGTTGAGGCAAACTAAAGTTAGAGAAAGGAAACCAATTTTGTGACGTACGTATGCGCAAGGGTAAAACTTAATGCCCCCTACTCTATGGTGGGGGCATAAAAAAAAACACTTCTTTCCCCAACAACCAAATGGTTTCAAACTTGCCAAAAATTGGTACAACTTTCTCCTTTTTTCTGCATGCAGGTCTAGCACAAAAAAATACAACAAGACTTGTTTTTAAGTAATTCTTTTCATCAATTTTAATATAATATTTATATTACATATACAGTTTGATGGAAATCTCTATGATTGGGACAATTCCATGCTATATCTACACTCATTTAAAAACCTTGGAATTGCATATACCAAAGTGGGACCTGCTCCCTTATGTTAAAACATTAACAAATTAAAAACTGGCCCTATGTACATCATAAATTCCAAATTAGGAATGTCAACATGAAATTATTAAAAATTATATCATCTATTCAAATTCGGGGCAAGTGTTAATCCAAGTTAGCATAAGGAACAGATTATTATCCACTAAAGGAATGGTTGCATTCTGAACTTCAATTCAATGACTTGACTCTTCATTTTTTTTTACTTAACTAATGTTGAAATCTGATTAACTTTCTTTATATCATATTAATTTTTACAATCAATATTCATTTTTCATTTTAAAGTGTTTTTTTTATATAAAATGCATGGTTTTTATTTAACAAGAAATTTTCACAATACTCGTTAATAAACAATTATCATTATGTCATTCACAAAATACACAATTTTTTTCTTTGGTGGGAGGAACTGTTTTTCACAGATAAGATGAAAATCTTCTCCTTAAATTTTAATTAGTATTAACATTTACATTTTTATTATTTCAACAACTAATCAAATCATTCTTTGAAATAGAAAAATTAACAAAATTAACAATTATTTGTTTTTTATTTGAAATTTGATTATCTCTAAAAGCAGTTTCGTAATTTGCATATATTTTTTATACAAACAGATTCTCTGAGGTACCTTTTTGTGATATACTTTTTACCTGAATATATTTCCCAGCAAAGATAAATAATTTAACAAACATTTTGCCTCCTTTTCAAAGGATATTCTTTTTTTATATTAATAAACCAACGAGAAATATTTTCCAATTGTATATCCCATTAACAAAATTACAGAGGAAACAATTGTCTCCCTTTAACACTATGAACCAAAGGGAGATAATTGTTTAATTTGTGTAATTCTGCTATTAAAGTGAGGGAGTCTGACTAATACATCTCAGTAAAATATTTATTTACAAAAACTGAAGCAAATGGACTTTGAAAGTCCAAGAAAATGAGACAGACTTTGAAGGCTTTTTAAAAAACAAAGAAAGAGAAAAGTAAACAAAGAAAAATGTTGGCCACTTTTGAAGCAGTGGTGAGGATTTGTGCATCACGTGAATATCAATGCTTTAACAGAATATAACGTTTCTATAATGTTTGGCATATGGCATTCCGAACACAATGAACACCTGTTGTCATTATAAAAATACATAAAAATATGATTGGGTTGAAGAAATGTACAACGTTTTGTTGTGTAATACCCTGCCTGGTCAATAATATATATACAACAGACCACATAAAGAAATCTAAATCAAATAACTTAATTCATCGTTCATTAGTTCACACACTCTAATCATGACAAGACTGATATATGAAGATACACTTTGTTGTAGTGTCATTTGTAAGAAAACATTTTAGAATGGACAAAGCATTTGCTGAAGCAAAATTTATGATTTGAGGTAAATCAGTAATGAGTTTGCAGAAATTAAGTTTCATCAATGGTTTTTAAGCTTTAATATGATACAGAATGAAAATAATCTGTGTTATTTAGAAGCTTAGAATATATTTATGAAAATTACCATCACAAACGTACCAATGATTTTAAAATGTTATGTCCCTAACCATAGGTCACCTTTTTAAAGGCTTCTCTCACACATTAAAATCATGTTTTAGTTTATTTAATCGAAGCAGAATCAAATATCACATAATGAATAAAAACTGAAAACACTTGACCAAGATATAAGACAAACATCATAAAACACTACACAGAAAACTGAAGATTGGATCATTATCTTTATAGAAATTTTTCCCAATTCTTTCAAAAATAACTATAAATGGCATGACCAAAAACTAATATGGTCCATGTAATATTTGTAGGACAAAACCAGAATTTCCTAATAACAGAACAGCAGAGAATCAGGACATTAAATTCTTTCTTTATGTGGTCTGATATTTGTGTTTTCTACATATATATTCTCATTCATAAATATATACAATTAATTCTCTTCATAGCACTATAAAATATCAAATATAAACACAATTTCACAATGTGATGCAACCAGCAACTCAATACGTGTTCACATTTTTCACTCTTGCCACTTAGTATGCAAATAAAACAACATGACCATAAAATAATCTGAGCTTTTCAAGAAAATACCTCCAGGGAGCGTTATACCATTAAAACAACATTCTAAATAATATGTGCAGTAGAAATATTCAGTCAAAACATTTAAAAGAATGAATATTAGTTTGTGACTATTTTTTTCAACATTTTAAAGATGGGATAATATACCATGTTTTTTTAAGCTCCAACTCAGCAGATTAGAATTGCCCAAAGGTTCTGTAATAGATAGAAGTTAGTTACCTCCAAATGTTTTGTACAACATCTTTCTTCCTTAGGCTCTGATGAATTTTTGAGGGAGATAATTTAATAATATACACAAAACACATGGTCAGTTACTTTACCTGTAGTTTCTTATGGTCAAAATTATCTTATATCTCCTTATTTTAACAATGTTAATACAATGTAAAAAATAATCATCAAATCTCAAACTACATTTCCAGTCAAGATTAAGTTTGGAATTAGCATCCAGATGTGGTTCTAAACTGCAATCAATTAATCAATCAATCAAACTTCAGGGTTATTCCAGAAAACAATTGTAAGACGTTTTGGGGTTGTAAGAATCATAAGAGGGTTGGTTTATGGTTGTAGGAATTGTAAAAGGATTTCAGGGTTTGTAAAAAGTTTTTTCTCACACATTTTTTTTTTATCTGAAAAATTCATTTGAAAAATTTGTAAATTCTATTTTGAAATAAACAATCAAAACATTTTTGACTTTAGGAATATTACAACCCATATGAGACGATTTGTTTTTGAAATAGCCCACAAGGTACCTATACCAAAGAAGGTATTGTATTATGTAGTTGCATCGATTTTTTGGGGGGATAGATTTCTATTCTACAAAATGCATCTTGACACTTGCTAAATTTGAGAGAATTATAAAAATTAATGACATTCTGGTTAATAATGGGGTGGGTGTCTGTTATTTTGATTCTTATGGACAAACATTGCAGCAAAATTGGTTCAACCATTAATGCATAGGTGTATTTATACTGTAAACTATAGTAGTACTTTTGATAATATAAACTCAACTTCTATTTAATCTGAATGAACACCTATTTCATCTCAATAAAATATTCAGCCTCAAGTTCTTTTCACATGGGTTTTTTTCTCTCTCTTTTCTTTTTGCAAGAAACAGTTGTATGGAAGAAATAAGTTGCATTCTGGGAAAAATGAACTAATTGTTTCAATTCATTATCCATCAGACTGAGCTAGGCATTTCATAAAAGGTAAATATAACATTACATCAAAAGTTCAATTTCAGGTCAATTCTGATTTCAATTGTTTAAAATGCATTTTTAATTACTGCTAGCATTTTAAATAGAAATTCTTTCAGTAGAAAGGTTGATTTAGGTAACTCTGCATTAGTTTACAGTTTTTTTGGGTGCAAAGATCTCTTTAAAAGATCATAACTGAATTAATAAAGAGCTGCGCCATGAGCGCATGATAAGCCCGTCGCTTTTTCAATAGATATAAACCAGTCACCAAAGTTTCATGAAACTGCTCAAGGCATTTTTGAGTAATTGTCCGAAAAACTGGAAAATCCCCCTTTTTTAATGAATAAAACCCCCACAACTCGGAAACGTAAAATCTAAAATTTATTGAATTCGAAAGGGAGGTCACATCAATAGACATAAACAATTCACCAAAGTCTCATGAAAACTGCTCAAGGCATTTTTGAGTAATTGTCCGAAAACGGGAAAATCTCCCTTTTTTAATGAATAAAACCCCATAACTCAGAAACTATGAAAATGGAAAGGGAGCTCACATCAATAGATATAAAAATTCACCAAAGCTTCATGAAAACTGTTCAAGAAAACTGTTCAAAGCATAATACGTCCAGTAAACTCCGAAATAAATTACCAAATGATTTTTTTTAATGATTGTATCATTTTTGCTGCAAATATTTGACAAAAACAGCACAAACAATTAAGAAATGTTGTGAAATAACAATTCACCGGTTCTCCTACAGGAATGATTTCCGGACTAGTATCAAGTGAGAATGAGTGTTGCTATAGAAACGGTATACCTCCGAGATATAATACTGATAATATCCTTAAAATTTGCTGACAAATATACACAGGCAAGACATTACAATACCTGAATGTTTTTAATTGCAGCTCTTTTCACAAAAATCTTAAGATTAAAACAGTTTGTTATTTACACTGAAATACTTTGGAATAAACAGGATTTTCATTTTTGTGAAAAGAGTCGCTTTATAAAACTAATCACAATTTTAGTTGTTGTTTTATAATTGTCTACATTTTCAAAAATGCCTGAGAATACACAAAATTTATATCATAACTATTTATCCCATCATTTAATTTTTATCTTACTGAAAAAAATATCCACAAATTTCAATAATATTGACAAAGAAGGATTCACATATAATAACTAATAGCCAAAAAGTAGATGTTGCTTGCTCCAAAAGGTTCTATTCTGTGTCACTTAGACATTTTTAAATCACATTTATTGACTGGCAAAAGTTACTTCCCTTAAATAAATTAAGTCAAAAGATTTAGACACAGCATGTTCTAAATTACCAGATATGAAGTATTTAAATGCATTCAGGCTTAAATGATTTAATGAAGAGTAATTGCTTCTCATTAAGTTTTATTCCTTGACTGTACAAAATTAAATTAAATATCTAATTCAAATGCAAATTACTTTCTATATAATATACTAAGATTTACAAAAGCCAGAAATCAATCATTTTTTCCAAGTAATTTTCCTTTTGATCAAAGGGGGATAATGTGTTTCTGAAAATAATTATCTCCCTTTGATAACATCTGATTATATATATTTTTTATCCAAGCCCTTGTTCTTTCCATCAACCAGTGTAATTACCTTGAAATCCAATTTTTTCAACCTTTAAATTGAACATAGTATTCTGATTCAAATATTGTCTGTTGTGAATTATCTTATTATGCAAGTCATGTAGTGGATTATAGACATACAAATATATATGATTCATTCCTGCAAAAAATCATAGGGGTAAATGTCTGCATTTTGTAATACATTGATGAATTGTCCCTGTTTACATAAATTGATTTAAATGGGGTATAAACACTTTCATGCCAATGTCCATTCTTGTTCATATTTCACACAAACTTTCTCAACAAAAAAATGGTCTAATAAATAAGAAAATATCATCCACACTTCAAAATCAACAAAACTAACACAATTTCAACAAAACTGTTAACTTCTATATTATGTTTATAACTAAAGTAAAAAGCTGTCAATTGAAAAAAATTAAATATCACTTTCTGAGCAATGTTGAAACCCAATGAAGTTTAACCTACTTTTTTTTTTTATTTCAATAGATTTCCATTGCTGCAAAATCACAAGAGACCATTGGGGGTCTTAATCCATATCAAAGAATCATTCTTTATTTGGAAGGTAAACATTTTTTTTTCAATTTCCCTAGAGTTTGAAAAAAATTATCAAAGAAAATACAACTTAACAGCGATATCAATCTCTTGTTTTGTGTTAAATTTCAGATATGAAAAAAAAACAAACATTTAGATGTCAGCAACTACTGAAACAGTTAAATGTGAATCCTTATGGATCCAAATTTTTTCTATGTTTTTTTTTTCAAAATGAACTACAAACTAGACAAATTTATAAACTGTTTTTAAGTTATGACAGTTGCCAATACACTATTCCATCAAAGGATCACACCCCTAACAAACAAACAAAAACACCCCTAACAAACAAACAACAGTGAAACCAAAATGTTTTCACTCAATAGATATAAGAAGATGTGGTATGAGTGCTAATGAGACAACTCTCCATCCAAGTCAAAATTTATAAAAGTAAACCATTATAGGTCACAGTACGGTCTTCAACACGGAGCCTTGGCTCACACCGAACAGCAAGCTACAAAGGGCCCCAAAAAATTACTAGTGTAAAACCATTCAGGAAAACCAAGTTTAGAAACATTAATTTCTTAGTATCAATTATTTTCATGGCATAATATTTAACTAACCCTTTTTCCTTTACACCAAATTCGATATCAACTGACATTTCTACCAATGACTACCATTAAAAAAAAAACATAAGAAATTATTGTTTGAACATAATTATAAAGGAAGATATATCACTACTTTGAAATAGCCTGAAAACTGTCAACAACCAAAATAACATGTTCAACATAACACAACACATTTGAATGTCATGACCCTATCATATTAAGTCCACAAGTTGGCAACTATGATATACATTTTGATAACAACATTTGAGAAAATCACATTTTGTCCACTTACAAAACATTGAGCTAACAATTTTGATTTTAGCTGTATATGTCATACATGTATTCATCAGTAAAAAAATAATCTATTCTACAGACTAGCAGCTTTAAGGTGGTACCAAACACCTTGACTTAAATTAATTTGACTCGTTTAATTTTCATAAAATTTTGACAAAATATTTACTTTGACCCTTTGACAAAAATATCAAAATTTCAAAAAACTTGAACCACACACTTTATTGGAAAAATTTCATTGGATATATAGCAGTTTGACAAACACTAATTTTGATCATTGAGAAGCTTAATATTTCCTTAAAAATAGAACATGATTAAAATGTTGAGCTGACTTTTACAGAGTTATCTCCCTGTAGTGTTATGTACCACCTCAAAAAATAGAAAATTCAAGAACATCTTGCAAATGAGATTTCTTTATACAGAAAAAAAATATTGAAACATTTTTTCTCCTATTAAAATCCATTGTTTTATCTTCCTATCTTACCCTAAACCATGCATGTGATATCTTAAAAATCATCAAACTTATTATTTTCAAAACAATGATCCCTAAATTCATTTTAAGACTTGTTATATCCTAACAGTAGGAAAAAATTCATCCATTTACCTATTTGCTCATAAGCCCTCAATTCCTTCAAATTTTGACAAACATTTTTAAAACAGTGATAGCTGTTAATATGTAGTGTAGTTTACTCAATCAAAAGTCAGACTAAAAACAAAATTTACTCTAGTTAAATCAGTCATTTACTAGAATTTTAAATTTATTGCTGTACAACTATGTTTCTAGTATGAACAAAGACTTTTATGAGTACATGATTATCCTAGCAGGGGTACTCCACTTTCAATTAAGTACTGCATAAATATTTTTTTAATTTTTGGGACATTTTATTATTAAAATGTTAATGACAGGACAATTTCACATTTTAATACTTTTTTTTTATTACAAAGTAAAATTACCCCTGCAAAAAGGACCAAGTACTTATAACAAGATTGTACTGCAAATTAAGTCGTGTGACCTCATTTCAATCTAAACAACAGTAAAACTGGAATAACAGTAACCTAATTTGCAGCTTAAAACAACAAAATATTCAACTACACAAGAGAGAAAAACAATTCTCTCAGTGGAGCATTCAACTTGCATATAAAAAATGACGTGAACTATTTAAAATTTCTCCATGCAGATTGACAACAACCCATCATTAGTACTCATTAGTCAGAATAAATATATAAAATTGATAGTAATGATTGGCTGGCGTCATGGCAGGTCCCAGGGTTATCTCATCACAGATTCTCACCATCGTTAGCAAGTTTTATTTTGGCGATGGACGTTTCAGCACCACCTTTTAATGATGTAAAATACTGCAGATTCCTGTCAGTTTTAAGGCTTAAGTTAATCACAGACAACGATTACACCAAAACGTATCCTCATACAGGCCCGTTTGCTACAGGATTAATTACACTATCAGTCTTTTCTTCTTTGGTATCAGAACTGAAATAACAATATACAAAAAAGTATCAATCATATGTTACTAAACCTGGAAAGTAAGTTTTATTTGACAAGCGAAGTAACATAAGTTATCTACATTCAAATGTTAGTTGTTTATTCAAATAACTATCATAATATTTATACAAGGGTCGATGAAATTATTTTAAAATCTAAACTCACCATTCACATTTAAGTTCATGCAAATTTCACCCTTTATATATTTGCTGGTCGATCAGCAAAAATTAGGTCATTTGATCTCAGGACAACTCTCAATACCAAAATGCCATTACTTGGTTGCTTTCACACATTTTGAAATAGACCTTATTTTAGAGAAGGCCCTCCATACAAAGATATTTAAGAGAAATCTTAGCTAACAGTTCAAATGTATCAAGAAACCGTTTCATAGACTTGACAGACCAAATTTTAGTGTGTGTCTTGCCTACAATCTTCCAAGAGACAGTTTGGTAGACTTGACAGACCATATTTTAGTGTGTGCCTTAGCTACAATTTTGAAGAGATTTTGATGGACTTGGGAGACCATATTTTAGTGTGTGCCTAACCTACAATCTTCCAAGAGACAGTTTGGTAGACTTGACAGACCATATTTTAGTGTGTGCCTTAGCTACAATCTACCAGAGATTTTGATGGACTTGGGAGGCCATATTTTAGTGTGTGCCTTACCAACAATCTTCCAGAGATTTTGATGGACTTGGGAGACCATATTTTAGTGTGTGCCTTACCAACAATCTTCCAGAGATTTTGATGGACTTGGGAGACCATATTTTAGTGTGTGCCTTACCAATAATCTTCAAGACAGTTTGGTAGACTTGGGAGACCATATTTTAGTGTGTGCCTTACCTACAATCTTCAAGATACAGTTTAGTAGACTTGACAGACCATATTTTAGTGTGTGCCTTACCTACAATCTTCCAGAGATTTTGATGGACTTGGGAGACCATATTTTAGTGTGTGCCTTACTTACAATCTTCAAGAGAGTTTGGTAGACTTGACAGACCATATTTTAGTGTGTGCCTTAGCTACAATCTTCCAAGAGACAGTTTGGTAGACTTGACAGACCATATTTTAGTGTGTGCCTTACCTATAATCTTCCAGAGATTTTGATGGACTTGACAAGACCATATTTTAGTGTGTGCCTTACCTACAATCTTCAAGAGACGGTTTGGTAGACTTGGGAGACCATATTTTAGTGTACACTTGTGCCTTAGCTACAATCTTCAAGACACAGTTTGGTAGACTTGGGAGACCATATTTAAGTGTGTGCCTTACCTACAATCTTCAAGACACAGTTTGGTAGACTTGACAGACCATATTTTAGTGTGTGCCTTACCTACAATCTTCAAGAGACAGTTTAGTAGACTTGACAGACCATATTTTAGCGTGTGCCTTACCTACAATCTTCAAGAGACAGTTTGGTAGACTTGACAGACCATATTTTAGTGTATGCCTTACCTACAATCTTCAAGAGACAGTTTGGTAGACTCAGTTGATGGACCATTAACCTCTACTTCAACTACATGTTGAACACTAACATCTATAACTTTTTCTGACTTTATTAATCCTGATGATGCTAAAAAGCTACAATTACAAAATTTGAAATATTCTGTAATTTTTTATTATCAATTAGTTTCATACTGTAATAAAATTCTGAGTTATACATCTGATACTTGTCAGATTAATACTGTCCATGTTTTGTAACAATGGCTATTTTTTTTGTTAATACTGTCAATATAAAATCATGTGTGTGTATGTTAATATTATATCAAATTTGTAACTACTAATAAAATAAATACAAAACATGTACATGTAGAAAACAAGTGCTATCACAGTGATTGATTTTAAGTTGATAGTCTTAAAGATTTAAAGTTTAGATTTTAAGTTGATAGTCCTAAAGATTTAAAGTTTAACTACAAGTATCACATAAATTTAACATTATCAATGATCCATGAAAATAAGGTCAATGTCAGATAAACCAAACCAGACAGACATGTACACCTTACAATTATTCCGTACACCAAATACAGTAGACCTATTGCTTATAGTATACAAGAAACATACTTAATGAGGAAAACTTATCATTGACTTATGAACCATGAAATTGAGGTCAAGGTCAGATGAACACTTCCAGACAGACATGTACACCTTAAATCATTCCATTCACCAAATATAGTTGACCTATTGCTTATAGTATACCGGTATTAGAAGAGAACTTACTACTCAAACTTAACATTGACCAATGAACTATCAAAATGAGGTCAAGGTCAAAAGAAACCTACCAGACTGACATATACACCATAAAATCATTCTATACACAAATTATAGTGGACCTATTGCTTTATATAGTATACGAAAAAAAAAAAAAAAACACAAAAACTTAACATTGCCAAATGAACTCTGAAAATGAGGTCAAGGTCGGATGACACCTACCATACTGACATGTACATATTACCACCATTTCATTCTCTAAATATAGTTGACTTACTGCTAACAGTATCTGAGAAACGGGCCTTATAACGTTACTTTAATCTTGATCACTGATCCACGAAATGAGGTCGAGGTCAGGTTAAATCTGTCTGACAGACATAAAGAATTGTGAGGAACCAATAAAAACAAGGAATTATTTGAATCTGGAATAATTTTGAATTCTGGAAAATTGATGAGAAATATATGATGAAAACTAACCCAACTAAATAGGGTTAGCCATGCGCGCATGGCTAAGGTGGGTTAGTTAGTTCATACTGAAATGATAGTGAAAGTAAAATTAACCTTAGCCATGCACGCATGGCTAACCCTATTTAGTTGGGTTAGTTTTCATCATACATTTCTAATCAATTTTCCAGAATTCAAAATTATTCCAGATTCAAATAATTCCTTGTTTAAACCAAATAGTTATCTTATTACACATAATGAGTGAGAAATTCACATGACCAAAAAACTAAACTTTTTTTTCAAGCAGTTGCTAACATCATAACATAAGACATCTGTATACAAGGTATGAAGCTTCCAGGTCTTCAACACACTGAAATATAGAACTTAATACAAATACTTTACACCATTGCTGTAGGATTGTAATCCCTCTGTGGGAATTCCATTTCAGGCAAGCCAAAAAATCAATGTTAAAACTTGTTTTTAATACTGCAATGGTTATCAAATGTTCATGGTTTACAAACAAAATAACTGATACAGTTAAATATGTTATTATTCTAAGCTTCATTGCCCTTCCTTTGATTTAAAAATAAATAAATCATGTTTGATCAATGGCTATTAAAATGTTGGTTAATTTTTCAGCATTAGTTCAAACCTAACAGTGTAACAAGATTCCTTAAATAATTATATAACACTGCAGAATTCTGAAACTGTGTATTCAATCTTATTTGTTGTGTACTAATTTTAGTGGATTTCTGGGGGTAAAGGTGAACTACAAATATCAATGTTTGACAAAATACAAATTTCCTACAAGCTTGTATGCAGTACTTTTAATAAACTGTTAACACAGAGATATGTCTCGCCTATTTGTTATTTTGATAAGTCAAATGTTGACCTACCACTAACGGTTCCCCTTAAACTGACCTAATCACAAACTAATACATGAAAACTAAGCAAAAGTTTCAAAGTCAATAGACCATGACATCAGGGGCAGGGCCAAATAATCTCCATGGATATGAGATGTGCCAATGCTAATAAAACTGCATACCTAATATCATTGACCTACCACTAGAGGTTCACCATAAACTAGACCTAATCACAAACTAATACATTGTTGACGCCGCCGCCGGAAAAAGCATACCTACGTCTCGCTTTTTGACTCAGTCAAGGCGAGACAAAAACCAGGAGATTCCAAGTATCCATGAAATTACAATATTTCCTGAATCCATGATAATAGACCACTTTCGAGTTCATCCTTCACCGGAAAAAACTCGTCAATTATACGCGCCTTTATGACGTCATTTACCAGATAGAGGGGATCGCCTGTATACCTGCACTATTAACGTTCATCAAGCGTCTTAGTGATCGTCATTGTGCAGGATAAACTAGATATAACGTTTGTTTTGTAAGTACTTAATCACAATTCCCTAATGACAGCAGTGCCGATTGTCAATTATGAGAATTTAATTTGCCGAATAATTCGTGCAATATAGCATTATAATTTTCCAACCACTCGCTCAACATTGGAACGGAAGTGACGATGCCCCTAAACGCACGAATGATGTTCACTAAAACCAGAGTTTTTGACAGAAATGCATCGAACTCGAAAGTTGTCTATTGGTACAGACAAATAAAAATAATCCACAGTAGTAGTATTTTACGATAACATTCCCTCATTTACATGGGAATTAAATACTTTAGGCCACTCTTAAGAATTTCTTTGATTGATGTTGCTTACCTTGTAAGGGTTTGGTAGGTAGGTAGGTAGGATTCTATTTTTCTTATTTTTTGGCCAACAACATAAGTTACATGTTTAAAACAAGAAAACGATGAAAGAGCAGGAAAAATCTTTAAAAAAATCATTTAAAACCATTTTTGTCATAAACTTTTTTGGGTAGGCTGCTTGAATTCTGATTCTCTTTTGATCCATGTGAAACTAGAGGCTCTAAAGAGCCTGTGTTGTTCACCTTGGTCTATGTGCATATCAAACAAAGGACAGTCTCCAACAATATAGACGAGAATAGACTTCATGACAAAAATCTCTATTTTGTTGATCTTGTATTACTGATCTTTTAGTCTGTTTAGTCTCTCTCTATCTTCTTTAGTTTTTGTTAAAAAAATCCTCATTTAAGGGCAATCACTTTTATGAAGAGTGACAGTCTACAAACTATATCGGAACAAATTGACTTTTTAATAGATCTTGCCTTGCTGATCATTTATGTGATTTAAAGTGTTTATTTATCTATTACAATTTAAATCATATAAGACATAAAGGAAAAAAAAATGTTTCTCTCTAAATATCATAGTTTTCATGATAATAGGCAAAAATGAAAAAAATGGTAAAATTTGTCATTTATGGGCAATAACTCCTATAAGAATTTGTCTAACAGTTTTGAAGTAAATGGACAATTGGTAGAGCTCATTATTCTGAACATTTTTTGCTCCTTTTAGATTTTCTCTATTTAGAAGGGTTCAAAAAATAATAGATAAAACTTGCATTTTACCCCTATGTTCTATTTTTAGCCATAGTGGCCATGTTGGTTGGTAGGCGGGGTCATCGGACATATTTTTTAAACTACATACCCTAATGATGATTGTGGCTAAGTTTGGTTAAATTTGTCTCAGCAGTTTTAAAGGAGAAGATTTTTGTAAAAGATTACAAAAATTTACCAAAAAATGTTAACAAGGATTCTGAGAGTATTGCATGGCAATACATAGTCCCCTACCGGGTAAAAATTCATTATACTGGAACAAAATGCTAACTTGTTCTATAACTTGTCATGGTATAAACAAAAAGTAAGTAACATGTCAATATCTTCAAGCATGACTAAAAACAGTGTGGAAAACTGATTATATGAGTGAATTTTTCAAGTCCAAGGACCATAACTCTGCACAAAATTATTAGATGGAAATAAAAATTTGAACTTGATCTGTAACTTGTCATGATAAAACTATATACCAATTATCAATCAATATCGTATAAGCATGATGAAAAAAACATTAGATATGATTACTAGTTCTCTAAAATTAGATATGATGCAATACAGTGTATATCTATTTTCAAATTATAATCAAATATAATTATTAGTTCCAAATATTTTTTTCTTTCATTTGTCACAAACTAATATAGATTTGTAACTTATCTATAAAATGTCAACAACTTTTATCTACACAATGTAATGTATTGAAATATATACATTAATGAAAATAGATTATTATCTAATTAAAGGATTTCTCTTCATAATTTTTTTTATATATATATAGCATTCAGAAAATTAGTTTATACTAAATAAGTTAAAATAACTAACAAACCTGCCAAAAAATTCTTCAAATAATTTAACAAAGAATGTCTTTAAAAAAAATGAGTTATCTCCCTTTGTACAGAAATATAGTTTAACATAGTACTCTAACATTAGATATGGTCCAGAGTTATGGTCCATAGCTCTGGACTAAATCATCAGACCGGAACAAAATTTGAACTTGAGCTATAACTTGTCATGATAAAACTATATACTAAATATCAAATCAATATCTTCAAGAACGAAGAAAAAAAGTGTGGAAAGCTGATTTGACGGTTGGACAGACGGACAGACAGACAGACGGACAGACAGACTGAGTGCAAACCTAAAGTCCCCTTCGACTTCGTCGGTAGGGGACTTAAAATTGAATATAAAGGGCAATATCTCCTTAAGGGGTCAATTGACAATTTTGGTCATATTAACTTATTTGTAGATCTTACTTTGCTAAACATTATTGCTGTTTACAGTTTATCTCTATCTAAAATAATATTCAAGATAATAACCAAAAACTGCATAATTTCCTTAAAATTACCAATTCAGGGGTCAATTGACCATTTTGGTATTGTTGACTTATTTGTAGATCTTACTTTGCTGTATATTATTGCTGTTTACAGTTTATCTCTATCTATAATAATATTGAAAATAATAAATAACCAAAACCTGCAAAATTTTCTTAAAATTACTAATTCATGGGCAGCAACCTAACAATGGGTTGTCTGATTTGTCTGAAAATTTCAGGGCAGATAGATCTTGACCTGATGAAAAAGTTTACCCCCATATCAGATTTGCTCTAAATGCTTTGGTTTCAGAGATATAAGCCAAAATCTACATTTTACCCCTATGTTCTATTTTTAGCCATGGCGGCCATCTTGGTTGGCGGGCCAGGTCATCGGACACATTTTTAAACTAAATACCCCAATGATGATTGTGGCCAGGTTTGGTTAAATTTGGTCCAGCAGTTTCAGAGGAGAAGATTTATGTAAAAGTTAACGACGACAGACGCAGGACGCCAAGTGATGAGAAAATGGATACAAATTCAGGCCGCTGGTTTAGGAAGAGTTATCTATACAAATTTAAAGTCTCCACTGGTTAGGGAGATATACATGTAAAAAGTGTGAAACAAAAGAAAAATACTACAATCACAATTCATCTTGCTTCACTAATAAAGTTTGACAACAAATATATTTATATACACATCAAACAAAAAATATATATGTATACATATAGATAAAGCCATGCACCATGAATATGCCACAAGACTCACTTAAAGTTATCATTAAGTTCAGCCTCAACTTGAGTGGAATCACACCTTTAATTAGTAAAATATAAGAAAATTCAAATATTTCAGCAACTTTTAAAGTACCAATCCAAATGTACTGTAAATTGTTTATTTTTGGCTGTTTAAATGTTATGATTTCCAGGGCCAAAATTGTTCTGTTTTTTTTTTTTAATTTTTGTCTAGTCCCTGACTCAGATCTTCCATTACAAAATATTCGAATACAATATCCTCATGATAATTTCCCTCATTAACAAACTGTAAAATCACTTATTTTTTAAGTTTGTACTAAATTTTGGAATGGGGAACAAAGTAGTACAGAAATTTATATTTATTGTTATAAAACAAGAACATGATGAGGGGGAAATGTAGTGTGAAGTAAATACATGTAAGGAAGATAATTGAACTCAAAGAAGCAATATTAATTATAATCTTCGTGAAACACAATCTACTTCAGGTTTTTCAGTTTTAGGAAGCTAACCATATACACAATCAATTTTATTGATTGAAGTATTCCTACAATCTTCCATTCCAAACTATGCAACAGATAAATTTGAAAAATCTTTGTTTACTGAGGGTTGATAAAAGAATATTTACTTTACAGATCAATTGCCGTAATTCTTGCTCTACTCTAGTGTTTAGAACTCATGCATGATTTATTATAAAAAAATAATGTGTTCTATATGTGCACAGAAGCAATTAGTTAAAAGCATTGGAAATCAATTCTACATGTGATGCATTCGTATTATAATTATTGTATGTTAAAACTTGTATAAACTGATATTTGTATAAATATGCCTTTTTTTTGTAATTTCTTTTTTATACAATAATCATTTACTGTGGATTCATTATTATTCATGGGATACCAATTTTCGTGGATTTCGTTGGTACAGGTGAACCACGAAATTAAATGTTCAACGAATGTCAAATTTTATATAGGCTTGTATGCAGACTTTGGTAAAACCACGAAATTGAATATCCACGAATATGAAAGTTTTCCTTTATCCACGAAAATTGGTACCCACGAAAATAAATGAATCCACAGTAGTTAAATAATGTCAAAGTGTTCATCTTTAAATAAATCCTTTAAATTTAAAAAATCAACTATTTGTTTTTCTCTAGAGGATAGAATAACAATCCTTTTTAACTATAACAGGACGCACAAGTTTGATTTTCAGTCTCTTTTATATTTATATAGTATTCTTCAAGTTCAGAAGACTTAGATTGCTTGCCACTAACATTTTGACTATAAATTTGTATATTTCTCCAAGTTTGAGATACAAAGAACAATTTTTGGCCATTTGTTTTTATTTTGTTGCATTACGTGTACTCAATCAACTATTAATAACAAAACTTATTCATCTGTTTGCCAACATTTTTGCAGTTGGTTAATTTATTCAAATTTGCTATGAATATTTGTGAGGGTATCAATCCCTTGCAATTCAATTCTACTAAATGAAACAGTCATTTAAATTACCTTGACATTTGACCTTGTAATTTGAAAATCAAATAGGGTTTTAAGTTTTTGATCAAAACATGTCGTCAATCATTAAATTATGTCTACTGAAGGATTTAAAATTAAAAAGGAAAGTAACAAATGTCTTTTGAAATCAAATTCTGATTGTCTCAAGTAAATTAACTGAGAAACTTATCAAAAACAATCAGTTTATCAAAGACTTGAAAAATTACAAGTCAACACATAAAAGATTTCTGATGTACTGGAAAATTGAACTGTTTGAACCGGTGAAAAAAATATAAGCTGAATTTTTCTTCTACCAATTTTCTTGGTACTACAGTATATATCCGTACCTATCATTTTTGCTGTCTGGATTACATGAACTAGATATTTCCTCTGTTGATTTTTCTGTTGTTTCTGAGGTCGGTTCAGGAAGTGCTGTAGAACTTGATGGCTCCTCAGCTTCACTACTGAAATAATTTTATTGATTAATTGTTGGGTATTTTATTTGGCCGTTGGCCTCAGTGACCATCAGTTTTTCAAAAAATAAAACCACATATTTACCTCATCAAAAGACAGTAACTGTATATTATCCTTGGTTTAGGTGTATTTAGAGTTAAACCTTGTGTTTATGTGGACGATTGTTTGACCTTTGACCATAGTATTATTACCTTTCATCAGTTAACTGTTTCAAATTGCCTCATTGGTTATTAATGGGCTATTTCAACAGTGTTTTTGGAAAAAAAAAACCTCTCACAAAATTTTAATTTAGTTATTTGAAGAAACATTTTCATCTCATTATCACAATCAGTAAATCCATTACAATTTTATCTGGTGATCTGGTTCCTAATCTAATACATTAAGAGCTTGCTGAATGTTTTTATGTCTAAATACATTAAGAATAAACTTATGTTTTAATCATATCCTTCAGTATGGACAGTTGACAGTTGCTAACTTCTACATCATTTGGTCTCTAGTGGAGAGTTGTCTCATTCGCAATCATACCAAATCTTATATTTCTATATATTTGGCAAAGTGATGTGAATGAATTATCTACTCTTGATTTGGAGTCGTTATCCTGAATGTCAATAATATCCTTTAGTATGGACAAAGTTGTAGAAGTCACCTGAATGTATAACCTACCCTGATTTGGTCTCATTATCCTGAATGTCAATAATATCCTTTAGTATGGACAAAGTTGTAGAAGTCACCTGAATGTTAACCTACCCTGATTTGGTCTCGTTATCCTGTATTTCAATTATACTTTCATTACAGACGAAGTTGACAATATGACGTGAAAGATTTACTTACCCTGATTTGGGGTTGCTATCCTGTGATTCCTGAGAGGATGAGGGAGTAGTATCGGATGATATGGCACTTTCTTCAGATGTTGACGGACTAACGTCCTCTGAAGAGGATACTTCTTCCTGTTGTATGTCATCTGATGATTTGTCTCCCTCGACACCGTCTATAGAGGTCAACAGAAGGTCAGCAGGAGAGGTCTTAGCCACTGTAAATAAAAACAAAAATGTTTCATGTAAGGATGACCATAAGTCAGCTATTCCTTTTACCAGAAATATCAATATTCCAAGATAGTGTGTCAGACAATTGGTCAGAAGCCTCTTAAATACTAAAACCTAACAAAGAAGTAGATTTGATAAAGTCTCGATATGGCCCACTATATCTAGTTAAAATTACAAATATTTATTAATTGACTATTATCATAATAAATCATAGCTAAAACAATGACTAGATAGAAAATAGGTTGCTTTATTGAAAATTTACAAAAAATCAGTTTTCCTTCCATGATGTCACAAATAGCACAACTAGTGATTTTCCTATACTGGAAAATGTCACTTTTGTCTATGTTGTGTTTTGTAGACAGTTGTTTGTCTTTTGATAGTTTTTCGTTTTTCGCCATGGCATTGTCAGCTGGTCTGCTTCGTTCTTAAATGTTGATGAGTTTGAATATCTCTTTAATATCTTCCTCCTCCCTTTTTCAACTTTGGACTGATAAAATTATTTTTCTTTGATTTGATTTTGATTTTTGGTGTTGTAACGCCACTTTTAAGCACCACTTTAGGGCTATTTCGTGGTGGCCAGTTTTTATTGGTGGAGGAAGCCAGAGTGCACGGAGAAAACCACCGACCTTCGATAGGAAAACTGACAATCCTAGTCAATTAAGATTGGAGTCCAGTGCACCTGCACGAGTGGGGTTCGAACTCACAACCTCAGTGTTGACTGGCTAGTGTTTACAGTAGTAACTACTTAGACCACTCGGCCACTGAGGACACTTATTTTTCTTTGAAGAGAAAAGCTAGCTACTGTCTCTTTTCCCCAAAACAACAAATGCAAAAAATGAAATGCTATCCTTATCATAAACGTTTCATATACTTTAAGTACTAAAATTAAATCCATCAACTACTGGCAAATAAATGCCTTAAAACTGAATTTTACAATTCATTTTTTCTTCACACTTACAGTAAGCAGCTGTTCTTGAATTTGCTTCTGTCACATCTGTTGTATCCATAGCAACAGGTGAACTACTTCGAGGCCCAGGATCTGTCCTATAAATGGAGAAAATATCTTTGAAAATTTTAGCATATGATGAGATGTAAAATCAGACATTAGATTTAACTTATGTGATCAAATGAACTTTATCTTGGATTGGGTTACACAAGTTATAATATGAATATTTGTTTATTGCAAATGCATGAGAAATTCAGTCCTTCCCCAACTCCCTTTCCACTCCACAAAATGAAAATTGATCAAATCCTTAAATCTTAAGTTACCATTTTAAATATTAAGTTAAAAAGTCTTCAACAAATCTTTCCAAAACCTCAGGATTTTTTTTCCAAAGACTTATATAATTATCACAAACTTGTATATACTATACCACTAATAATGTCCAAATCAACACTTTATGCATACGAAAATAACAATTATATTATAATACATGTACAAGCAAGTCTGCATCATCTCAATTCAAGCTTGACATCAACAGAAAAACTTTTCTAACCCAATGGAAAATACATATTAAAATACATGCAAAATTTTGACAAGTTTTACCTGGCTAATTCTGAAATACTGCTAAAATCTGCCCATTTTTCTTCTTCTTCCTCGTTAGTTGGCACTTTCCCTGTAAAATCTGCCCACTTTTCTTGTTGGCTGTCAGCTGATGATGTTTGAGTTGAACTCCAAGGTGAGGTATCCATAGCAACAGGAGTAGCCTCCATCGGAGCATCCTCAAAGTTGGCTGTCCATGCTAAACAAAAATAAGGGGTGAAGTTGTTGAATGATAATTAAGATAAATAGGGAATGTGTCCATGGGACACAGATGATGCCCCCATTTGCATATAATGTTATAAAGGGATATAACTCAAGAACTGTAAAAGTTTCGCTACCCAAATTTGTACTTGATCTGAGTTTTGTGGTAATAAGCATTGTGTATACATTTCATAACATTTAGTTGAAGCAAACTAAAGTAAGAGAACGGAAACGAAAAATTCAGCAATTTTTCCATTTGTAGAGGGGCATAACTCTAGAACAGAAAAAGTGACGCCACCAAAATTCAGACTTGATCTGTGTTTTCTGGTAATAAGAATTGTGTATACGTTTCATAACATTTGGTAGAGGCAAACTAAAGTAAGAGAATGGACATGAAAAATTCAGCAATATTTCCATTCATAAAGGGGCATAACTCTAGAACGGTTAAAGTGATGCCACCAAAATTCAAACTTGATCTGTGTTTTGTGGTAATAAGCATTGTGTATAAGTTATAACATTTGTTAAGGCAAACTAAAGTTAGAGAACGGAAACCAATTTTGGGACATACGTACGGACGGACATACAGACGGACAAGGGTAAAACTTAATGCCCCCTCCGCTACGGCGGGGGCATAAAAATGGTAAACATCAAAAAAAAGGTTTTGCATTAAATAAACAATATGTTGTCAACTGTAAGCAAAGTAATATGATTCATAAATTTGAGTCAAATATTAAGTAATAAGGTGTTAGATCAATTCTAATAAATTCAGAACTATCCTAAGCACCGAAAGTAAAACACAAAATAAAGGATGGTTATTCTACATTATTTCCATTTTAACACGGAAAAGTACAATCACATTAATATTTATGTAAACAAAATTAGAATAGAGCTAACAAAATTTCATTTATCTTGGTCTTTTGTTATAGCAAACATGCTTATAGCTTACTGTTCAGTGTGAGCCAAGGCTCCGTGTTGAAGACCGTACTGTGACCTATAATGGTTTACTTTTATAAATTTTGACTTGGATGGAGAGTTGTCTCCTTGGCACTCATACCACATCTTCTTATATCTTTTTACTCAGTCTTACCAATATCTGTCTTTGGAATCTTTACGTTTAACCTTCCCTTACCATCAATAGCTTTAACATCCATATTTCCAAAATTTGTATTCTACCATAGAAGCATTATCCTGAATCTTCACATACAGTAAATAACAGATATATCAGTTTAACCTTGCTTTACAATTTATTAGGGCACACTTACCATCGTTTGCACAAACATCCCTATTTTCACTTGTAAAGTGCTACACAAGAAAGAGTATCTTATCCCGACACTTACCATTGAAAACGCCAACATTCATATTTTCAATGATTAGTTTTTTTACAATTCTAAGAGGGAAATCAACATCCACATTTTCACTGATTAGTCTATTTACAATTCTACAAAGGAAATCTTACCCTGACACTTACCATCGTCATGTTCAACATTCATAGTTTCACTGATTAGTTTCTTACAATTCTATGAGGGAAATCTTACCTTAACACTTACCATCAATAGCATCAACATTCATATTTTCACTGATTAGTCTATTTACAATTCTAAAAGGGAAATCTTACCCTGACACTTACCATTATCATCAACATACATTTTTTCACTGGTAAGTTTTTATACGATTCTGAGGGAAATCTTTCCCTGACACTTACCATCATCAGCCTCAACATTCATATTTTCACTGGTAAGTTTTCCTATGACTCTATGAGGGACACTTACCATCATTAGCATCAACATCCATATTTTCACTGGTAGGTTGCTGTACAATTTTACGAGGAGAGTCCAGCTCTTCCTCACTGTCAGTACTTGTATCACTAGAATCATCCTCGACTGTCTCCGCCATTCTTCTGTTAACAAATAAGTCATTTATATTGCAGATTTTTCTTCTTCAAATAAATCATTTATCTTTTAAGGGTTTAAAAAAAAATAATTGCTTCTTCTTTGAAGCCTTCTGAATATTTCGTTTGCTTTATACATGTCTTTTGTTTCACAGGTTTTATTACTAAAGGATATTCACTTTATGTCTTGGAACAAAAATTCCAATTTACACAGGGTTATTTAGACAAGTTTCACTGTTAGTTAGATTTTTGTACCGCTGTTTAACATTGAAATATAATTTTGTAAAAATTTCCCAAATCAAGATAACAAAAAGTCAGGGATGCAAATATAATCCAATGGAGAAATCTCTTAATACAAAGGGTAGTAACAAATAAGAATCACCACAATTACTTTACAGTTTTGGCTTTTCTTCTTTTAATGAATGTCTCATGATTTACAAACAATTGCAAGCCATTACTCTACATCGGCTTGCTCTACATCTCATCAAATAGCATTATTGACTGATAAGCCTCTATGTTATATTAAAATGCAACAATTCCATTACAATTTAAAATTATCATGGTCTAAATTCGATTTCATACTTTTTTTCTGCAACCTTAGAAGCTAAAACTCTAATTTTATCTTTCAAAGCTTATAAGGGAGCTACCATTTGATATTTATGGGGGGCTAGGATGAAAAATTTTGTCCTGCATTTTTTTTATTTATAATCTGTCCTGCCTTTTTATTTTTCACTCTATTCGGTCCTGCCTTTTTTTTTTTTAGTTTATCCTGACTTTTTTTACATAAATTGTCATCCTGCCTTTTTTTTTTTTTTTGCACAGTGTCTCATCCTGCCTTTTTTTTACTCAAAACTCCTGTCCTGCCTATTTCTTTCAAATTTCATCCTAGCCCTCCATAAAAATCAAATGGTAGCTCCCTAATATTTTACAACAATGATTTATTCCTTTTACATGTTTGTAAAGTTCAATCCTTTCTCTTCCACTCTCCCATTATAAATATATAATAAATACATTTCAAACTGAAATGTTCATTTTGACCTTTAAAGAAAGTAAATTTTTATGCCAGTATTTATTTTAGTTTGCAGATGAACTTTTATAAACATAGAACAAAGCATGCAAAGGTTCCATTTCCAGTCACCTGACATCTTTTTAAATAACAACTATGAAGCAGGGGAGGTTACTCATGCAGGGTTATCACCAATTAAAATAAAGCACATCTATGGTAATTACATGCAGTGTAAATTGTTTTTAACCAGAGACAGACCATCAATATTATTCACATTGTGAAAACAATTATGTTTAACAGATTGATATATATTCAATAAAACATAGAAAGATTTAGGCAAATAAAAACATATATAACTGGACCATAACATTACAGAGGTTAAAAACAATTACACTAAGCCACCAACCTGCTACAACATCAACTTACCCTGACCTTTTAGGTTGCTGTTGTTGTTGAGCCTGCGGTGAAAACGTGATCTCTTTCTCCTCCCAGATATCCTCATCACTGTCGTTATCGTCAAACTGTTGTATACGTTCATTGCATGCTTGTTCAAACATTGATACGCTCTGCTGCTGAAAAACAGTGAGCATTTTTAACAAGGATTTACACATTTTTTCAGAGGTTATTGATGTGTTAACTGGGATGATCAACTCACAAGCTGAATCCTAAAACTTTTATGTAGAGTTTGTGAGTTTACACACCAATAAATTCTTTAAAAATGTGTTTATATTTACACAATGTGTCCGAGGACACGAATACAACTGCTCAAGCTTTGCAACGAATATGATAGGGATGGACGGACGGACGGAAAGTATGAAGGACAGAAGGTCAAGGGTAACACTTCAACCACTGTCGCCTACAGCAGGGGCATAAAAATCTAAGCCCCACTATTTGCCAATATTTTCTTCAATTTCATCTATTATGGACCACATAATTCCATTTATGTGTATTGCTTATGAATATATCACAGTGAAATGATAGTCTTTACATTGGTAACAAAAGTAGTTTTGACAACATGGGTCCATCGCAAATCATATAATAATTATTCTAACAATGAATGATTTGTTTGAACATGGATGGGCTCTGCAAACAGTTATATAGATCGATGATGACATGTAATGAGAGACACATCTTAGATTATATAAACATCTGAAATATTCCCAAAGACTTTATTTTTTCACGAAGAATAAAAAATTCATAAACCTCATTTAAGTTTTATACCAAATACATGTGACACTGAAGGCTTAAAATGTGAGAATTTTAAACTGATTTTTGTTGATCAAAGTTGAGAAGAAGATCTTTCCTCAGTATATACAACTTTCTGTTTGTATTAATAGCTTTATTGATTTAAGTGAGGTCAATCCAAAAGAAATGTCAGCTGTAACAGTGATTTGATTTTGATTCTTGGTGTTTTAACGCCACTTTTAAGCACCGCTTTTGGGCTATTTCGTGGCGGCCAGTGCACCCGCACGAGTGGGGTTCGAACTCACAACCTCAGTGTTGACTGGCTAGTGATTACAGTAGTAACTACTTAGACCACTCGGCCACCGAGGCCCCCGCTGTAACAGTGAAGAATGCCAATACCAACACAACAAAATTTCTGCTAAATTTCAAGTTTCAATTTCAATGCAACTCTGTAACACAAGTTTGATCAATTTACTAAGAAAATGTCGGTTATAGGACTCATGCAAAATATATACAACCCCTTCATTCATGCAGAATTTCCCAAATCCATTTAGAAAAGTTTAAGTTAGAGAATTCAGTTATTTTAAAAATTATACCTTGAATTGATTTATTTATTTTTGAACATCTGACATGTAGCATGCAGTTTGTAGTTTGAAAAAAAAACAATCACAAAATCACCATTGCATTGGAATATCGCCCAGTGGAACCACTGACAAGCAAACTTGCATTGTGATGCATTATATTACGATTCAATCAATATTTTGACATGTTCCCACACTTAAATGTGTTAGCAGTAGTTAAAGGCGACAAAGTCAATGCTTATTTTTTTGGAATAACTCAAAATGAAATAAAAACTGAATAATCTATCTGAGAATGAACTATTAATGAAAATCAACATAAACACAACCTCTTACTTCGTTTTCTTCAAATTTACCCATTACGTCTTCAAATGCCTTTAAAAATATATTAATTAAAGATAATAAACTTCCTGCACAAAAAAAACACAAAAAAAGGCAGATTATCAGATTTTATTCATGGAAATACTTTTTATCTTGAAAGAACCTGGATATACCTTGTGTGTATTTGTGTGTATACATAGGTGTAAACTGTGCATAATTATCTTGATCACTAGCCTGTAAATTGTGTGTATATCTACATACATTTCAATACTGTGTGTGTTTTGAGTGCATGTGTAACTTATAATCCTGCTGCCCATATATTTTCTTTTCTGTACAAGTCCATGTGTATTTATATCCCTCACTTGTCTGTATGTGCGGGTGTGTATTTATAATACAATAATGTTTACTTACAATAATATTAACAGCCTGTATGTATATTTTTGTGTGTATATATAGATATATCAATATAATATAAAATTCTCTTTTAAAGCAATTATTATTATTTGAACATATGTGTGTATACAAAAGTATTTTACAATATTGCATCATACACCAGTATCACCAGCTTGTATATTTTTGACAGTGTGCACATGTATAATTTACACTTTTTCAAAATATTGTATGTGTGCATGGATGAAATTGCACTAAATTGTATGTTGATTGATGTTGTTTTTCCATATTGTGCCTACATTTGTATAACTAGCCTGTATGCTTTGTGTACATGTGTATTTACAATGTACATGTATATATGCAAGTGTTTATGCAGAATTTTAGTTATGAGGCAAGGTTTTACAAGGACAACCCATAAACCTATTAAAATTGTATTTATCTATTTAAATGGGAAGGAAAACCTCAGTAGAAACATGATATTTGTTAAATTCTGCATGAATTTAAAATAATTTTCATTGTGACTTGAGCCTATTTTGTCACCCCTTAATTGCATGACAGATAACTTCCCAGTATGCTACAGAATTTTGTCTTTATATCTATTATTTGTATACATGTGGACTGTGTATTTGTGTGTCTATAAATACAATACTGGACAGTAATCCAATTTGTCCTGCAAGTCTATTTATTTAATGTCAATGAAATGCACTTAATATAAACCAGATTTGACTGACTGTATGTCATATTATTGTTACATCTGCCAGCATGTTTTGTGTGGTAAATGTATTTGCATGTATATATGTGTATGTGAGTGTTTGTTAAAGTATTGTGTGCATACATCTGAAAAGCACTAACCTGTATGTTTTTGTGTACATTTGCATGTGTGTATGTACATCTGTTTGTATGTTAAAGTATTGTGTACTTACATCTGTATCGCTAGCCTGTATGTTGAAATCTATACTTGATATTCGTTCATTAAAAGAGGAACTAAAAAAAGAAAATAGAATTACATGAAAAAAAGAGAGAGAAAATGAACAAATAATGTTTACCTTGTGCATAACTTCCAATAAACATACACTTGTCAAAGTTATAGTTCACAGAGACCTATGCATAGCAATTATTTTCCATTGAAGGTTATTTCACTAGTAATTGTATGAGAAGGTTTGATGGTACTATCGAAAAGTTCCATGCATAATCATGACACGATAATTAAACAATAAATAAGGTCAGTTCTATTATATTGGATGACGGTCAGGAAATTCGAAGTGTCATTTAGAAAAGATGGCATTTAAGAAAGCAGATGGTTTACATGAGGGAGTTTAACAACAATTAACAACAAGACATTGCAATTGTTCTGTGCTATTTAGCTTATCCCCATTCAAAGTATCAGAAAACTAGAATTCTGTGCTTGTAAAAATTGTCGTGTTGGTTGTGATGACACTTAAATTGAAGTAAAGCTTACTCTATTTTATCATCTTGTTCCACAAATTCTTCATCATTAAAACCAAATGTATCTATAAAATTACTAGTCATTTGTTGTAGTTGATGTTCTGAGAATGCCTACAATTAGAAAAATAAGCATAAAAAAAAATTGTACATGTTCAAACTGCCTTTCTTATATCTATAAATAGGCCAGAAGGAATATCAAAGAAATCTGTATTTACCAGCTGCAGTTTAAGATATAAAAGATTTTAATGTTTTCTTTTTACTGCAAAAAAACAGCCCAAATTAGGTTAAATAGATATTTTCAAATGCGGTACTGAATATAAAGAGGGGAAGCAAATAGAAAGATCTTCATACCTATCAATTATTAAAAAATCTCTTTAAGTAAAAATTCAATTGAACAGTTGAGAGGTAATATGTATAAGGTTTTGAGTGTTTCTGCATTAGTTTTATTATCTTTCTATTAAATCTTAACTCTGTAAACTATAGAGCTTCCTTAATCCTTATCTCCTAATATAACGATAAAGATTATATTAACCTGTTGTAATGCTGCGTCAGCTGGGAATGGAAGGTCACGGAAGTCAGCATCATCATCCTCGCTACTGGATGCTAAATTGTGACCACTTATCTGAAATTATAAACCAGCACTGTCCTCAGTTGTTATCATATAATGGTTTTGCTAATTTGATTTGTGACTACATATCTTCATGGGTTCTACAGTAACAATGGCCAATAAAAAACATATTCATTTTTGAATATATGTGGTCCTCTCCTCCCACCAAAACATATTCATCCTATCGTTACCTTATCATGGGGAATAAACTGATTCGCCGAGCGCAGCTGGATACGACCGCAGATGTCCAACCCTGAACAGTTGGAGCAAAAATGGACACAATATTCAAGCTTGAAACAGGTCTGAATTTGGATTGTATTTAAATATTTGACATATTAACAGTGATCTGGAAGGATTTTTTCTCTGTGTGCCCAGGGCCCCCCCAAAATAAATTCCATGGGCCATTTTTAGAATTAATGGGCCATGTTGTCAAATGAGTGGGCCATTCGTTAACAATTAAAAAAAAATTTAAATAAATGTGGATAGTGTCCACATGTGGACACAGATGATGCCCCCGCTTGCATATCATATAGTTATAAAGGGACATAACTGAAGAACGGTAAAAGTGACACTACCCAAATTTGAACTTGATCTGAGTTTTGTGGTAATAAGCATTGTGTGTAAGTCTCATAACATTTGGTTGAGGCTAACTTAAGTAGAGAACAGAAACTAAAAATTCAGCAATTTTTCTATTTGTAATGATGCATAACTCTAGAACGGTTGTGTATAAGTTTTACAACATTTGGATGAGACAAACTAAAAAATTCAGCAATTTTTATGTTTATAATGGGACATAACTCTAGAATGGTAAAAGTGTTGCCACCTAATTTCGTACTTAATCTGTATTATGTAGTAATTAGCATTGTGTATAAGTTTCATAACATTTGGTTGAGGCAAACTCAAGTTAGAGAACTGAAACAAAAAAAATGTACTTGATCTTTACTGAGTTTTGTTGGAATGAATATTGTGTATAGGTTTCACAATCTTTGGCTGGGGAAAACTTCAGTTACAGAATGGAAACTAAAAAATTTTGCAATCTTTCTATTTATAAAGGGGCATAACTCAATAATGGTTAAAGTGACACTACCCAAATTCAACTTGATCTGTGTTTTATCAGTGGTAGTCAAAATTAAACATTGCATTGTATAAAGCATTGATTGTAGTTGATTCAACTATAATCATGGTCAAAGGAAGATAACTCCAATTTTAAAAATATATTATATAAACTTGATATTTAGAAGAAAATAAAAATTTTGCAATTTTTCCTTTTATAAAGGGGCATAACTCTAGATCGGTTAAAGTGACACCACCAAAATTCAAACTTGATCTGTGTTTTGTGGTAATAAGCATTGTGTATAAGTTTCATAACATTTGGTTGAGGCAAACTTAAGTTAGAGAACGGAAACTAAAAATTATGCAATATTTCCTTTTATAAAGGGGCATAACTCTAGATCGGTTAAAGTGACGCCACCAAAATTCAAACTTGATCTGTGTTTTGTGGTAATAAGCATTGTGTATAAGTTTCATTACATTTGGTTGAGGCAAACTCAAGTTAGAGAACGGAAACCAATTTCGGGACGTACGTACGTACGTACGTACGTACAGACGGACAAGGGTAAAACTTAATGCCCCCTCCGGTACGGCGGGGGCATAAAAAGTGTATATTTCACTGTACTTACAAGTATGATTCTAATTAATATCATGGAAATTGTACCTGTGATTTTGTTATTTCAATTTCAATGAATATACAATAACTTCTTCCAAACCGGGCAATATTTACGATAACCTTTATTTACAATGTTAAAACTGGTACTGTTCCCTTGTTCATGTTCATGTTTTTTTTACATTAAATTTGGGTCTTCGTCGATACCATACTTATTCCAGACGTTCCGTATCTATGCTATTCATAAAAAGGCTTTTGGATTTTTCAATCGAAATAATAGCAAGCTTACTTAAAATATTATAATTAGAGAAGAATTATCGACTGTACTAGCCAATTTTCACAAATTTAAAGTTGTTTATAAAAATTATATCATGAATGATGGTTAATTACGTTTTTTGGGTAATCAGTCATACCGCATGTTGCTATTATTACCATAGGAAAACATCCGAGACGTCCCAAAAATATATAGGTGCTCCTATCATTGGAGTTGTGTACTCACACATGGCGGCACGAAATACGATCTGAAATCCATTTGACGATATCTCAACGTTTCAAAACGAAGTGAAAAATATCATGCGCCACGCGGGCGCTTATATTTGTCACTCTATGCGCCATTTCTGGTCGATAAGCGAAATTGGCGCAAGGCGCACGTCCTTCCCGATCACTGTATTAAAGGTTTCTGACACAGAATAAATGTAGTCAAAGAACTTGAAATTGGTTATATGATTTGAATTTATATTGAATTGAAGATTTCTTGCTGTTGTGCAGTACACTGTGCTGTTGCGCAATACTTAGTAAATCTGTTTTCAGACTATATACAAATAAGCAAAATAAATTGTGACCCCAAATTTTTTCCAATTACACAAGTTATCGTCCTGAAACTACAAAAATGCTTGTTTTGGGCCCCATTTTGGCCCTAATTCCTAAACGGTTGGGACCATCACCCCCAAAAACAATCCCAACCTTCCTTCTGTGGTATTGAACCTTTTGATTAAATTTCATAGAGATCCATACACTTAAACTAAAGTTATTGTGCGGAAACCAAATGTCTTCGGACGACGACGATGTGATAGCAAGATACGACCCCAAAATTTTTTTATATAAAGTTTGTTTGTGTTGTCATAAATCATTCAAAAGGGCACAAAACATAACTCTTTTCCTGGTTACAAAAAGGTTGTCTCCCTTTAAATGGCATTCCCATTAGAATTGTTTGCGGTGATTTTCAACAAAAGAACCCTGTATATATGGACATTTATTTTTTGGGGGAATAAATCTTAGTTTTATCCATATGTTATATGACAAAGCATTCTATACAGTTCATATTTCCAGTGATAGGGTATATGGAAAATAAGAGTAATATTTCTATTTTCTACAATTAAATAAAACAAGTGGTGAGGTTAACATCAATGAGACAGCTACCCTTTCCTAGACTTTCATGCTTGATTTGTTTAATGTTTGTTGTATAAGAATAAATACGAACGTTGGTTCTTTCTCTTGAATAATTTCACATTCTCTTATGTTGGATACTTTTATAGCTTACAATATATGACTTTTGTTCTTTGTTGAAGGCCATACTGAGTCCTATAGAAGCTTACATGCATGTCGGGATAATTGTCTGATTGGCAATAATACCATATCTCTGTATTTCTAATACACACAAAAAATCTATTAAATAAAACACAGCTACCCATCAACACAATAAAGCCAAAAATTTTGTTATGACTGAAAATAAGACTGTAATTAGTACTCACCAATTCTACTGCATTCCTTTTGTTTATATCTGATAGAGCACCTGTTACAAATGATTCCCATTTTTCTTTATATTCTTCTGGAGTTTCTAAAACAAACAAATTGTACTATTAGGGTCATGTCATGCTCCTCCCTATAGCTACTAATCAATATTATTGATCTGCACAAACTATTCACACACCAAGCTAAATTTATCCATACTCAAAAAGTGTATTGCATTACAATAGTGATTTTTTGTTTTGCCCCCTCCCCAGCTCTACATTCCTAAGAAATCTAATGTCGGTGGTTTCTGTGTATATGGCAGTTAGGATAAAACAGAACAGAAATCTGTCGGTAAGTACCATACATAACTAAAACTGTTAGATAGATCAAGAGACTTTTCTTCAATATTAATCTACTGTGGATTTCAGGTTTACTTTGGCAGGATTCCAATTTTCATGGATTTTGTTGGTACAGGTTAACAACAAATTAAAATGCTCAACAAAGTACATAGTTTCTATATGCTTGTATGCAGAAATTTGACAAAACCACGAAATCAAATACCCACAAAAATACAATTTTTCCTCACTGCTTGAAAATTGGTATCAAGAAAAATAAATGAATCCACAGTATATTAAGGATGTTCGCTCCTCTGTTTCAAAATAACATGCTTTTTAAAAGACTGTTATAGATTGATAGTATATAAATAAAGGAACTAAATAAAGTTAGAGAACGGAAACCAACTTTGGGACGTACGTACAGACGGACAAGGGTAAAACTTAATGCCCCCTGCGCTATGGCGGGGGCATGAAAATCAGATAAAAATGAAGGGTCTGTGTGCTTGTTTTCAAGATATAAGCCATTGAAAATTTGGTGGGAAATAAGTTTCTCTAGACTCTTCATACATTTAACATTGGCACCCTTTTTCTTTAAAAAAAAAAATATGAAAAAATAACAAGGATTTTATAGGATTTTCAAATATGGCTTTTGAAACTATATGTTATAAAACTATGAAAAGAAAAGTAGGGGTTAGTGGGCAAAATTTTTAATGGCACAACATTGATAAAACCAGAGGATTCCGAATATCTGGCAAAAATTCAAAAACAAGGGGAGCGAACATCCTTAACAGCAGGATCCTAAGCTATCATAAGTACCATAACCAATAAAAATATATAGCCCCAAATATAAAATGTATTGAATGATTTGGATTTGAATTATTGCTTCTTTTAAATAGTATGAGTGTAAGACAAGGTTTTCAGTGTTTCAAATTTGAGTAACAAGATCTAAGAAATATTAGGATAGGCAATTATATACATTGGTACATATATTATACTTACCACTTATATATTCTTTAACTAGTTCAGAATTTTCCCCCTTTTCTACAACAGCAACAATTTCATTGGCTATTTTAGTCAGATGACCCATGTAGCCTCGTCTTCTACCCTTATCCCGACTTCTACAAAAGATAAGTTATAATTTTTTATTCCTGAACAAAGAATGTCATTTTATTATATTTTTATCTACAGAAATAAGATACATCTTTTTTATGTGTGTATAAATTTGATACCGTAGAGTGGATTATTTTCGCAGGGTGTAAATTTTCACTAATTTTGCGGATAGAACAAAATTGTCAAAATAAATTCCGCCAATTTAAAAGTGCACATGCAATAGTATTGTATAAAAGCCAAAATATTTTGTATACCTTATTCAATCAAAATCACGATATTTTACACCCACAAAAAATAATCCAATATATGGTATTAAATATACTGTATGGCAAATACTAGTGTACACTATCATTTTTAGGAGTTATATTTAAAGGATTATAGCATCTATTTCTATTAAAGAACTGAAGACATGACTAGGGTTTTACAATTGATATCTCTATTTTTGGGTAGACAAGTCTAGGCATTACATTTACTTTATGTAGGAAGAACAAAATTACCAGCAAGTATCATAAATGACATGTCATGGTCAAAAATGACATGTCGCGGTCAAACTTATTTGACGTGTTTCAATGTTATATTTCGCCTTAGAGGATAAATATCTGACGCATGATTCAACACATTTTATTTTATTCGTAAAAACCTGGTTTATTGTCTAAAATCACATTTAAATGGGATAACTTTCGAACATACGATCGACATTTAATTTTTGACATGTAAATTTGGATCTGGAAGCTTTTTTCTTTTTCTAGGAAACCTTTATCAATACCCAGGAAATCCAAAGAGGGAGGTATTGATTTTGTGTGGCCTTGTCATCACATTTCTAACACAATATAGGAGGGAAAAGCTGTAACCAGGAACTTTTTTCTGGATTACATTAACATCATGCATATATACTATATAATGTCATTGGTTTCATGACTCTTTCCAATCTGAGAAAATAACTTGGCTTACAGTATTATCCAATGTTTTTTTTCTACAATTGATGTAACATTTTACAATAAAACTTACTGTTGCTGATCATTTTCTTCCCAAACATCTATTATTTTTTGTAATATATTAAATTCTGCAAATAACTGAAAATAAACAAAATAATTTGAATACGATTTTTTTCAGAATTCTTTACTTTATATGAAATGTCCTTTTTTATTTTATTAATTCTTTCATTTCAAACTCAAAATAAACAATTAAATATAATTCCAATATTAATTATACAATACATTTTGCTGGTTAAATGTCTGAGTTAACCATGGCAACATACCTTAGGGCTGTTCCATAGAAACATACATGGTACCCAGGTAAAGCACTTTCATAATGGGGTAACCACCTATAGAGGTAAATTTAGAATTCCAATTACATTTCCACTGTACTTGGCACCCACCCATAGTAGAGATTTCAAAGTGCCTTCCCTGGGTCCCATGTATGTTTTTCTGGAACAGCCCTTAAGAGTGACAAACATAATTCATTATCACAAGTTTTTTCAACAGATGAGATGTTTATTACCAAATCAGACTTTTATATAGATATATATACATAACTTATGTGGTTCATAAGTGTTTCTCGTTTCTCGTTTTTTATATAGATTAGACCGTTGGTTTTCCCGTTTGAATGGTTTTACACTAGTAATTTTTTGGGGCCCTTTATAGCTTACTGTTCGGTGTGAGCCAAGGCTCCGTGTTGAAGACCGTACTGTGACCTATAATGGTTTACTTTTATAAATTTTTACTTGGATTGAGAGTTGTCTCATTGGCACTCATACCACATCTTCTTATATCTATATAACAATAATTAAAGGTAATCTTTAGATGAGAATACTCAAAACATGAAAAAGTCACATGACAAAAATCACACACATACTCAGGTAATACTTACTTGTGCTAATGACAAAAATCACACACTTACTCAGGTAATACTTACTTGTGCTAATGACAAAAGTCACACACATACTCAGGTAATACTTACTTGTGCTAATGACAAAAATCACACACATACTCAGGTCATACTTACTTGTGCTAATAAAGGGTGCTCTTTTTTACCATCAACTTCAACAGGAGAATTATAGAGTATTGTATTTACACACTGTGTTACATGTACATGTACAAAATTATTCCAAACATACTGAAAAAATAAATCCTGAAAAGACAAGAAAAGAAATCTTAAGCCTACAAAAGACTCAGTGGAAAAAGAATAACAGGTGACAATGGAGTTAAAAATAGTTAATATATATAAAAGTTGAACAAATTTTGAACAATATGAATATATGGTTGCATCGAGTGAACCAACACCTTCTAACGGTACAGGCTGGTAGAGAGTAATCAGGATGGATACCCAGAGGTGTGCTGCGGTTGTCTTAAAACCTCAGGAAAATAATGCTACACAAAGACAACAACATCGTAGATTACTGCAGGGAAAATCTTTATTATGGTCTACAGGTTTCGCCACTTACGGTGGCGTCTTCAGGACAATTTAAACATAGAAAACAAATACTGAAGTACATAAAATGCGGTGCATATGGGGTTACAAAGGTTAACAAGACGTAACGTCACAATAATTGATTTGACAACGTTAAAATGAAAGTGAAAGTAAAAGTTAATAATGAATTGTCAGTGTCTTTTCCAAAATGGACAACACCCATAATAAAGATTTTCCTTGCAGTAATCTACGATGTTGTTGTCTTTGTGTAGCAATATGAATATATGTTCAAAGTGCTGTCAGATTACACATGAAGAAAAATGTCCATGCTTGGTAAGTGTTATGAATATTCACAATTTTGCCTAACTGGAAGTGTCTGCAAAGCAGTTCAGAAATGTGGCTTACACAGTATAACTCATATCAAATAAGCAAAAAGAATTAACAAAAAAAAATACCTTGGAATATTAATTTCAAGTATGGCAAAATTTACGAAACAGAATGGACAATTTTCAAACCGAAGTTAAAGATACTTACAAATAAAACACCAATGGTCCCTAAATTTGCTAATTCTATGTTGACAGAATGTGTATTGGTTAAAACTAAAGCTGAAACTAATCTGGCAATCTGTAAACGTGTGTTTCCTAGAGGAGGTTCTAATGTGCCTATAGTTGTTGGCATTGAAGTGAACCGTTGCTGAAATACAAATAAAACTTATCATAACTTTTATACAGACGTGTAATTTTTGCATTTTTCTAAAAAAAACTTTACATGAAATACAAAAAAAAGTTCTTTCATCAATTGACATGTCTTCTACACAGACGTATAATTTTTACATTTTTCTATTAAAAGAAAACTTTACATGAAATACAAATAAAACATCTATCATCAATTGACATGACTTCTACACAGATGTGTAATTTTTACATTTTCTAAAGAAAACTTTAAATGAAATACAAAAAAAAGTTCTTTCATCAATTGACATGTCTTCTACACAGACGTGTAATTTATGCATTTATCTATTAAAAGAAAACTTTACATAATGCTACAAAACAGTTGCTTTAATACACTGGTTTTTTCAGCTACCAGTCAGAAAGAATTGTTATATTAAATGAAAACCAGTATTCACAACTGTGTTCCCACAGAAAAGAAACTTTTATTGATGGGGCATTATAAGATGGAATACTGTAACATTCGTATAAATAAGCAATTTCCATCTGCAGTGATACAGTACCTTCATGAAAGGCAAGTTTTAAACTTAGTCATTTGGTCAGATTTACACTATACATAAGACAAATGCATTCTACCGAGACCAATAGAGCTTGCCCTCTCAGCTTGGAATCAACATTTCATTTCAAAAAAGTATATTTTTTCTTAGTACAAAGTAATTATAAATCTGATATGTCTACTACTAGCTGAACTAACCTGAGGAGGTTCCACCAATAAATTATGAAAATCTTTTAACCTAGGAGTGACTGCTAATAAAACATTGCTAACACCTTGTGCTAAACGATCTGTGTCTATGGAAGCAATGTGCTCTTGTGAACCTTCAGGGCTGAAAATGAGACATGGAAATTTATTTCATGAAAACAAGAAGTACAAAATATAACATGGAAATTAAATTTACACTATCAAGAAGTAATCAGCTTTCTCAAAAAACTGAGTTAAAGTAAATATGAGAAGTTGCAAGATTCATACAATTCTTAAATCTTAATCAATTGAGACATTTAAAAGTTTATGCAACATTTGGTCTATTTAGAATTAGGTGTTGATGAATGATCTTTGACTTTCTGTGTTAAAGTTGTTTCAAATCATCTATTTTTTTCTAATATAACTGAAATGGAGTTTTAGACTGTATGGTATCTTCATCTGTTTTTTGTGAACTTGTATTTATAGGTTTCCGTCTCAATAAATTTTACCCAAAATCTCAAATAACTTGTTTGTTGGTTACAAATAATGGCCCAGCGGGAACCTTAAGTGTCTCCAATATTTCAGCTGGACCAACAAAAATAAAATTCTTCCCTATTCTGACTGACAAATTTGTTACGCTTACCTTTGTTTCCTAAATTGTAATAGTGTTTGTATCAGATAAATCATTGCTATTCTGACTGACAAATCTGTTATGCTTACCTTTGTTTCCTAAATTCTAACAGTGTTTGTATCACAGAGAGACCATTAACTATAACAGATTCATTCTTGTCTTGTCCTAACATATTAGTTAATAATTTAGCTACAGTTTCCTCCCTGAAATAAACATCATTATAATATTAAATTCTGAAATAACCAACTGTTTCAATAATGCATAAAATTAAGTTTTCTTATTTGTTTGATCAACAATGATATTTTTTTTCATAAGATACAGTAAATAAAAGAAGAAATTATTCAAACAGGGGTTTCTGTCACTTGTTTAATACCTGTTCCATATAATGGTTTACGGTTTAGGTTTTTCTCATTGTTGAAGGCTGTCCTGTTGCCTTAATTGCTTACATGAACTTCATTTGAACTTTGGTGAAAAGTTGTCTCATTGGGAATCATACCATATATCCTTAGTTCTATAAAGGTTATATCAATTTTATGGTTCACTTAACTTCATTGTACATTGTACACACCCAAATATATATATGCTTTAATCATAGAGCTGTTCGATAAAAAATACACTGGACCCAGGGAAGGCAGGTTCAGAATCTCAACTATGGGTGGGTGTCAAATACTTGTCTGTACTGTGTAATTCAAAATTTCTTTATAGGCAGTTACCCCATTTTCAACATGCCTTCCATGGGTACCAAGTATATTTAAATGGATCAACACTGAAGATAAAGTACACAATTTTTGTTGTCTTCAAAACTTACTGTTCTACTGTGGACAGGAGTGGATTTTCTTGATTCAGTTGCTCACGACCTAACCTCACAATATCACATAATGATTGTGCACTGTTACAATGTACCTGTAATAAGTAAAACGAACCAGTCATATTGAAAATGTCCTATGGTACAATAAACGGGCGAGGAATATAATTTACAGGAATATGCAAGTTAAATGCTTGTTGAAATTATATTTTGCTTGTACATCAGACTACACGAAATTCGTCGGACCGTCGGACAAATCCGGTGAATAATGGATCGGTCTGGTAAAATTTTGTTGAATTCCGGTCCGAATGTCCGGTGTTGTTTTTTTCATGGATTTTTCTAAAAACCCTACATTTTTCCCAATTTTGGGAGCAAAATACCCAAACGATCTCGAAATTCATTTTCATCTTTATTATTCATGACAACGATGTTTATTTTGTTCAACCGCTAGCTTTATGCCGAAAATCGCCAACAAGTAATGTGTAAATCCGAGTAAAAACATATCTGACTGACAAAAACAACAATGGCTGCCATCAACCGGAAATGTAGACAATACCGGATCAGATTCCGGGAACGGATAAGGCCAATTCCGGGTTTTGCCGATCAAAAACAATAAATAAAAAAATAAAAAATCCAAGCAGGTTCACAAAATACAGCTATGAAATATAAACACTAGAATTGAAAACCAAAAGATATAAGAAAAAGAAAGAAGATACAGGAAATATTTTATACAGAAACTCTAAATTATTTTTAGTTCACAAATAATTTTCATGTCAAAATCCAATAAAATGTGACATTACTTTTCTTTATCACTGAAATGCATTCAAGCAATTGAGCACAACTTTCATCGAAATATACACTCTTGTCACATGACTTTGTTTTTGTGCATTTTTGAGAGGAGTAGGGCACAACAAGTCATAAGTTTGTTGTATTTTGTCGGATAATATACAATTATATGTAAAAAAATTGGTCTGGTAAAATTTCATTCGGTCTGGTAAAGCTAGGTTGTTTACCAGACCGAATGTCCTGTAAAAATAAAATTCATTCGTGTAGTCTGGTACATATAACTTTTAGAGTTAATTTAGGATAAACAAAATTACTTTATACCAGAAAGGGATGTAAACTAAAAAAAATATTCAAATCAAGGAGCAGATCTAATATGGGAATATAGTAAGTTAACCCATCCACATTTTTTATGTGCATGCAATTCAGTGGGTGTCTGTGCTTGTTGTCTGCAATGTTTGCTGTTTTGTTTAATGTATTTTACCCATTTCTGACATTTCAGTTTTCCATCTTGAATTGTTTTACAATTTGTCATGACATGGCCTTTTATACCTTACTAGACAGAATAGGTTTTGTTCATTGTTGAAGGTTGTTATGGTGATTTATAGTTTCCAACCTCAATGTCATTTAGCCGATAGAAGTCTCATTGAAAATCATACCAGATCTACTTATTTCTATCTGTAAATCAATGCAAATTTTACGGGAAAATGTTTTTTGCTAGTTTTATAAGATGCTAATTACTGTGGATTCCTTAGTACTAACTGTAGAGAATTTCATGGGTATATAAGAACCATGACTTTTAAGAATTTCAACAAAATAAATTTTGACTCTAGTGAACATGCCTCATTGGCAATCATACCACATCTTCTTACTTTATACAAAATCAAGTATCCACAAAAATACAATTTTCCCTTATAACATCAAAATAAAGGAATCATCAGGAAATACTTGAAATCTATAAAAGCTACATTTAATTGTAAATTCCTTTATCTAAACAAATACTGATTATCTGTACCTCTTCATCCTCTGCAGATACAAGGCAGTCAACAAGTCGTTCTACTATCTGTTTCTCATTTAACCACTGAAACAATAACATATCATAGTAAATTAAGTTACCAATAACTATCTGTTTAACATCTACTAGAGTAAGTTACATACAGGAGATTGTCCAAATCAACAAGGTCATCATGGTTTACATTACATACTGTGAGTGGGGAAATAATATGTTTTAAGGATGTTTGCTTCCCTGTTTAATTAAAAGACTTGTTATAAATTGGTGGTAGATAAATGAAGGACATGTCTGTGTCCTTGTTTTGGAGATATAATCAACTAAAAATTTGGTGGGAAATGATTCTCTCTAGATGTTTCATGCATTTAACATTGGCACCTTTATTCTTTCAAAAACTATGAAAAAATAACAAGGATTTTACAAGATTTTCAAAAATGGCTTATAAAAATATATGTAAATAAAATGCTCCGCAGGGCGCAGCTTGATACGACCGCAGAGGTCGAACCCTGAACATTTGGGGCAAGTATGGACACAACATTCAAGCTTGATACAGCTCTGAATTTGGATTGTGATTAAATATTTGACACAGCATAGGTTTCTGACACAGAATGAATGTGGTCTAAGAACTTAAAAATTTTAAATTGGACATTCACCTATTATGGTCCAATATCCAAAATCTAAATACATGGTTAGATTCAGCATATCAAAGAACCCCAAGAATTCAATTTTTGATGAAATCAAACAAAGTTTAATTTTGGACCCCGATTTGGACCAACTTGAAAACTGGGCCCATAATCAAAAATCTAAATACATGTTTAGATTCAGCATATCAAAGAACCCTAAAAATTCAATTTTTGTTAAAATCAAACTAAGTTTTATTTTGGACCCTTTGGACCTTAATGTAGACCAATTTGAAAACGGAACCAAAAATTAAGAATCTAAATACACGGTTAGATTCAGCATATCAAAGAACCCCAATAATTCAATTTTTGATGAAATCAAACAAAGTTAAATTTTGGACCCTTTTGACCTCAATGTGGACAAAGTTGATAACGGGGCCCAAAAATCAAAAATCTAAATACATGGTTAGATTCAGCATATCAAAGAACCCCATATATTCAATTTTTGTTGAAATCAAACAAAGTTTAATTTTGGACCCTTTGGACCTTAATGTAGACCAATTTGAAAACGGAACCAAAAATTAAGAATCTAAATACACGGTTAGATTCAGCATATCAAAGAACCCTAATAATTCAATTTTTGATGAAATCAAACAAAGTTAAATTTTGGACCCTTTTGACCTCAATGTGGACAAAGTTGATAACGGGGCCCAAAAATCAAAAATCTAAATACATGGTTAGATTCAGCATATCAAAGAACCCCATATATTCAATTTTTGTTGAAATCAAACAAAGTTTAATTTTGTACCCCGATTTGGACCAACTTGAAAACTGGGCCCATAATCAAAAATCTAAATACATGTTTAGATTCAGCATATCAAAGAACCCTAAAAATTCAATTTTTGTTAAAATCAAACTAAGTTTAATTTTGGACCCTTTGGACCTTAATGTAGACCAATTTGAAAACGGAACCAAAAATTAAGAATCTAAATACACGGTTAGATTCAGCATACCAAAGAACCCCAATAATTCAATTTTTGATGAAATCAAACAAAGTTAAATTTTGGACCCTTTGGACCTCAATGTGGACAAAGTTGATAACGGGGCCCAAAAATCAAAAATCTAAATACATGGTTAGATTCAGCATATCAAAGAACCCCATATATTCAATTTTTGTTGAAATCAAACAAAGTTTAATTTTGGACCCCGATTTGGACCAGCTTGAAAACTGGGCCCATAATCCAAAATCTAAATACATGTTTAGAATCAGCATATCAAAGAACCCTAAAAATTCAATTTTTGTTAAAATCAAACTAAGTTTAATTTTGGACCCTTTGGACCTTAATGTAGACCAATTTGAAAACGGAACCAAAAATTAAGAATCTAAATACACGGTTAGATTCAGCATATCAAAGAACCCTTATAATTCAATTTTTGATGAAATCAAACAAAGTTAAATTTTGGACCCTTTTGACCTCAATGTGGACAAAGTTGATAACGGGGCCCAAAAATCAAAAATCTAAATACATGGTTAGATTCAGCATATCAAAGAACCCCATATATTCAATTTTTGTTGAAATCAAACAAAGTTTAATTTTGGACCCCGATTTGGACCAACTTGAAAACTGGGCCCATAATCAAAAATCTAAATACATGTTTAGATTCAGCATATCAAAGAACCCTAAAAATTCAATTTTTGTTAAAATCAAACTAAGTTTAATTTTGGACCCTTTGGACCTTAATGTAGACCAATTTGAAAACGGAACCAAAAATTAAGAATCTAAATACACGGTTAGATTCAGCATACCAAAGAACCCCAATAATTCAATTTTTGATGAAATCAAACAAAGTTAAATTTTGGACCCTTTGGACCTCAATGTGGACCAATTTAAAAACAGGGCCCAAAATCCAAAAACTTAATACACGGTTAGATTCAGCATATTAAAGAACCCCAAGAATTCAAGAATAAAACCCCATTGAAATTGATCAAGAAATAAGCAATTTATACGAAGTATCTTCTTTTGCACAATACTGTGCAATTGAATATTTCTTGCTATTGCGCAATACTGTACAATTGACAATTTCTTGCTATTGCGATATATTGTGCTATTGGATATTTCTTGCTATTGCGCAATACTGTGCAATTGAAGATTTCTTGCTATTGCACAATACTGTGCAATTGAAGATTTCTTGCTATTGTGCAATACTGTGCAATTGAAAATTTCTTGCTATTGCACAATACTTATTAGATAATAATTTACACATCCTGTTTGGTGTGTATCTCCTACCATATCATTATTATTTGCTTTTAAATATTAATCAGAAATAACCAACTTAAAATGGAAAATTTTAAAAGAAAAAAAAAAGGAAAAAAAGAAAAAAAAAAATCCCCCCCCCAAATTTTTTGAACCCCCTTATGATTCATCACCCCCAAACTCAATCCCAGCCTTCCCTTTGTGGTATGGTACCTTGCAGTACAATTTCAGAGAGATCCATACACTTGAACACAAGTTATTGTCTGGAAACTAGAAAAATGCTTATTTTTGGCCCCTTTTTGGCCCCCAATTCCTAAACGTTTGGGGCAATTACCCCCAAACTCAATTCCAGCTTTCCCTTTGTGATATGGAACCTTGTAGTACAATTTCAGAAATATCCAAACACTTACACACAAGTTATTGTCATGAAACTAGAAAAATGCTTGTTTTTTGCCCCTTTTTTGGCCCCTAATTCCTAAAATTTTGAGGCAATTACCCCCAAAATCAATTACAGCCTTTCCTTTGTGATATGGAACCTTGTGGTACAATTTCAGAGAGATCCATACACTTACACACAAGTTATTGTCTGGAAGTTACAAAAATGCTTATTTTTGGCCCCTTTTTGGCCCCTAATTCCTTAACTGTTGGTACCATAACCCCCAAAATCAATCCCAACCTTCCTTTCGTGGTATTGAACCTTATGGTAAAATTTCATGGAGATCCATTCACTTAAACTAAAGTTAGAGTGCGAAAACCAATGTGTCTTCGGACGACGACGACGCCGGACGACGACGACGCCAACGTCATACCAATATATGACCAAAAATTTTTTAATTTTTGCGGTCGTATAAAAAATTATGAAAAGAAAAGTAGGGGTTTAGCTGACAAAATATTTACTGGCATCACATGGATAAAACTAAAGGATTCCGAATATCTGACAAAATTTTAAAAACAAGAGTAGCGAATCATCTTTAAACTTAGTGAACCTTATCACAAAGTCCATAATATACATTATGTCCATCATTCTTTACAGCTAGCCTACTCCATCAAGCCCAACCTATTCTTTACAGCTAGCCTACTCCATCAAGTCCAACCTATACCTTACAGCTAGCTTACTCCATCAAGCCCAACCTATTCTTTACAGCTAGCCTACTCCATCAAGTCCAACCTATACCTTACAGCTAGCCTACTCCATCAAGCCCAACCTATTCTTTACAGCTAGCCTACTCCATCAAGTCCAACCTATACCTTACAGCTAGCCTACTCCATCAAGCCCAACCTATTCTTTACAGCTAGCCTACTCCATCAAGCCCAACCTATTCTTTACAGCTAGCCTACTCCCTCAAGCCCAACCTATTCTTTACAGCCTGTTTCATTAAGTCCAACAATTTTTGTTTCATACAAACTAAACAATTGTAATATATCCATTATTATAGCTTACCTCAACAACGGCTCTTTTAAGCTCAATCCATTCTATACAAGTCAACAACCGTAATAACAAGTCCATTATTGCTGAAGTACCAATATGGTGCAGAAGTTGCCCTATAAAATCTTCTCGTGACTTTAAAAATTCAAAAATCTGGAAAAAAAAGAAAATTTCTTCAGTAGTCATTATAATGGTCTGTAAATTTGTAATAACATTCTTGAAATCATAGGAGTGACCCAAATTATATATGTATAAAGTCATAACTATTTTTTAACTGACTCTTTAGACTTGTATTATGGTAATCATGAGAGACCATAGATGCATTTCTTCATATTAACAATCATCAAGTAAGATTAAATGTGGTATACCATGTATTCTCATTTTTTCTAAAAATCTTAACCCAGAATGAATTAGAAATTTTTACAAAGTCTTTCATTACTGTGAAATCATTTATTTTCATGGGTGCCAATTTTCGTGGAATTAGGAAAACTTACATTTTCATGGTTTTGCAAACAACCTTATAGTAAAATGTGTCATTCGTTGCACATTTAAATTCGTTGTTCGCCTGTACCCACGAAATCCAGGAAAATGGGTGTCCAACGAATAATATTGACTCCACAGTATTGCAAAAATTGCAATGGCATAGGTTTCGCAAAATAACAAAGACTCATTTTTAAATTTTAAAGTTTGTATTCCGAAATTTCCTGAAATTGCACTAATTTATCTTGCAATTTTTGTACATTGTTCAACCATAGCAATAATAAATGTGCGCCAAAATTTCAGAATTAACAGTTATTACTTAATTTGATAGTCCTTCTGCATAGAACAGGCATTTAAACACAATTTTTTTTTAAAGAGTATCCTATGTGTAGATGGCAAAGTTATATTTATTTTCATTCCTTGCTAACAAAAAACTTGACAATACTTGTTTCAATTCTCAAGTATTGGCATCAGGTTAAGAGATAAATACTGACCATTTCACTTTTCCTAGTGATCAGTAATCCCATAACTTTACTGAAGAAACTAGCTAACAATGGGTTGAGAGGTTTTTCTCCCTCTAAAAAGCTATACAATTTGATAACTAATTCTTCTGTTCCAGCTAAAGCATCTGTAATCTGCTGGACGTCAGAGGTCAACAGCTCACATGCTGTGTTTGGAAATCTGTTGGAAAGAAATTACAGATTCAGTATTAGTGTCACACAGAACAAACAACTTATAAAGCAAGCTGGAAAATCAGGATTATTCAGAGCTGATCAAGGGTCCGGAAATGGTCATATTTGCCAGTCATGACCTAAACTGATAGCTATTTGTCCTAAAGGTCAGATTGGGATTTAGGACATATTTTTTTACAGAAATAATTTCGGTCATTACATTGAGATCGTGTTTCTTAATCACCATTTACACTTGTTTTTGTCTTGTAATCCCTTTCCTGTAATAAAACTGCCACTCCAGCATAAATGATATAATCCTGAGGGCACTCCTAATAACTATAATAATGCCTCCAGGAAATATTGGCTAATGACCTCTAATCACTTTTTACCTGTGTTTTTAATTCACACTGGACAGTGATCACAAGCTCAGAACTAGTATTATAAAGAAATTAAAATTCCGAGACAACTATCTTCGTTATTTAATTACTTTTCAGCAAGGACAAGTAGAAAAAGTAATTTTTCACGAGTTAAATATGTGCTTTATTTACAATGTAATACGCATGCGTGAAACTGTCTTCACCAGATAAGACATTTAATTGTAAAATGCAAAATGATTTCATGCTAAATTAAACGAGTGCAACTATTATCTGTTGTATTCAGACAACTTTAAAAGTAATAAAATTAAAATTCCTGTGATTTCCATCCAATTTGATAAACAGAACAAATCCCAGAAATGAATCCGGAATTATTAATACTTTAGTATTGTCGCAAAACTTCCTGTTCTAATTTTGTCTTCAAAATCGAAAGAAATATTAGTGATGTCTGAGAAATTTACCATTTTGAGTCATTAAAATCATTTCAATTTTAAACAGTTGCTTTCCATGAACTGTACTTGGAACATTTTATTTTAAGAAATTTTATGCAGTAAATGCGACGAAACTGTCAATACCAGTTCGTTACTGCTGTGAATTTAGTGTGATTTCGACAATTTAAAAAAGGTCCCAACTTTTAAGTCATCTCAAAATGATCGAAATTGTGTGAAAAAATTTCCAGATCCTTGGAGCTGATACAATATGTATTACTAAGTAGTGTATGTGTGTATGTGAATTAACTTTTCTTACATGTGACACCAATACCAGTTCTCAGATGCATGCATACAATAACCATCATAAGAGCCTTTTATGGCTGACTATACCTTAGAAGTTTGCTCATTGTTGAAGGCTTTATGGTGATCTATATTTAAGAAACCATGTCATTTGGATTCTGGTGGAAAGTGCTAATATCTAACCCCATTATAATACACACAAGTGTTTCAGTTAAACATGTTAAATGTCAGTCTTGCTGTCATAAGAGTTGATGACATTGAATCACTGTGAGACAGGTGATTGCTGTTTATTAGATATGATAAATAATTAGATCATAACAATGACACTGTCATATACTAATATAATGACTAAAATATATATGAGAAACAGGCATATTATGCCCTCAATTTTAGAATTCATTCATACATTTTTGTATTATTCAAATTATCAGCCAATATGTGTTCTACAAGGATCACCAGTCCTTAAGCCTTCCATTTGATACCTTAATCACTAAAATATATTCTACATAGTTTTATATACACCTATCGCTATTTGTCACAGAGTTTTCTGTAAAATTTTGATCGCATAAGAGAAAATTTCTGACGCCACAAAGGATAAGTGATTTTTGTTTGAAGTCAAAAGTTCAAGTGTCGCAAATTCTCAGGTCATGTGTTGCAGATTCCCAAATAGTGATAAGGTCTATTTACATCTATGTGTAGGAACCTTTTTGTTTTAAATATGTACTACTTTCCAGTATGCTCTTTTTTGACCGAGCCAGATTTTGATGGTGTTACATGTTACAAAGTCTATCCTAATCATTTCCCTAAGAAATCAATTCAAACCGGTGCTAGGGACTGTCTAAAACTTACAGTAGGGTGAGGGTTTTATTTTTTTTTGCTCTGTGTTGAAGGCCTCACTTTCACTTTGAGATGTCTGATGAAGAACAGCAATAAGTGTTTTTTGCTGTGGATGCACTGATTTTGAATCATGGATGAATACCCCATATCCTTTGATTTTCTATTATGGATGTATTTCAGAGGTAAACAACGGCAATCAAGAGCAATTACTACTATGAAAACTCAACCTCCAACCAAGAGTGATTTTAAACCAGTATTTAAATTACCAATCTACTCACCTGTATTTACATTTCTCATCTTCTTCATCCTCTGGCTCTACGGTTATCATTTTAACCATGCAATCCATGTTTTCTGGTGTTATAATGCTGAAAGTAGATCAGACAATTTATATTTAAAATCTGATATTCACTTTCTGTAACTCAAAATTTTCATTAAGAACGATGGCTTCAAAACATTGGCAAACTTATATTACATGCATATTCAGAAAGTGCATGCTAAGGGCTGTTCCAGAAAAACCAACATTTGACGGAATGGGCCAAGGGAAGGCACTTCTAAATCTCAGCTAAGGGTGGCTGTCGAATAATTTTTTGGAGGAACAGTCCTAATGACATACTGATATACCTGCTAGATGTACAATACTGACACAATGATCAAATTTCTAATTATTTAAAACGTGCAAGTTAACATGTTAAGTCTGCTGGAATACAAGTCCCCTAGTAATGTATATTGTTATTTGGAAATGCTGAGCTTTTTTGGTAAATATTCAAGTATATATAAAAATAAGTAGATGTGGTATGATTGCCATTGAGACAACTCGCCACAAGACACCAAATGACACAGAAATTAACAACTATAGGTCACTGTATGCCCTTCAACAATGAGTGAACCCATACCGCATAGTCAGCTGTAAAAGGCCCAAAAATGACAAATTTATGTAAAACAATTCAAACGAGAAAACTAACGGCCTGATTTATGTACAAAATAATGAACGAAAATTAAATATGGTATACAGCAACAAACGACAAACACTGAATTACAGGCACCTGACTTAGGTCTCTTTTTCAAGCACTTTATTATTCATCATGAACTACTGTATCAACACTTACAAATCTATGAGCTTTTTATTCTGTGCCTTACATTCCTGTAGTATATCATTTTCATCCATTAATTCTTGGAGAGTGACATCCTGTAAAATAAACCATCATTCTCCTGACTTCAAATATGGAAATCAATCAAGCAAAGACACACCTACACTAGTGTATACAAAGGAGGTATGTAAATAAAAGTTACACATTAGTAGAGAACAATAAACAAGGAGTCAAATGATGCAAGCTTTAACTACCTGAAAATTATAATGGGTAAAGTGAACCAACACCCTGAAGTGGTCGACGTGTGGTAGCGGTCAAGTTAGGGTGGATACCTAGTGGTATTCATAAAGGGGTAAAGTGAACCAACACCCTGAAGTGGTCAACGTGTGGTAGCGGTAAAGTTAGGGTGGATACCTAGTGGTATTCAATAGTTGTCTTTCTACACGTACATAAAATTATAGAAAATCAAGACATCATGTTATGCCGAAATAATAAAGAATTGGCGTCATCAGGATGGTTAGAATATGTGGACTTCCTGAAGTCCACATTTACATACAATGTACTTCAGGGATAATTTTTCTTATTGTAACCATGGTAACTGTCCTGATGACGTCACTCATGTGGTGAAACATGTAGACATAAGACTCCGTGTTGAAGACCGTACTTTGACCTATAATGGTTTACTTTTATAAATTTTGACTTGGATGGAGAGTTGTCTCATTGGCACTCATACCACATCTTCTTATATCTATAATAAATTCTTTATTATTTTGGTATAACATGGGTGTTGTCTTTATTTTCTATAATTACTTGAAAGTTAATCTAAATGTATAACGATCAATCCCAATCAGGATCTTCTGCACCTGATAGTTGATGGAAAATCTACTATTGGTAAAATTTGTAAAAAATAACTGTTTCACCAATAAACAAATTTCTCAATATCTGGTATTAAGTGTAAGCTCCCTAGAAATAAACACAGATTTTTTATGTTTTCAAATAACTTTTACAAAATAAATCCTTAATTTAAATAGAGAAATTTGGCGCATTCTAAATTAAAGGTTTAATCAAAGTAATGATGATGGCGACAAAAACAATATATATCATAACTTTTTGCAATTGATTTGGACACCATTCAAATGCCATTATAAGGGATGAAATTTTTTTGTATGACTTTTGAATAGCCAATACTTTTTTGAACTACAACAACTGTAATTCTAGTACTGTAAATTCAGTAATTATTACGTTCATTTATTATTGCGATTTTTGAAGAATGGACAAAAATGCGAGACTACTTATTGTGATTTCAGGAAAATCTGCATACTGATGTATATATCAGATATCTGAATGCGAGTTCTAATTATTACGATACTCACCTTGTCGCATTATTTGCAATAATAAAAACCTCACAATAATTTTTGAATTTACAGTAATTACTACAATAATGTAATGTGTTCCCTACAGTCCATCATACTAAAGAAATCCAGAAAAAGGTATATAAAAACCAGGTGCAATTTAACAATATTGATTGTGACTTACCTCCTTCCCAAGCAAGGTATCAATTTTTGAAGTTGTGATAAGATTAAACTTCCAAAACATCTTGTTATCTGGAAAAAGAAAGATTAAGTTAAGATTCTGTTATGTTAAGTAGTTATGGCTGACACAGCTACAAGCTATAATCCAAAGAACACAATTTGAAATCAAGAATAAAGTAAAACAATTATTTAATTTCCCCTGGTTTAGCTTCAGCAATACAGTAATAGAGATGTTTAACTGGATATGTGTGTCAAAACAATTCAGAACACAAGTTGGATGCAGAATAATTCTGGACAATTTCCTTTAGATTGTGAAACTTTTTTGTCGGCTATTTAAGGGAATGTAAGTGTATATATAACATACCTGCAAACTTCAGTAATTTTAAACCTTTGTTAATTTGTATCTTGATCGTAAAAATAGCCTTAAAACAAGATTTCCATTTGTGAAAAGGTTTGAGAAACTAAGCCAATCAGTATTGTTTTTCGTGTGATCATAATGTATGAATTATCACTTGAAAAATGTGTTTACAATACGATGGATAACGAGCATTGGGATAGGGTAGGGTCACATGGTGGTTTTCTTCCTGTTCTTATCCAACTATTTATTAAAACTATAGAACCCCCGACAGATAGTTTTGTTTGCAACTAATACACTTGATCAGCTGTCAGATTGTTGCAGTTTACAGGTAAGGTTTTTAGCACTAAAAAAAAAACACAGTTTCAATCAAAAACACAGAATTACCTGGAAAAAAAATTACTGACCAGAAAATGTTCACACATTTATAAGCCAAAGTACATTGGAAAATATTAAGACTCAAAAGGTTTTTGACCCACAAGCAATTTAAAGTTAACTGGAGCTACTCATTCAAATGAGACAGTCACCCATCAAGATTTTATGAACTATGTCATTTTGTTCCAAAAAGAAATGAACTAATTAATCTAATATATATATACATATATATTATATATTTATTTTTCAAACATTTAATATGAATTAAAAAAATATTTGGTTTATAAATATCCTTATTCAGGCCACCCTTAACAAATTCTTTGTTTGACGTTGCCTTCCCATGCCTTGGGGTGTTGGGAAGATGGGTAGGGATTTTATTTATTTTTTGGCCAACTACATTAGTTACAAGACAAGAAAACAACTTTAAAGCATGAAAAAAAAAACATTTTAAACAAAATTTAAAATATGAGTTATGAAATTTTCGGGAAGGCTGCTTTTAAAGAGGGTATGTAGACAACATCAAACTATTTTAATTTTACTTTTGGCCTCATAACAATTAATTCCTTTATACATCTTTCAAGTAAACATGCCCCACAAGTGTAAACCTATAACAGACTACACGAATGAATTTTATTTTGACTGGACATTCGGTCTGGTAAACAACCTAGTTTTACCAGACCGAATGAAAATTTACAAGACCTTTTTTTTTACATCTTATTTCTCATCTCAAAATGTACAAAAACAAAATCATGTGACAAGAGTGTATATTTTGATGGAAGTTGTGCACAATTGCTTGAATGCATTTCATTGATAAAGAAATGTAGTGTCACATGACATGAAAATTATTTGTGAACTTAAAATAATTTTAAGAGTTTCTGTACATGCTGTATAAAATATTTCCTGTTTCTTCTTTCTTTTTTATATATCTTTTGGTTTTCAATTCTAGTGTTTAATTATATTTCATAGCTGTATTTTGTGACCTGCTTGGATTTATTAAATTTATTTACTGTATTTGATCGGCAAACCCCGGAATAAGCTTTATCCGTTCCCGGAATCTGATCCGGTATTGTCTACATTTCCGATTGATGGCAGCCATTGTCTGTTGTTTTTGTCAGTCAGATATGGTTTACTCAGATTTACACATTACTTGTTGGTGATTTTCGACATAAAGCTAGCGGCTGAACAAAATAAACATCGCTGTCATGAATAGTAAAGAAGAAAATGAATTATGAGATCGTTTGGGAATTTTGTTAGAATGCTAGAAAAAATCCATGAAAAAAACACCACCAGACATTCGGACCAGAATTCAACAAAATTTTACCACACCAATAAAATTGAGAATGGAAATGGGGAATGTGTCAAAGAGACAACAACCCGACCATAGAAAAGACAACAGCAGAAGGTCACCAACAGGTCTTCAATGCAGCGAGAAATTCCCGCACCCGGAGGCGTCCTTCAGCTGGCCCCTAAACAAATATATATACTAGTTCAGTACTAAACTCCAAATTGTACACAAGAAACTAAAATTAAAAATAATACAAGACTAACAAAGGCTAGAGGCTCCTGACTTGGGACAGGCGCAAAAATGCGGCTGGTTAACCATGTTTATGAGATTATCCATTATTCACCGGATTTGTCCGACGAATTTCGTGTAGTCTGCTATAAATAGGGCCCAGGTTTGTGACATTATGAAAAAGTTGTGTAATTTCAGAACTTATCTGGATTGAAATAAATAGGGCAGTCTTCGCACTCAACCACAGGCCCAGTAAAAATTGTCTCTGCAGGCTAATAGAATATAACTAAAATTTTTATAATATTCAGATTCTGGCCTGTACTGTAAGATTCAAAAGTTTATCCTGAAGAATGAATAGCGACAAGGTGAATGTAACCCACCACTCTGCCATGAAAATCACTTAAACTGGTTTTAAAGTAACAATTTCTGACCACAATTAGAAAAGATAAAACAGGAAACCAATGTCCAATGATTAAATTACAAACTACCAAACATTGACAGATCAAACCACAGGGACTCTTTAAGTCTGTATGAAACAGTCCAACAATCGGACCAGCTGAAAAGTGAAATAGGGGGACCTGGTGTTATTTTGGCAATCAGAACTGACAGGTCCAACAGTTAAAGCAACCTGTAGGTAGGTTGGTCAAATACTGTCTTTACCACTCCGGTACAACATGGTAGGCAATAATATGGTTCCTTTGATTTCTTTTGGGGATTTTGCCTATACCATCATTTAAAAGCATTTGATTTGCCACAAATATTACACACAGTACACCAAAACACTATAGCCATGTTTTGACCTTAATAAATCACGAGTATAAATATGCATGCAAAACAACAGCAGATAATAAAACATGTTATTACGCACAGAATGCAACACTAACATTTGCAACAGTTGTGTTTTATTAGATAGACAGGACACATTTTTTAGTTGTATACCCACATACTCATTACACAGCAAAACCTACGTGAACTGAAAGTACTACACGTAAACGGTCAATTTAGAGCTCGCCAGTGAAATAAGCAGCATTTATGTTGACTCTGCATTAATTAAGAGTGATAACTGTATAAAAATAATGCATAGAATTTGTTTATTAACCTTTAGAGAAGACTGTGATTTATTTTATCAAATGTAAACACGGAGAAACTTCTTCAATATCAAATAGACTCCACGGGTTTCTTGGTTCATTTCCAGTTTTTCATGTTGAAGGATTCATGACATCAAATGCAATAAGTTAAATATGATTCTATGGTTTGGGTTTTGCAATAATTAATCGTCAGATCATTGAATAACCAATATATATATGATATTAATCATGTCAGGCGGGAACGAGCACTTCTCAAAATGGCGACGCTGAATATCCCATAATCAATTTTCTACGTTCTCACGAGAAATTTGTATAAATTTTATTTTTAATTCTAAAACGATAAAATGACATTAAATTACTATTTCCATTACAAAATTGTACATGAAATGATTTTATTTTTTAATTATCAAGCACCTGCGCTGTTGTCATAATAAATTTGAATACGCATGCGCGTTCATTGATGTTGCACTTCAGGCGATCATCTGAAAAATCTGTAGTTTACAAACGGACAGAAAAAGTCTTTCAGCTCTGAAAAAAATTATTCCGGTAAGAAATTTTGAGTTAAACTTTGTTGATTAGATATTTATTTATACTTTTTGTTGAAAATTGTGAGCTGTTACCTTTTATATTTTTCAAAAAACGTTATTACATGACCAATGGCATATCAAATGTTACCGGTGAGTAAGGAGCGGTTTCTCAATTTTTACAATTTTTAATAAAAAACTTACTGTGACAGTTGTCAAATTTGAAAGTTTATGACTTATTTTGTAATTAGGGTGACTTCTAAGGTTTATTTTTCATTTCCTGTTTTGAAATTAAAGATTTTGGTGAAAAACTGTGCACATGTATGTACACGATGAACTTGATCTGGGCGATCTGGGCCTGCGCCAATCATAAATTCCTTTGTTCCAAAATAGGAAAACGCTGTGAAGCGTAACCTTGTCCAAACGGTCATTGACACAATTACACAGAGCGGCCTATTGATTGGTGGTATGTCGATTTTAACATATATGTAGAAAGCGGACGTTAACCATAATCAGAATAGCCATTGATCAGGCAAAAGAAAATATATTATTAAATACGAATTGAAGGAATTTATTGATTTGTGAGAATGACATAGATATATATTGATAAAAGACTCAATTAATTTAGGTACAAAGGGGTTAAGTGGAATGAAGTATAATTTCAACTGAATTTCCTTTGATATCATAATGACTTTTGAATTCATATTTTGATCAGTATGTATTACTTTGGTTTTTTTTATCACTATCAGTATAATTGTTTAAGATAATTCAGTTATTTCAATATTACCATTTCACCAAGTTTGTTGGTATACCAGAGGACTGCATTTTGCCTGTTTTATTTAAATATTCTTTTATATTTGCTGATATGTCATAGACATAGTTAACAATGGTTAGTATTAAATAGTCCAAGATATTTGGTATGTGGTATTCAATTTTTTTAATTTTTAAAAATATTACAGATCTGTTAACATTAACATATTGAAAAAAATGGCAAACACTGTTTGTCTCATTGGCATACAAACAATTTCTCCCTATTTTCATATCTATTTATTATATAATTATGTTATTTTCAGATTTATAAATAACAAATATACTGTACAAGGAAAGATGTTCAGTTTTCATAAACCTAAGATTTACCGGAGCAATAACGGCTGTTGTATATGCCGTGCAAAATCATCAAGTTCTCGCTTTACTGACAGCAAGCGTTATGAATGTGACTTTGAAAATTGCTTTAGAATTAAGGAAAGACGTGCTGGTGAAATATGTAATGCATGTGTACTTTTGGTGAAAAGATGGAAAAAGCTGCCCTCAGGAACTAATAGACATTGGCATCATGTAAGTTTGTATCGTTGACTTTATAAAACAAATTGATTTTCACACGAAGAAAAAAATAAAGAAGCATCTGCAAGTTATTAATTTTTCCAAAAAAAATTAATTTAGAATATTGAATATTAGATAGATAGTCTCGTTAACTGAAGCATAATGTGTAGTGGTAGTGCTGTGTAAATATTTGTCATACTTTAAATTCCATAGATTACACAGGGACTGATCACTGTGTGTGTCAGAAGTAGGTCATGTTACCTGACATTGTGTGTACTCAAGACAGGTCAAAATACACATGTATTGACCTTCAGTTTCCTAATGATTGATCTGTGGTGTACCAGAATAGATGTATTATCCAAAAATAAATGTTTTACATAGTGAAGGACTAAAAATGTAAAATTACCTGGGGCAGTCATTGAATAAGCAATTTATATACAGTGGTTAAAATTAAATTACCATATTATTAATTTTGAAAATGTGTGTTATTTTGCAAATGGGGAATCAATTAATTGTTTTAATGGTGTTAGATAATAACTGAAACCATGCAACTACCATCAATTCTAATGACATTCATCAGATTTTTGTAGGATAGGGGGACATTTTCTTCTATAATTACTGACAATATTTTGTTATTTATTACCCTCCAGAGGGTATAAAGATCCCTCAAAAAACATGTTGAATGACATGCCAGTGGAAGTAAGACAGGCTCATCCTGTTAATCAACTCTTGTGTAATAAATGTCATAAAATGAAATCTGATTATGTTAATAGGGCCAGTCTGTGTAACTTCCTTATTTGTAATGATGCTGGGTTGTATAATTAACAGTTGCCCTAGACAGCTTTAATTCCTTAAATAAATAAACAAACAATGTTTGATTAATTCTTATATGGGACTAATACATAACATATATAATTATCTAGTGGTCCCAGTTCTTATGTAATATTACATTATCAGGCATTTCTATTGAAAGGTCATATAATAATCATTACAAGTAAAATTAAAATTAGTTTTGCTTGTAATATTTTATTCTTGAGGGCGTACAATAAAATCTGAAAATTGAGAAACCATCATATTAGTTACGTAGATCAAAGCTTGATGACAATATTTCTCTGTTACCCTATCAAGTTTTCGGGAGAAATAAACACTTGCTTTCCCACCAAAAAATTGAACTTTGTATGAAGGCCAAACAAGCACCTGCCTGTTTAAGTGTAGTGTCCTTATAAAATATGTGCATTTTAATCTCAGTTTTAAAGTATTACTGGGTCATTGACTGCTTTTAACAGTCTACTGCACTCTGAAAATTTAAAGAATAGGAGTTAGCCTGTATATTATGAAATATCTTTATTTTACAAACTGTCTGTAATTCAAGATTTATATATTTGTGTTGATACAATAGTTTGCTCATTTTTGGACAATATTCTGTCTTTTACTGTTTGAAAAAAAAAAACGATTTTAAAAAATCAATACTAAGTCTAACTCAACTAACCACACAGATCCAGACTCCATTTTTGTAACTTCGTAAATATAACTCACATGGCTTTTGTCATGTAGCATTAAAGCACATCTGAAGCATGTATACAATCTTCTGAAAATTCTTGTTTTACTTAAAATACTTAAATCTTGAATAATTATATATTTGCTTTATTTTAATGTATATTTATTTTATTATTATAATTAAAATTTTGTTTAGTTTTTGTTTCTCCTAAATAGCATTGATATAAGTTTTTTCCGTGTTTACAGGTTGTAGATGCAAGAGCTGGACCAGGAATAAAATCAACGACCAAATTAAAAAGCAAACAACAGCTGAGTCCGACTATGGGGAAATACAAGTCTCCACTTAAAACTAGGAAGTCTCTTTACAACACACCTTCATCAAGTCCTACATCCTTCTTTGATGAATCTTCAAGTAAGGAGACATTTATATTTCATGTACAAAATTGTTTCTCTATTTCTTGTTTAACTCTGGTATAATTGGACTAAGTGGAATTATAGTTTGACATCTTCATACAGAAAAAAAGATGTACAAACCACCACAAAGAGTTACATGTTATCCACTCTAGATTCTGTGACTTCTTGCAGGCACAAAATGAGGTCACAAAACCAAGGAAAAATGTGTTTTTTTTATATATACAAGTGTTAATCAAAGAGACAATAGTAAGAGATAATTTGCAAATAAGATGAGTTCATGAGATTTTATTTTTTGTGTCAGCATGCAATTTTGCATATGGCAATATGGAGAATTTTGATCTTGTCATGTTTGCTGAACACATATCTGACATCTCCCTTTATTCATATTATACATCATTATATGTATATATACATAGAAATAAGGAGAACTTATTGGAAAGTATTTTCTTATAACAGTTGAAATATCCTACATGTTGCACGTTTTTTCCAATTTGCAATTTGATACCAGTATATTTTTACATCAGTCTGTTGAATCTGCCTACATATCAATTTAGTCAGTTTCTAGCTCAGTGTGTCAGTAGCCTTAAGTCTGCACTTGTAGCATTTAAATATTGATAGCCTAGAAAGATGGTAATTTGATATCTGCTGTTAGCATTTAAGTAAAAGATTTTATATAACCATGGATGATAAGGTCAATGATCACTATGCATTTCTTTATTCTTCTGATATTTAAACAATAAGAGGTACCATAAAGGGTTAGTATTCCATAACTATCAAATTCAAAGAATTGATTTTGGTTTTGGTCAAAACATGTTTTGCGGATGAAAGAAAATTTGATTAACAAATTTTAGCAAAAATAGTTTCTGAAAAGTTTGAGACAACGAGAAGTTGTACTATGTGTTTCAACTTCCATTTAATCCAAGTCTTAAACACTCCTTAAAAGGAAATAAATGTTATGGACAAATGTTGTATAACATATTTGCAATAAAACTACCCACATCTTTGCATGGTAGTGTGTTGACTGTTGGGGGTGGGTGATTAGGATTAATTTAATTGTATAAACATTGTATATGATAATAGGATGATCATTAAGGGATTTATGGGAGCAGCTGAGTCAATACGACCTAATTAAACCAGGGCTCTCTATCAGGGTAATCATTTACATCTGTCACTGTTTGGACTAAGCATCTGTTTTATTCAGGAAATCAGATATAATCTTGTTATGTCATGGTCAGTTAGGCCATTGATTTTAATTTGTTTCGTTATGTATGTATTGGTTATTGTTCCAATAAATTAATGCTCACTCCTTGCATCACATTTTGTCAAACCCCACTCCTTAGTCCAAATAAGAAAGTGGAGTGTCTTTAATAGCCAAAACTTTAAGTAAAACTAAAAAAGAAGGCCTTTTTTTCTGAATTATAGTTAAGTGTCAAATCTACATTTGAGGTTCTTTAGCTGTACACCAGTCTGTCAATAACAAATATAAATCATGACCAGATAATATGACCATTTTGAAGCCATGCCTCAGGCCTCATGGGCACACTTACATTTTGTTTTAATACTTTGTATTACTCTAGATGTATAATTTACATCTGTGGTATTACTTAAAACTGACAGAAAAAAATCTGTCTTCAAATGGTATATGTATACTAATGAGGTCAATTTTAATCAGGAAATATTTGTTATGCTACCTACATCCTGCAGTGCGTGTAGTCTCTCATCTAGGTCAAAGGGAAAAAAAATGTTGATCAGAAGGAGAACTACAAATTAGATTCAAATGTGTTTGACCTCAGTATCATTATATCATTTTTTCTCTTTCTTTTTTTGGTCAAGTATGAGAAAATTCTAAATTGTTATAATTATTGTGTCTTATCAAAATCAAAGTAGTAAATTGCTTTGCTCTTCATGGGTCCTTTATTAGATTAAACGATTGTTATGTCGAGTATATTTTGTTATTTGCAAAAGAGGACACAGTCAATCAATGCAGTTAGTTTTCAAACAGAAGAATAAATGCATTCTATTTAAAACTTCCAAGTTCCGAATTGAATGCTGGGTATTATTGACACAAGTGGCAGCTCTAGAAATTACATGTGTATTGAAATAAGGGTGTTGAACTAGATATTTGTCATTTGAAGAATACTTGTATATTGAATTATAAGTATTGACATGGACTCGATATTGAGTAATTGACTGTCCTCTAAAGAATACTAGTACACATTTTTATTTAGGGGCCAGCTGAGGCCTACCTCTGTGTGCAGGATTTTTTCGCTCCATTTAAGACCCATTGTTGGCCTTCCGCTGTTATATGCTCTTTGACCGGGTTGTTGTCTCTTTGACATATTCCCCATTTCCATTCTTAATTTTATTGTATATTGAAATCAGGGTATTGTCACAGATGTCAAATGGATGTGTATGTCCTGACATGACAAGATGGTTGGCATGTGAACATTATCAGTGAAGGAATACATTGGATATTGATGAATTTGATGGTATTGATGGGTTTACTTGAACCTTTTTACACCACATTGCCAAGTGTAAAGTAAAACTGTTGAACCCATCTGCACCCCTATGTCAAGTTCAATCAATAGGAAAAGTTTTCTGGGTTTTTGTTTTGTTGGGATGATGTCTTATCAATATATACTCGACATAAACATATTTAATATTGTACAAGTTGGAGTAAGAAGCAATGTCCTGATCAATGCACCTACACCAAAACCATAAAATAACTTGGCCTAAATCATCCCTGATCTACATGGGGATCTGACCTTGTATGTCTTATTAGCACTGCATCCATTGGGTTAGATATACAATACTGATGGCCACAGAAGAGATTGGAATGCAGATCTGACATTATTTGAAATATTTTATGCAAATGACCTGAGTTAAGCACAACATGATTGGAATATATTATAAATAGATTTTCTACACCACTTCCTCCCTGGAATGGTTATTGATTTAGTTACATCATGTCAGTAATTTAATAAGTGGTGTATTTTTTAATAAATTTCCTTTGATGCATTTGAAGTGTGCATATGTTTTCATTATCTCTGACAGAGAGAAAGATAGGCATGCTTTACTGGTAATGCATTTAGAAGCTGGATGTGTCATCTGTTTTTTTTTAAGGAAAAATCTGTTAGTGCTGTAATATTGATTGGAATAAAGCTATTAATAAGTTTTAGGTTACTATTTGCTAAATTAATAAAATAGAATGCCTGAACTAATTGGTATTGATGAATGCAACTGATTAAAGATAAGAAATGAATCAATTTCAGATCCTGTACTCATTATAACATTAGGTTACTAACATTTAAATGATGTTTTGTCTAGTTTGGCTTGTCTTTCCAGTACAGTATGTGACAATTTTTTTTATTATATAAAACTATAATATCCAGCTATGTCAGGAGGGTTATCCATAGGCTCCTTAATGAAAGTGAACCAGAATCATACAAATTTAAGTGGTTTGAATCAAATGATTAACCCCCTGGTATTTTAAATTCCATTGATCATGTTGAATGTTTCAGCAAAGTGTAAAAAAATCTCAATTTAATGTCCCAAGGACTCCCAAATGGAAAGTCACCTTGACTATATATTATTGGATCTCACTGGCCACAGTGGCTTGTTTTTGTGGTTTAACAGGTATTTCTGATTACTCATAGTTGTAGGTGATGTTGTTTTGAGTCAGCAAATTTTGATCATCAATTATGAATTATTACAGATATAAGAATTTTGTTTTTTTAGTTTTGAATTGAACATGTTGCCAAGGAAATCTGTCTTTTAAAGTCATATTGGCTGAGAATATGAAAAATCCTGAAGGTTAAAAACCATATTATTAGTATATAGAAAAAAAATGTGAGTCAATCTGGTCAGCATGGTAAAACAAATTACGCCCAAGTATAAGACTCTTTTGAATGCACCAAAAAAAGGTTCAGTTGGGTAGTTTAAACTCTTTTATTATGATTTTCAGCCTTAGTATGAGAATGACTGGCTTCTAGGTCATTAAACTTTACTCAGTACTCAGAGTACAAAATCTGTGCTCGAAACACCGAATCCAGTATTTTGATTGGTTGATATCCTAGTCGGAGTACAATAATCGTATTGGAAAGTTTTAGGACTGCAAGGTCTGGTGTATACATAAGCAACTTTAACATTTCTAATGATTTGCTACTGGAGTCATTGAAGCAAAGAACAATCAATCATTCTTTTCTCAAGGATACAATTTAAGATTTATAAGGCCCTTATTTTGGGTTAAATTTTATTACAGAAAAAAAATTGAAGGGATGTCATAATGAATCGTCACTGATTATATATCTTTCGAATTTTGTTTTTCCATGAATAAGAAATAGACTGTTTGGGTTTTTCTCAATGTTGAAGGCTGTACAGTTGCCTATAATTGCTTACATCCACTTCATTTGAAGTTTGGTTGATAGTTGTCTCATTGGCAATCATACCACATCTCCTTATTTTTATATTAAGTGGTTTAAAAGTTAACATATTGTAAAGACACTTTTCTATTGGTGAAGATTGTATGTTTATTATTGACCTCAAGATATGGTTTGTGTTGTTTGGTTGCTGTCTTATTGATGTTCACCTCACATCTCCTTTTATTTAAATGTAAACATCTCCCTTCAAAGCTGTGAATGCATATGTTTTCTTTACAGTAAATGAAGATAGTTGTGATAAGGATATGTTCAGCGACAGTGAAGAATCTGAGGAAGAAATTGCAGTTCCAACTCTACAGAAACCAAATAAACAGAAGAGAAAGTCCACAGATCCCAGAATTAGTCCCTTCTTAGATCTCACCTACTGGAAAAAGTAAGTAGCAAACCTGCTTACATAAGTAGAGAAACTGATCCAAAACAGAAGAGAAAGTCCACAGATCCCAGAATAAGTCTCTCTTTGAATCTCACCTACTGGAAATTTAGATAAGCAGCAAACCTCTATAGTCTATACATACAAGGTTTGCAGACATGACCATAGATTTTTTTCTTTTACAAATCTCTTACTCATGAGGTAGAGTATTCTATTAACATTTTTGTTCCTAGAATCAAACAAAACAGAGGTTTTTTATTTTACCATTCACCACAGAGATGGAACTAGATCCTTACTAATTTTATTCCCACACATACAAGAAAAAGATTCATTTACTGTTGTATGACCAAAGAACTCACCGTTTTAAGCATAAGTCACCTAGTTCAAATTGTGAGATATACAATTACATCATGTACATTTTTGAACCAGGAATTTATCAGTGTGACATCACAAATAAAGTCAATAATACAGGTAAACAAATTATCAATAGGTGGGGTTAATGGTTCAATAACTTTATGTTGCACTAAGAAATGCAGTTATTCCCCTAGTGTGGGTACATTGACCTTGGAGGACATTTATGCACTGATTTTTGTCCTTGGATACCAAAAAAAATCATTAAACTCAACTTAAGTTCAATAGCCTCAAGTCAGATCTAATTAACTCTTTTTTGGTTGATAGATAGATGTGATGAATGGTTTGATATTCTCAGTAGAAAAACTACAGTCAGCATTAAATGTGTTCTATTGTATTCTATACAGTAAAACCTCCGTACAAAAAATCATTGAGTAAATTGGTAAACCAGACTATGATGAACATATCTGTACACAGTACAATTTATTCTTTAGTTAATTAGCCTCTATAAATGTTATCCAAGCACAGGTCTATCTAATGCAAACATAATCCATGGTGTAGAATGGGTATGGTGTCACCGTCTGTAAGGACTTCACCATATCAAGGCCAAAAGACTATAGTTGTGTTTCCTGCCTCACTACCTACCCAAAAATGTTCATGCTAATTCCCAATCATATTTTATGGACATTTCTAGTTAAATACATTTAAAGTCGAGGTACCTTTCCCTCTATATCTATATAAAATATTTCAAACATGAAATCATTTGATCTACTTAACTACCCTATTTTTTTACTGCCAGACAGAAAATGCATATAAGATGTTGTTTTTTTGGCCTAATTTCAGTTTTTGTTACACTTCTAGGTTATCTGATCATTGCATGATATAGACATTTCTAGTGTTATAATTGCATTCGTGTCTCATTTGTATATGATTACATATTAATGACTTAAGTTGTAGTACAAAACTGTCAGTCATTTTGACATCTCTGTAAAATATATATGTCAAATCATCAACTAATATTAGCTATTGAAGGTGACACTGTCAATTTTTTTCTAAGACAAAAGATTTTTTTTTTAAGTTATTAGAGGTTAAAAAGATAAGTACTCCAACTTCCATCTGGTCCAGAAATGCTTCAAATGGTGTCTAAAAAAGGGGAGGTTTCCATATATGGATCAAAAATGCTTGTGTGGTCATAAATGACATTTGTCCTTGACCTTTCGTAACAAAACATCAGGAAATTTACATGTATTATCAGGTGCAAGTTGTTATTTTCATCTTTGAAAAAGATTGAAAAAAATGTGGATAATACAGTTAACACATATTTATTTCAATACTAGATTGAATAAGATTAACTCTACAGGACTGAAAAAAAACTGCATATAGGGAAAATCCCCCCCCCCCCCCCTCCTCCTTCCCTCCCTAGAATATAATGAACTTATATATGAACATAATGAATGAATAAATATATACGCAAAAATGAAATATGATGAATGGCCATACATATAAAACTGGTGCTGTTGTTTCAAATCATTTTGCTTGTCTGAATGTGTTTAAAGTAGTTTGATTTTTTTTTTATTTTGGGTGGGGTAATAGATAGAAATAGTAAATTTTGTTTGTCAAGTGGTCAGGTCAGGTTATAAATTATTTATGGTTTCAGTACAGTAGGGGTCACACTTCAGTAAATGTTTGAGTGTCAATTTCATTGTCCTTTTACAAGTGTGGGAATAATAAATACCAAGCATCTTAACCAGGTGAGTTGCCACGCCCACTCACAGATTTAAATCATCAAGCCTTTTATCCTTAAGCAAATTTACACTTCAAAGTGTGATTGTTAACTGATTGATATCAGGGCATTTTACAAATTTCACTTGAAAAAAATCATTGTTCAGATTATTCCACCGAAATTTACATTGAATAATCTTTTTATGCAAATTGCACTGAAATCAATAACAATGATAATCTGTTTTGCAAGTAGTGACACATTTTACAGTGATACACCCACATCGTCTATACTATAGTTTATCATGAATGAGTATGTATACTTGTGTTTTGTATTCTATTTTTATATGTATAAAATATTATTTATTGCCCCTGTGGTGGGAGACATGCAACATTATGTCATAATGGGGAAAGGGGGATTGAATGTTCAACTTCAAGAAACAGCTGTTTTTTGTTTCAAGAAGTTGGTTGTTTTTTGTTGAATGCTGGGCAGTTCTGCCTAATAGATGAAGGGATTTACATAAGAGTATAAGGTAAATCAGGCAAATATATCTGATTTTTAGTATGATCTTTCAAAAGGAAAAATTGGGGGGAAAAAAAGGTTTTATGGGATTAAACTTTTTTTATAATGTCCAAGGATAAACATATAAAGTGAATTCAAATTATTATCAAGTTGTACAACTAACATAAGTTGTTAAGTACAACAATTGATTCTAACCATTAAGTCCTTATCATTTAAAACTTTCACTATATAAAACTATTACATTGTATTTTACTATTATGTGATATGGAGTGCAGGAGTTATTGATCTAAAGGGAGAAATAACAATTTTATGGCATTTTATGGCATATTATCACAGGAATATTAAATTATCTTATGTCTGATCTAAGGGAAAGTATTTAACAATAAAGTGTTACTGTGTAGGTGTAGTCTGACTCTTTCTTCATGTGGTTAAATATAAATTGATTTAGCACATTGTTGTAGGAAAGCCTCGTCCCTAGGCAAGTGTTATGAATGAGGTCCTCTCTGCAGATGCTACACAAACAACATCATTTTTCGTTTTGCCTTTTTGTGATATATTAAAGACAAGACTCTTTCTTTGTTCTTATGTATTTCCACTGGACATTAAGTAAGCAACCATGTTTTTCCACCAGACATTAAGTAAGCAACCATCAATCATTTATTCATTTTGAAAATTAGCCCACACTGAAACAAGGGTGCCAGAATTTTGATGCAACAGGATAGATGGATAATTTTCTCATGTTATTTATGAAAACTTCTGCCGAAGTTCTTCAATTTTCTGCTATCTATATATTTGACTTTCAACCCTTTTGATTGGTTGGGTACGGAGGGTCCAGTAACTTTTCACAATTGATATTGTTAACCAGGAAGGTCCGATTATAAATCAACATGTAGTTAATCCATAATGATTCATTTCCTGATTTTTTATTATTTCAGAACTCAAGTTTGTTGTGGAATCATATTCAAAGGTATGAACGGGGAAGTATTAGTTGATCCTCAGTTATTACAGCCGTGTTGGACCTGTACAAAGGGAAGTAAGTCACGACCAGCAGAATTACGTAGAAGTCAATCAACTGACGATACTGAGAGCACAACAAGTAGCAATAGTTACTCCGACATGGACAGTATATCAGAAAATAGTCCACCAGACCTGACTCTGGCAACATTTCCGTGTGACGACACGTCAGCAGTTAGTTCCTTCACACAGCCACCACCCCTGGCATTAGAATGTTAAAGTTTGAGTGTACTTTTGAATGATTCTTGCCAGTATAAATGAGTGCTGTGTTAATTCAGTCTAGTCAGTAGAGAATTCTCCATTGTAAGGATTTTCTGGAACTTAAGAAAGGAGGTTAAATGAAATGAGATGGATTTACTTCTAGGAAAGCTTGTGTATGATGAAGTTGTTTTCTTTGAGGAACAGGTAGTACATACTGTGCTTTATTTGTTTGGGTTTTTTTTTAATTCAAACTTCAGGAAAATTTCTGCATTTCTTTGATAAATAGGAAATGGTCAATAATTATAAACTTGTATCATAGTTCAGAGTTTAGAACACTGTGGATGGGTTTATAAGGAGACAACATCTATGCAAAACGTATTGGTTAATACTTTCCTAAAGATGTATTACTTTACTCTTGTATACCTATTTAAGAAATTGTATAAATGTAATTGGCCAGTGTTTTGTACAGAATTTTATTTACAGTAATGTTTATTCATCTGTATCCCATTTTTTTAATCATGTTAATATATATGCTTATTTTGGGGTTTTTTTTTATACCAATTCTACTTTGAAAAATTAAGTAGATGTTCAAACCTCTTATTTCAATGTAAATGTTTTTTTTTTTAGGGAAAGATCCTTCTAAAATATTCAAAACTGCCAAGAAAAAATAGTTGTAGTTTTAACCTCGATCAGCATGATCAGTCTCTTTTTCACTCCAAGGGTTTATTTTTTTAAAGAACAAAATTGTTAGGTTGATGGTCAGTTTTATGTTCTACCTCAGTTTGTGCAATAGTTTAATGTATCTGTGGTAACAATAGTTTAAAGTATCCATGGTAACAGTGGTATTACATCAATTGCCTGGATTACTTATGCTTTGAATGGTGTGTGAGTAGAAATAGCTCATTTGTATAATACTTATTTCAAAAGTTTCAATTTTGCAGCATTTGCTTGCCTTTTAAAGGGAAGTTTTTGTATGACTTTTGCAATAAATCTTCATGTACCAAGTACAAAATGCATTATGGAATATTTGCGGGGTAAGGTTTGAAATTTGTTGAGATAGAATAAATGAATTTTAAATTTTAAATGATAGGATTAAACAGTATGTGTTAAAATGGTCTTAAAATCATCCCATCCATCAATTTAAAAATTCTCATAAGTTTTTACTGCCGTGGGAGATTTTTTTTTACTTATATATCAGCGTGATGAGTAAGTGTATAATAATTGACCTTGATAAAAGGTGGTTTTACATAGTGAGATACTTAATATTTCATGAATACTCAGGACTTCACACAAATGTTCAAAACAATTCAAAGTCATTTTGCAGCTTGGTCATGTTATTGTTGATGAGTGTAATTTATTGTATGATCGTGAGGGCGAGAGCAGGAGAGCAATCAAGTTCTGTTTAATGAGTATATATGGATGTTAGAATAATGGATTGACATGCACCATAGAATACATTTGTAGAATAGATGTAGGGAAAATAGATGGTACTAAAATTGCATCTGATAACATGATAAGAAGTGGAAGCTCACTTTTGCCTTTAGTCTGGACAGAGAGAAAAATAGTCTGAATTATGTTATCAGATGTTAAAGAGAAGTCTGTCACAAAAAGCTGATGGTAGTTGTATCTGTATGGATCCAAGTTGATTCAAATAGGATTGAAAATTGATTTTTTAGTTCAAATACAGGAGATACAATTGTTTAATCTATTACTCAGGGAATTTCAATTATTGGAAAATAAGAAACATGGACAAAAATGAAAGTTTAACAAGACTAGACATCTAAACATTTTCATGTGATAAATCTAAGAATTACATTTCCGATAGAGGGAAAGCATTCCTTAAATGGGCAAGTGATTTTTGTCTGGGTACATAAAACAAGTAATCGATGGGTTATTCAGATCAACGAAAAAACAAGCCATCCTAATTCCTTATATTGTGATAAATTTCTCTCACTGTGTTCCAATAACAGTCTTCCAGTGGTACATGAAATGGTGCATACATGTTGAATTGTATAAAAGCAGTGTTTTTATTTAATTCATTGTATTATTGTAGAATTTTGTATGACATTGTCAGAAATGTTACTTAAAATATATTATGTGAGTAAATGAGTCTAGAATTGACACAGTTTGTGTTACATTAGATGTGGTTTGCTGAAAACTATAGAGCATTCTGGTCAGTAGGTCAATGTTAATTCACATCTTTACATTTTGACTGACAAATGCCTTAAGAACAAAAGAACATTGGTAAAATATATAAGTCTTGCTGACAAAATATTAAATACACATCTACCTATATAATGTTAGAGTGTGGGGAATCAAAGATACCAGTAAAACCTACTTTAATATTTAATAAAAGATCAGATATGAACTGTTTATTCACACGAATCATTGTCTTTTAAAACCATTTTAACTTGTAAATAGTCATTTATTTATTAAACTATTATGTTAGATCTGTTAATTAATTTAAAATATGTTATTGTTGCTAAGAATTTTAAATCTTTATTTAATTTTTTTACTTGATATATTTGCAGTTGTAAGATGTATGTTAGATTAGACAGTAGTAAAGCTACTCTGTTTTATGTCAATGCAATATAGATATTTTTGTTCCACAGGTTTTAATCTTGTCAGATTTCTATCCAATTGTTGTTCATTCCTTAGACATTTCAGTAGGTATTTCTGTGTCTATATTCAAAGCATCTATACCATGGTAGGAGACCATTTGATCTCTTGATACCATCAGGCCAAAAGAAGTACCATGACATTGAACATAAGGCTTTTTCTCCTTAGGAACTGAAAATACATGAGTTAAAATTTGTTTATATAAATTAAGTTAGTCATGTCTTTTTCTGTATAAGTTAATCATTAGTAACCCAGAAAAACAAAACCAGTACATTAAAAAAACAGGAAATGGAACTAGGTTAAGGGTCATTGAAATGGTTTTAGATTTTTTTCTTCCAAGCTCTGGACTTGTAGTCCAGATTAAAACAATGCTTTTTATATCCATGCTTTTCATTTCTATGTTGAGAACTTGTCTAGGCTTTAGTCTGAAGGTACATAACCCCATGATTTTAAAGAGTCCCTAAGCTAAACATTGCTAAACTACATCTAAAATTTACTAAATATCTATAAAAAAAACAATTTGGAAAAGCCGAAAACACCAGCAGAAAATATAAACATACTAAGGCTTGGTCCTAGAAGATGATCTTTTAAACTTTTTAAGATGAGACTCAATTCCAAATGTATTGAACTTCTGAAAGTGTAAATCACAAAAAGTTCATGAAAGGTTGAATATTCAATAGCCTTGAATGTCATTTATTAAAAGCAATAAAATTTATTTCAATTTTTTTACTCTGATAATCCTTATAAATATATATATATGTACCTAAAAGTTCAGTGGCCTGTAACAGTTGTTGACATTAAATGTAAATTCTCTGTGTGTATATATATATATATATATCTCCAATCCCAGTATGTTCACCGGTGAATGGGAAATTATCCACCAAATTGTTTTTCTTTTTTCTTCTTCGTATAAATGATCAAAGTGGAATGGTCAGACCGGTGTACTGTTGAGATAGTTAATATATTTATTAAATTATTAATGTTACCAAATATTTAATGCTGTAATTATAGAGATCTCAGTGTGTTGATGTTACTACTGTAGATAGAGTCCTATATTGTTAGTACTTTTTTTTACCTCCGTGTTGATTGTAAATATTATACGCACAATGTAGCAGACTGGTTTCGAAAAATGTTTCCCTAGCAACCAAGCAATCTATGATTGATATTTTGAAATGAACTTTACAGATTGAGGTTTATATTTATATTTTTCTTGAACTAAAAAAAAACAAAACTGAAATATCAATTTTGAGACATTGGGTTTGTGAGAAACATGTAAATCCTTGCTTGATTAATTTTCTGATAGACCTAGCGAACAAAAGGTATATGGACATGTTGGACATGGCGGAAACAGTTCTTTGGTAGACTCCAGTCTGATTTTAGAGTCCATAGCTAATTTTAAAAACTGTTGATAATCAGTTGATGTAATTGTATTTACAAAGGATATTAACAAGAAATTTAAATTACATAAATCTATATATTTCCTCCTTATTTGTAAATCTATGTGAACAAAGGTCAGAATTGAATAATGTGCTCACAAAATGTTGTAATGTCATGGTTCAGTTATAGAGAATACTAGATAATTACTTTATAAATTATTCTAAGCAACAATTCAGTTATTAAGTTCATTGTTTGACAACAAAAGAAATTTACAACTTACAAAGGTTATTCGTTTCATTTGTAGAAATGCTCCAAGGTGTTTATTGTTATATTAAATGGCAAAGACCCTTTAGTTCATTATCCCTGAAAAAATAACAGGGAAATTTTCCAATGGAAGAGTTAAATGAGTACACTGACCAAAAAAATATCATTTTGGAGGTGAAAAAAACCTTTTTTCATGAATTTCCTGAAACTGGATCAATTGCCTGTTTATGGAATTGTACTGTAAAACTTGCTAAAATTAGCCTAAAAATTTTATAAAATAGTCTGCTACACTGTGTGTTTTGTTGGTGTAAGGATACAAGGTGGTGTTGTACATAGTCTGTTGTTACTATATATAGATTGTTGTTACTATATATAGATATACCTCAACTGGATGATGTTTCCCTGTGATCACATCAACAGGCCATACAAACTTTATTTTTGGTTTTCGGTCTTACTAAAAAAAGTTGTTTTAATTGCTATCAAGATTTCCATTCTGGTAAAGAAAATTAAAAAAAAACCCAGCCAAGCATTAAATTTATGTAGGTACATATTGATTTGTCTTGGGCCATCATACTCTTATGAACACAAAATTTTATAACCTTTATAGACCATGAAGTTTATCCTTGTTATTTTGGTTAGGAGCAAGGACCAGTGATAGTTCATAAAAATAATATCAGAAATTCTTTTGAAAGAGTTTTTTTTTTACAGTTTCTTAAAGATCATTTAAGTGATAGAGGGTCAAACTTAGGGTGTCAAAAGGAAAACATAGGCAAAATTTCCCTCCCTTCAAACTAATTCCTTAAAATTATAGTGGTCATTTAAGGTTAGCATGGTATTCCTATGTGTGGTCTGTTGGTGAAACTTGTTTTACGGTTAATCCTCTCTTGATTCTGTTAACAAACAAAGTTGACTCCACATATTTTTGTTAATGTTATTAATAGAAGAATTGTCACAAATTTAGACGGGTATTATTTTTAAAACATATTGATAGTAAACAAGTAACAGAAAAAAAGACAAGTACATAATTTCATTTTATGAATACATAGAATATATACCTATAGTTGTGGACTCGAGTTAATAGGAAAAATGTTTGATGATATTTTTTCACTGCATGTAGATCTGATGTATGTACTTTCTTATCTTTGCTTTGATATTGTATTTTAGGTTTTGTCAGTGTAAGAATTGTATTAGTGTACACTGTCCTAACTAAGACAAACTTGTCTCACAGTACCAGATCTTCTTTGGTAAGGTACCAGTTTTATGTCATTGTTAAACAAGGAAGTATAATTATTTGAATCTCTATGATAAAAATGTATGTTGATATACAGATAAGAACTGGAACCAACACTGCTGTGAAAATGTTGAGTAAATCAACTGTAGAAATTTTGTTTCCTGTTCAAAATGGGAATGAATTATTTGTGATTTATTTGTGTTAAGTTGTCAGATTGTCAACAAAAATAACATTTTATATCAATGTTTTTATTTAAGAATTCTCATCAATAGAATGATTTTTTTTGAATCTCTGATAGTTATTCCATCCATTGGTTGGCCAGTATATCTTCATTATGGTAAATACTCCATCATTCAGTCATTCATAACAATAACACATTGTATAAAATCGATACTTAAATGTCGTCAAAAATGAATTAGATTTATTATTTTCAGCATGGGGCAATTTAACATAATTCTACTGTCTGTATGTTCAGGTCTATTGACACAGTGACTTGCTAGAAGAACAGATTATATTTGGTAATTAAGCCTTAATTAAATGTCATCATAAACTATTGTACTGGCTCATAGAGTCAAATTTTTATTTTCTGGGTTTTAATTGAACTAGATGGCCAGTGGCCTAGTTATAAGGCCAGTTTTAGTTCAGTTACTGATGTTAAAAGCTTTGAAAAGAAAATGTTCCATTTGTTTAATCTTTAAAAGTCTAAGTAATGGGAACATTGGAGATGCATGTTTAAATTGATCTCTTTATTACTACTCAAAGAAAGGCTCAGTGAAAAAATTCACTTGAAAATTTGAAGAGAGTTTTACTAAAATATCTTTGTCTGCTCATTTCACACTTTTAAAAAACTCAAAATATATATTATAACCATGATATCCAATCATTGATTCGGATGAAAATTTGAGAAAACTGCCAAAGTTCACATGACTACATATATTATACATTTATTATTTATCATTCCAAAATACAGAAACTGCCAAAATTGCATCTAATTTCCTCCTTCATGGATCATTTACTGTGTAACAGTTAAGTACAATCAGAATTGAGTCTGCAGCTGGCTAAGCCATCATCACCCCCAATGTCCTCTTAGGACATTCACCTTATTGATCAGGCACACACAGTGTTGATCTCCAGATCTAATTAAGGAATGAAAGAGATAGAAATGAGATTTTTTTCCAGTGTGAGCAAAAGGTTACTGCATGCTTAATCATTAAGAATTAATAATCATATTGACATGTTTTCATTTGGTTTAGAACAGTATAATTAACATGTACAAAAAAACAATGCAAAGTTATGAATGATTGGTCGAAATTAATCACATGATTATATATGTGTTAATTAGTAAATAGTGTGTATTCATTATTTTTTGTGGATGATGTATGAAGAAGGAAAATGAAAAATAAGTGTGCAACCATGTACAATTTTCTTTTTGTTATGGTGACAGATAAAATCGTGTAATTTAGTTACCTCAAAATAGCAATTTTTCTTAAATCAAAAATATTGCCGCAGGGGTAAATTTCAGGATTTTTGTGAAAGGAGATGTCATATAAGACAAAGAGTACAAAAACCATTTTTTAATCACAAATTAAAGATATATCTTGTGATTATCATGTTTTCTCAATTCAAGATCTGTATTGCTGCTTGTCCCACTGGTATCCATGTCTGACTGGTACCCACGAAAAATAATGAGTTCACAGTATAATGTATAACTTTTATTTTGAAGAATCTGAGGTGAATGTCTTGCTGAAAAGGTTTATGCAATATATTATTTACTTACATTTAAACCAAAATGGATGGATTTTTATTATTTTCAAGAGAAATTGAACATTTTTACATCATACTTTCATTTTCATTTTAAAAACCATTGTGTACATGAACAAAGTGAAAGTAGAGTTTGAAACATTCCTGTAGATTTTTAAATGTCAAATTTCAAACTTTCATTTTACAGACTCGTCCAGTTTTCTACGTTTAAATAAATACAGAGAAATGATGAATTTTGTGTTTTACTTGTCTTTGTGTCATACATGTACCCATGGGATAACTTTTGATTTAGAAAAGACAAATTTACAGCTATTTTCATTCATCAAAATTGGGAAATGAGCACTGTATCAGGCATACAGGTTTGAGAAAAACAAAATAGATTCTTTTTGTTTAAACAGACCTTATCTCTGCACACAACTTTCAGGATAAACATAAAAGGAAATATCATGGAAAAATTGGGAGATTTGGTTTGATTGCAAATGAGACAACTATCCAACAAAGATCAGGTGAAATGGATGTAAGCAATTATAGGCAACTGTAGGCCTTCAACAATAAGAAAAACCCATACTGTTTAGTGGCTATTAAAGGCCCTGACATGAAAAATGTAAAATAATTCAATTGAGTAAACGAACAAGCTAACCAAAATTAAATGTGACAGACATGAACCATTGACAACCACTGAACAACAGGCTCCTGACTTGGGACAGGCACACTAAGAATGTGGTGGGGTTAAACATGTTTGTGAGAGCTCAGCCCTCCCCCTAACCTGGGACAGTGGTGTTACAGCACAACATAAGAAACTGTAAAAGTTGGTGTCAATGGGCTTAACTCAAAAGATCCGTACATCAATGAGAAGGTACCCCAACAACCAGATAAAACCACGAAAGACCTCTTCAGTTGAACATATCAGAAATCAATAGACAACTGTCCAACATAATGTCAATTACTAAATTGCTCAGACTCCTGAAGAAAATTAACAGATTACCAAAGATCAGCAATAAGCACCAAATTCTTACAAAAGGCAGCAAGACATAAGCATAATTACACATGAGATTTCTGATTTGGGTCAGGCACATGGACATATTTCAGAGTTGATCATCTTATTAGTGAAAACAAAAGGTACTTCTTATGACCTAAAACAAATATCAGTTAAGAAAATGCTGACAACTCTTTAAAACAGTGAGTTATGTGATACACACCAACCTCTTATATTAGGCTATGGTAATTACTGGTCTAAATACTTGAAGTGGATATACCTCATAAAAAGGAATCGGTCAATTTGTTGGTGTGTATTTTCATGGATCTTCAAAGTCATAATTAATCTTCATAGATGATAAACAACTTCACAATAAAAAGTGCCCCACTCGACACCATTAAAAAATATGATGTCATTCATAAGAAAGTCGTCATAACCTTTCTTAAGGTACAGTGTTAAGATAGTGTTTTTGTAAAGTACAAAGTGTCTTAATACATTACTTTGGGCCCGTAATAGCTTGCTGTTCGGTGGAAGCCAAGGCTCCGTGTTGAAGGCCGTACTTTGACCTATAATTGTTAACTTTTTATACATTGTGACTTGGATGGAGAGTTGTCTCATTGGTACTCGTGCCACATCTATTTACAATGTTCTAGTCATGAAAATGTTCACACTTGAGGTATTTGGTTTTACTGTATTGTTGGATTGCTTTCTTATTGGAGTTATCTGCCCCATCTCCGTTTATTCATATCCATCTATCAAAAGAAAAGATACTAAAATCTTCAACATTACACCAAATATCAAACCAAAAATAATTATTATTTAATGCATGACATTGAAGACAAACCATACAGGAGAAAATATCAATTGAAAAAATCAAAGGGAGCTGTGAAAATACTTGTATTAACCACTTTTCAATGTATAAACTTTCCAATTCATTGTGGTAGGTCTAAGATTGAAACTCCCCGAGTAAATAAAGGCAACAGTAGTATACCGCTGTTCGAAATTCATAAATCGATTGAGAAAAAAACAAATCCGGGTTACAAACTAAAACTGAGGGAAACACATCAAATATAAGAGGAGAACTACGACACAACAGAAACACAACATTAAAATGTAACACACACAGAAACGAACTATTATAATATAACAAAGGCTAGTAAAAGATGGCTTTCCGCTGTTTTTTTTTTTCAATTCTGTTCAAGACCTTTTGCTCTCTCCTACATTTTATATTGAATACTTTATAATTACATTACATGTTTGTTTCATTATAATACGTTATTTTGATTGGCTAACAGCAATCTCGTGTCATTCTGAAATTAACCTTCATTTAAGAATTGAATGCTCTTTTTTGTAAATTAATTGGGGTGTAAAAGCGTTGACCGTTACATTTCATGTTGAAATGAAGATTAATTTCAGAATAACGCGAGCTGGTAGTTACCCAATCAAAATAACGAATTATAATGAAACATATACATGTAATGTAATTATTTCAGTAGATGTATGTTTCATTATAATACGTTATTTTGATTGGCTAACAGCAATCTCGCGTCATTCTTCATTTCAATTTCAAAATGAATTTCATGAATTGTAACATGATGACACACGTTTCCACAATAAAGTGCACAGGTAAATAAAACAAAAAAATGATAGTAATCGTGTTTTCATGATCATAGTTAAAAAAATGTAATTATAAGTATTGAATGCTTCTTTTAGTAATTTCATAGGGTTGTAAAAGCGTTGACCGTGCGTACAATTTTTGAATGAAGCGCTTCCGCGCTTCATACAAAATGTACTTCGGTCAACGCTTTTACACCACAATAAATTTACAAAAAGAAGCATTTCTATTCTCAAATGAAGGTCATCCGATAAACCGGTGTCGTGAGCACATACACGTATGTTATGTCTGTTGCCTAAGGCCCAAGAAAACTGAATGGTTATGATATGCATATTCTGGTACCAAATATTTAAGGGATTTAATGCATTACATGATTATACTATGCTTGACATATGTTTACTTTTATAAATTGTGACTTGGATGGAGAGTTGTCTCATTGGCACTCATAACACATCTTCTTATATCTATTGTCTATTTAAGATAAGCTGATCGTATATTTCCATATTCAATGATTATCTGATTATACACACATTAATTTAGTCCCTTTTAGGATACGACTATTTAAAACTATGAATGTGATTTTAGGGTCAAAAAGTCGTTATACCAGGTACCGTATGTCTATGAGGCTCTCGTATATCTTTACGTAGGGAATTACATGTGCAGAAGATCATGCAAATGACACAGATAACAAAGACGAAACTACTGATATTACAGTCAAGCCTCGCTATATGGGGATATAGATGAAAATAACAAAATATATATAGAAAGTCGACTGTCGGACAATTTCTGACAGTATTTTTTTAATTTGTTAGTCAGGTAAAATTTACGCTTTGTTGACATGACCCTGCTGTTCGCGGTGCTCTGTAATGCAAAGTTGAAGGGAGATCATCAAAGCGATGCTAGGGCCTTTTTGAACTTGCAGTGAAGGGAGCGTTTAACTTTCGGTCTATGTTGAAGGCCTCACTGTGACTTGATGACGGAAGATCGGTAATAAGAGCGCTATTTCAAGTTTGCTTTTTTATTATTTTGTGTCATGAGTTGTCTCCTTTGTATAAGAAGATTGTGGCGAATAGTATGATAAAGATATGTTTCATGCTCATCGTTTTTTGTTTTTGTTTTTTTTTTCATAAAAGAACTTTGATATATATAGGTTAAGTATGCTTGCAAATCCACAGTCTAACGTCCACATCAAGGATGTACATAACTGATAACTAATATCTTAATCTTTGTCAACACAGAGACTGTGTGACGTCCAGTAGCGGGAACTAAAATTGTCTGAATTGTTCAGTTAATTAATAAACAGGATGAATAGGTTATTTGCACTTCAGGAAAGACGTCAAGGCGAAAGAAAGCTCATTTCCCGTTTATATTTGTAGTGTTAAATTATTAAATTTGAATAGGAAATTACGAATTTGCATGATTATTCTTTGGTTGCCCTATCTTAAAGCCTTCAGCATTAAAAAACAACAACATATTTTTGCTCAGGGCATACAGTTTTTAATGCACATATTTTGTCATCTTCGGTTGATTGATAATTTGAATATTCCCAAAAATAAAAAAGACTAGCCTTCAAACTAGTTTAACCCCACCACATTCTGTATGTGCCTGTCCCAAGTCAGGAGCCTGTAATTCAGTGGTTGTCGTTTGTTGCTATATATCATATTTGTTTTTCGTTTGTTATTTTGTTCATAAATCAGGCTGTTAGTTTTCTCGTTTGAATTTTTGTACATTTGTCATTTCGGGGTCTATTTTAGCTGACTATGCGGTATATGGGATTTGCTCATTATTGAAGGCTATACGGTGACCTATAGTTGTTAATTTCTATGTCATTTTGGTCTTTTGTGGAGAGTTGTCTCATATGCCAGAGATACGATCTATTAGAGGACAATGAACACTTTAAGGCTGTAAAATTAATAAAGAATTAATACAGAATAATAGACGGAATTTTATTGATCTAACAAACAAAGAAAAAGGGTATATTTTAAATCAGTCTCCACCATTTCTGGTAAATAAACTGGTCATCACCTATATATATGTAACTATAGACAGAAGAATATTGAATATTTGCAGGTGCACATATATATATATATATATTTTATAGCTTGCTGTCACAAGTTCGATGTGAGCCAATGCTCCGTGTTGAAGGCTACTTTGACCTATAATGTTAATTTTTTATACATTGTGAATTGGATGGAGAGTTGTCTCATTGGCACTCATACCACATATTATTTATATTTAAAGTGCATATTCAATATATGTGTATTTCTTTAATTAAAATGACAAGAAAGATTTGATTTGATTTTATAAACGTGACGTCATCATTTACTCAACCAAAACTGATCATAGTAATACGAAAAAAACAAACAAATAGGTCTCACAACATCAGGCGTCGCAGTGAAAAACATAGGGAAACTTAGCAACACTTTTTATTTGAGAATTTACAAACGAGATGTCATCAATCTTCATAACCACTTAAATTCTGGATATAGTAAAACGGATTTAAACCTCCGGCTAGATGTTTAGTTATGTAACCTGACCGTCATTGTAACACTGAGGTTTTCTTGACCTAATAATTGTTTCACTTAGGTGAAAAACGTTTCATCTAGAAGTTGTAGTCTTCGCGGATCTGCGATAATCGATAA